CTGATGAATTGCAAAATAATTTAATATCTCTACATACAAACTTTTACTTAGATAGACTTTGTAAAAATTGTCTCCAGTAGCAAGTTGTTTTGCGACTGATCCCAGCCAATTGCTTTGCATGATGTGTTTCAGTTCTATTAGATGTTTGAATTATAGATAGAATAAACTTTATTTATAACATACATTAAAGAAAAGATATCTTATTAATATTATAAACGCGTTAGTTTGTAGTATGGATGGATATTCGTTACTCTTTCACGCAAATACTACTAAATGTATTTTATGAAACTTTACTGTAATGTAGCATATACATCAGATATAGGCTATAAATTTCATTAAACCACGGGCACAGCTAGTAAACAACGCATGTATAGTTACAATAAAGCGACCTTTTTGCTGAAAGCAATCTTTTCAAGGCAACCTTAAAGAAACGGATTTAAATATTAAACAATTGAGAGGCATGATCTAACTCCTTCGAAATGGCAACGCATGAGTATCACGTGTGTCACATGATAATGTGATGTTCGTAGTGCTGTACATGTTTGTATATATGTATGAGAAGCGGTCACTACAGCAGAGACCGCTTGCCGCCATGTAGGTAGGTGAGCAGTTAGTTCGCTATTCCAATTACATAAAAAGAAATAAAAAATAAACTCGTTACAAACCAGATAACTTCAACTTTTAGCATCATGTGTCACGTTCGACTTTTAAAGTGTCTTTTTTTATATAGATTGGATAGAGTTTCCGGCGTCATTGTTAGCGGATGCCTACGCTATATATTAAATACTATGATAAAATTTCAGGTCACTAGACTACCTAATTTTGGATGTGTTTATAGACAAACGATTTTATAGGGCAAATTTGATATTCAGACAGAAAGTTATTACTTTTTATTTCATTATTAGATAATTGCCACAATTTCGTTATTTATAATACTAGATTTTCGAGACATCGTCTGTTTTGTTAAGAAATTGATAGTCATAGACTATCAATTTCTTAACAAAAGTCCTCGTAATCGAAACTACCTTATATACGATTTTTATTTTACAAATTATACGTATAAAAAATTAGCTTTACATTTATTTTCCTTAAGCTCCATTTAGCTGTTTAGTTTTTAAAAAGGGGGCAAACAGTCAGAGAATAAGACACGTTTTTCACTTTTATAATATTTGCATGGATTTCTTATTAGAGTGAAAAATAAATGACCACAAATTTTAAGGCGGAAAGTTTAAAGATAAGGATTTCCTTGGTCTTCTCCTGGATGGGGTCGACTTTGTGTTTCCTGAACCTATTAAAGCGAACAAAGGACAAACTCGTGAATAATGACGGACATCAAGACGAATTCGCGCCAAAAGCCTGTTTAAATTACCTAAATTGTTACTTCTATCATCTAATTGTAATAACAATTTGTTTCCCCACTGATTTATCATGAAATAGTTATATTTCACAAACACTGAAACGAAATTTCATATCTAAATTTGTGCGGGGTAATAAATTATACATTATAACTAATGCAATAATTAAACATTAAATTTAAAGGAAATTGTATTTGTTCAGTTTATGTAATTTATTATTAATCTTACCATTACCGAAGAATGACTAACTAAAATAAAAGATGGATTTATTTATACGGATAGGGGTGTGATAATAGGCACTTTGTACCGGTTTTTGCAAAAATTCTCATTACAATGCCAGCCTATTAGTCGTATAGCCTTCTCCTATAGCTTTAACTCTTACTCTGTAAATGGGCTATGAGTATCGGTTATACCGGAGATTACCGAGAACTTGCCAACTCACAAACTTTATATCATTACAATATTAGTATAGGTTATTGAGTATTACATTTTGTATTAAGATCTAACCATAATCCATGATAAAGATATTACAGCGTGAACGAAAATTACTTTTTTACTTAATTTATTTGTGACTCGTAATTAAATTTTACTGAAATTGATTTTAAATAAAATATATAGGATGTCGTAAATTTATTTTTTCTATAAATTAGAAACTTTTTGCCACGCACAACTACATTATGAAATTACATTACGATATTGAAACCTTCAAGAAAAGAGCTTATTCCTTTTTAAAAGGCCGACAACGTACTTGCAAATCCCCTGGTGTTGCGGGTGCTCATGGGCGGTATCATGGGCGCGGTAATCACTTACCATCAGGTGAGCCGCAAGCTCGTTTGTCCCCTGTGTTATATAAAAAAAAATATATTAAACTCTATTCTTTCGAATATACAATATAATTTACATATCACCTGAATACATAAAGCTAGTCGGTTTTAGTTTGTACACAAGGCGGTTATTCCAGAAAGCATTAAGCTGTAGAGTATTGAATCTAGTCCCAGATAATACCCTGCAGATTGCATCGCACCTGTCCCTTCATTTACCGGTGGCAGTCATTAAGCAGGCGGACTATTGTCACGTGCCTCCCGCCGACCCTCCCCTGTCCCCAAGATTGAGGAATCCAGCCCTCAACTACTTCAGGATTGCTCTCGTTTCGCGCGTTGTCTAGAGTGCGGTTCAGACGCCGCGTTTATTTCTATAACTTCAATCTATTCAAAGTGTAAGCCAGGCGCCGCAAAGTCCTTTTATATTCCTAATGTATAAAATTTATAATTTTAGTACAATTATTTTTATATTCGATGTTTATTGATATATCCCATTATTGTTTTGCATTGAAGTATCACATTGAATATTAAAAAATTGTTCGTGTTTTCATCACATAGAGATCTCCCGAATCGTAAGAAAAATTGTATATGGAATAAGGCTGTATATGGCTATTGACGGATGACGTTTTATAGATGAACTATAGGCCGTCTCTGTCTCGTCTGTAAGCGGCTAGTCGTCATGAAAAGTGGTAAGGATATGAAACTATTATTACACAATTATATGGTGGTCCAGCGGTATAGTATACCGCTTTACTTCTGATGGTCGAGAGTTCGATTCCTTGCATGGTACAACCATTGGTGAATACCAATGGGTATGATTGTTTGTATCGGTCTAAGTGTTTTTCTATGTATAATAAGTATATTATTTTATTAGGACTAAATAGCGCTGTGTAAATTGTCATGAGATATTATATTTATATAGATATAGTTCCTGATCAGACGGGAGTTGACCTCCAGCCGCGCCATAAGTCCCTCCGCGGCTTTGGAGTGCCATCTGCACTCACCCCCTATCGTCCGGTGAAGCTGTGGTCAACAGCATAACAGTAGCGCGAAGTAAAAAACAATGGAGAGTTCCAACAGCAGCTTCCCAACCGCGTTGCACCCGACACCCTTATCAGTGGGCATGAGACAGGGTGAGGGGCGAGGGGGTATTACGCGGCTATTTCAATTATACGTCTTATGAAATAGTTGTCTCGCTGCGCGTCGATTTCGCGGATACCCGCAATATCGGCTGGAGCGGTAGGCGATTGGAATTTTTGTTAGGATTACATCATGGACACGGGAGGAGCGGATTACTAATAACGAGTATTTATTATTTTATTGTAATTATACATATTTTAGAATTAACGTTGTTTCTATTTTGCTATTTCTTGGTTTTACCGATACAATATAGTACATATATCCATGAATTTGATTTTGTACCTAATTTCGATTTATGTTCCATTAGGAAAATTGTATTAGTGTTTTGGATTGGTAATATAATTCACCCTTTTTTTATCTTTTAATAAACAGAGCGGAAAATGTGCGTATCAGATCTTACTAATTAGTATATAGTATATTAATTTTATTACTACTTTTCAAGACTGACGGCTTTACAGACTAATGATATTACAAATCTGTTAGTGATAGAGGCTAATGATAGATCATAACTAGATATAATTGAACCAAAAAATACAAAAGACTAAAAAAAACAAGTAAACTAAAGGCAATTATAAATAAATATACTATTAGTTTTTAATATTTTACATACAGAGACTAAAATATATTCGTATTCCCAACTAACCGCTATCGCTTATCGTTACGCTTGTGAATATGTATGCAGGTTAATGTGGCTCATGCGCGTATTCGAAGCGTGAAGAATGGCAGATATAGCGGCAACGATCAAGGTTTTAAATTCAGTTCAGGGATGTTCCTCCAAAGGACATTTCATTTATTAGATTTTTTCTGATCGAGTGCTTTGTAAAATGATTTGAATTGTTTTGAATATTGTGGTTTTATCATACATTTTTTTTTATATAACCCAACCCATTTTTTTTTAATTCTCACAGCGCCATTATCTAGTCCCATGTTAAGCAATCCTAGATTTTATAGTATAACATTTCTATTTTAGTATTAAAAGTCGAAATGTTTACTTTTCTTTTTTTTTTGTATTATGTATGACATCATTTTTAGATGGCACATAGTTTTATTTCAATCGTAAAGAAATGTCAATACTATTCTGTGTTAGTAGAGAGAGTACTACATTTCCCCTAACTTAATTCCTTAAAGGAATTACACTATATATCTCAGATATGTATAGAGGACTGCAGTGCATCTAATAATGTAGCCCATCTCAGATTAATTTAGTAGGAGCCTGTGGAAGCTGGTGAGATCCTAACTCGGTTAACCGACCCATTAAAATTAGCATCCCCACCTGTTGATCTTCAGTTGATTGAAACTATGAGTAGAGTTACTATTTTTTTCAGTTATATATACTTATATATATTAGGTATATACATACATCTTCGGTATACATATTTAAAAAGATATTGTCTCCGTACAAAATAATGTAGCTAAGTACCTAAGTATTTTTTTATTTGAACGCACCGATGTTTTATTACTTTTCCCTTGAATATTAATTACAAAAATTATGGTTACGATGTTCAAATTTTTCATAGTTAGTGATTAAAATTCTATCTAAACAAATAAATACACATTTGGCCATTCATGTATGCGAGAGATAAGAATCAATCATGCCCAGTCAAAACTTCGATAATATTATTTAACTGAATGCAACTTTATTATTTTCCGTACTATTGACATTTGATATAAATACAAATTTTAACAGTCATTTTACTTTTATGAATTTTTACATATATTAAAAGGTACCAATGTACAGTACTTCTACCTATTAATAATCATAATATAATTAGTAAAACAGCAAGAACTATATGAACTAAGGAAGAAATCAAATAATCTTGAAAACTTTCGTGTATTCTTGATGAGTTGCGAAAATGTTTGAACGAGGAGAAGCACCTATGTCAAAACAGAGTTCAATAGAACTCTGTACTACTCTATAAAAGTCTTGGCCTGAATGTATAAAGAAGAACAAGAGTAGAAATATACCTTCAACTACAAATAAGCTTACTACTTTCCACCTATAATTACAGAAACGTTATCAACACAGTTTTTACATCGTGTCATCCTTTAAATCGCTCGTTTCTAAATAATCGGGTTATATAGGATTCTTATAAAAAAATCTAAAATTCTATGGTATACCGATAACTATATTCTGTTTAATACAATGTAACTGTATATATACTATTCGATGTAGTGTGAGATCATTAGGTTGATTAGGATTTCACCCTGATTCCATATCAGTCAGGTCTTTGCATTGGACGTGAGGAACTCCTTCACGTACTCCCTCATCCAGGCTCCTTGGAGAACATTTCAAATGCATCAGTATCTCATACTTCCTGTTGGTATTTTTTATAACAAACGTTACCATTTTGCAAGATATAGCTTCATATTTAACTCTTAAAAAAATAAAGTATCATAAATACACTGTACTTGGAACCTACACTAATAATTATATTTTTTATTTTAAGCATGGGAAACGAGGGCAAATGCACGTTTGGTTCGAGAATGCCTATCGACATTCATATGCTGAATCAGATCATACACCGCGAAGTGAAACACTTCCGCAACTATAAGATATACAGACCTAACTTCGGATGTTAGTATATTAAGTATAACAGATACTTTTAAATACCATGAAATTATAAAGTAAGGAGACGACGATATCTTCATTAATGGTAATGCATGAGTAATATCATGGGCGTCAAATGATGACGTGATATCCGTGGTCGTCTTTATGTACATATATATATATATCCAGTCGGCTGTTGCGATCATTAGCTTGTTTGATATTAAATTTAAAACAACTTTTCTAAGAAATATTTCTCATAAAATACTAATAATATTTTTTTTTTTAATAATACTTTTTACTTTAAATATTCCTTGAATCCTTCTGGTGGTACTTCTGATTAGCTATATCATAATCCAATTATACTATGTATGATTTATGTTATGTTTTCAAATATTGAAATAATATTTCGTATATCGTGATTCAGGCGATTATCTCCTCACAGACTAAAAACACTACGCGTTCTTTTCTTATGATATTATTGTAGACAAAACCATCTTTATTTTATTACAATTATTATAAAATAATATAATTTTTAAGCCATTCCTGTAACTGGTAAATTTTACGCCGCTCATGATCAGCTGAAGGCTGAATCACGGGAACAAACGGAAAAGGTGGACAACTACCATCGCAACGTGGCACAGACCCGAGCTAAGGGTCCCCACAGCAAGTACCCTTCCCCAGCGACCGAGAATCAAGTGTGAGTATCATGTCTTATCTCCTTGTAAGCTGTTCTCGATTTCTTACTCATATCCAAGTGCATTATATACTCAGAAGCCTGAAAATTGTAATTGTATTCCATTTGTATATTAACGTATTTTCTTTCACAATATTTGGAAAACCAATTTAAAATACCAAACAAATTATTTTTGGTTTCAATTGATAATTAATATTTTTGTAACTTCGTATTTTATACTATTGTGGAGATAATCGAGCCTATGAACTGGTGGTAAACGGAATCACTGTGCGTTGCCAATCCTTATTGATATACTCCTATACGGATTTTGAAGCGGTTTTTTTAAATAGATAAGTAATCTAGAGGAAGGTCTATATATATATATATATATATATAATACATGTACACCTGTGCGAAGCCGGGTAGGTAGTTTAGAATATATTTCAATTTGTATATTTATTTATATAAATATAGGTACTGTTATAATTTAATAGAAACATTATAAAACTAGCCATTTATGCAGTTTTGTCTTAAATTATATTGCAAAGAAGGTCCGTATGTTATTTAGGAAACTTATTAAATATATTTATCGCCATAAATTGACTTTTTAGTTGTGTACATTTTTATTATGGGTACTTTTATTTTAAACGTATGGTTGTCGCATAACAGGTACGGTTGGAACTTCATGCCGCTTGTTGCAATGGATCGCAACGACCGACGCTTCTACCATCCGAAGAGAGAGAGCACTCACACCAAAGTGGAAATTATAATCCTTATGTCTAACCCCAAAAATAGGTCATAAAATAATACCTGCATGTGACAACAATATTTTATAATGGGGTGCCTTTATAAAACAACTCTTTTCTGTGTCCGAAGGAACTTTTATTTTTTGAGATACCTAATTTTATTAAATATATTCGAAGATATATTGTATCAAAAAATTGTAAACTAAATATGCCAAATATGCAAATATAAATATTCTACCTTTGCGTATAAATACGCAAAGGTAGAATATTTAGCATATATTTTACGCTACTAAGCTGGTAGATAATACTTTTTATAACGAAATGGCGAGTATTGGAGTATGGATTGAGTAAATCACTCAATCCATATTCTAATACTAGCTGTGCGTGCCATTTCATCCGGAAGAAATTTATGGCCAATGTGTTATTTTGATGTATGTATAAGCTATATTACTGTAAAGTTTCATTAAAATCTGTTCAGTAGTTTTTGCGTAAAGGGGTAACAAAAATCCATCAATTCATCCTCACAATCTTTCGTGTTTATAATATTACTAAGTATGAAACAATCCGTAGACATACAACAATCTGTATGACGGCCTCGGTGGTAAAGTGGTTTAGTACAGCGCTTTACTTCTAATGGTAGCGGATTTAATTCCAAGCATTCCATCCAACCATTCCAACATGGTACAAACATTTCTAATCATGAATATGATTGTTTGTATTTTTCTCTGTGTTTTCTGTGTATATTACGTAAGTATTTACAAAAAAAATATCTGTCAGTTGTCTAGTACCCATAACAAGTTCTAATTATCTTACTCGTTCTTCTTGTGATGAGACGGCTATTCCGTATAATGAAATAAAAATAAGTGACACTATTCAAAAGTGCTTCAATGTAAGTTTATTTGAATATACAATAGTCTGTTCTAATCTTGGGACTAGATGACACTGTGTGACTTGTCCAGAGAATTTATTATATTATTATTAAATTTATTTTGTATTACTTTTTCACAGCTAAATGGCAATAGATGATATTTTATCTAGATAGTATCGCGAGGACGTACACAATTTATCTTTAAACTCACATAAAATTTATGTGAAAATACTATAGGGTCAAAACAATTGAGTTTTATTTATTAAAATCTATTCGTCATCCTTGTCTCTGCGTGCATACTGGTTCCATCCTCTGGAGTTCTTCTTTTTATAATCACTTTTCTCCAATGGACGTAAATGAGCTGCAGCTACACGATCTCTGAAAGGAAACAAATAACAAATAATTGCCTAACCCAGGACAATTACCACAGCGCCATCTAGTTCAAAACTAAGCAGAGCTTGTACTATGTGTACTGAAAAACTGATAGATAAACCTAAATACAGTTTTTGTAAATATATCTATACATATAAATAAAATTGGAGTGTCTATTTGTAATATTGAAATAACCGTTTATTACTACATGCACATGAATATAAATACGGTACATATACCAAAAAAACACTTTTTACAATTTTTGTCTGTCTGTCTGTCGGTCTGTTTGTTCCGGCTAATCTCTGAAATGGCTGGACCTATTTTGACGGGACTTTTTTTAGCAGGTAGCTGATTTAAAATCTTTTATTTTAGAACAATAAAGTTAAATTCCACGGGGACGAAGTCGCGGGAACAGCTAGTACATAATATAATTAAAACATACCCTGACCAAACAATCCTACTTAAGGCTTATACTCAAGACACGGTTGTATCCTATGAGAATCGAACCCGCGACCGTCGGAAGTAAGACCGTCATGGGATATAAAACATACTGTAATAAATAAATAATTAACCGTATCTATGTACTTTAATGTTGTATAATAATATTTCATATATTAATATGCAATCCTTAGAAATATTATAAACGCCAATGTTTGTAGGTGATGTTTGTTACTCTTACACGAAAAAATATTAAATAACACAGAGGCATCATATCCTAAGCAGTTAAATTAATAAAGGAAAAAAATTCTACTAGGAAAAAGTTCGTTGATAAGTTTTCACGACTAAACCGTAGAACAAATTTTGATACAAAGATAGATAGGACATATGAGAAGAAAATAAGCTACTCGAAGTACTTATCCTGCACATTCGAAGTTGCGGGCACTAGCTAGTAATATTTATATGTATTATATTATATTATATAGTATATAGTGTTAAAAATGATGCAGTATTTATTTATAAGAGTTTTAAAAAAGATATTGATAATTTGTTAAATATAAAGCTGATAATTACTTCTATAGCAGTATAACATTTTAAAATATTGTATCCTAAAATACCAATATACATTCATAGACAATTTAACAAGATGAGTTAAGTAAAGAATTAAAATATTTCTTTGATGTTGAAAAGAAACACACTGTGATAGCGGCAGACTATAAGTATTAGTCCTTAGTCTCACTTATTTCAGTCGCCAAGCAGCTTGCTTTGTAAGTCTTTCGGTTTTAGAGTGCAATTAGACAGTGAAATTACAAGATAATAGCTTAGAAACCTAGTACTCTGGAATGGGAACGCATGAGTGGTATCACGGGTGTCACAAGATAACACGATGTCCATATAGTTTTTTTAATTAATGTTAATAATAATAATAATAAAGACATTTATTTCGCATTACAGTATTCTTATATACTATCTATCTTATTTACTATACAACTTAAAAGCTAAAACATACAAGTAACGCTGAATGTGACTCCCACTCAGCATTTATACTGTAATATAGTTATACCACAGCACTGATTTTCAGTGGAGCCACCACACACGAGACAGCGTACGTAAAGATAACAAAAGAAAATAAAACGTAAAAATTAAGACCATTTTATAAATAGGTATGAAAATGTATGTAAAGATAAGTGCAATTTTAATTAATTTATGTAGTAAACTTTGTATATTATTTAAGTAGGTATATTGTTATGTAATGAGATATTTATTATAATTTATTAATGGTATGGTTCACCCGCCTACACTAACAGGATACGCTGGCTGAGCACCAGTGGAGGCTGATAAGAGGAGCATGAAGTCAGATCAGTTAGCCCAGTGTGATAAATTCACTAGGAATTTATCATGATGGTTTCCAGGTGGAACTACATGGAGGTCAACCTTATCTGGTAAATTACTAGCAATAAGGTCAACATGCAACAGCAATATGTGGACACGTAACTATCGATTCTCTTCCCGCTCGGTATAATTAGTTATTCACGTATATAGGCGGCAAAAAGGAAGACAAAGTCGATGGTAACTAATAGTTCTATTATGAATACACAACTTACGCGAATTCTTCATAAGTTTTGGCAGTGTGTATAGCGTCGCACTTGACGCTGTTTACTTGCCAATATCTTCTGTCTTCTTCCACACTATTCTTAAGTTGCTGCTCCATTGCCACCAAATCTTCTTCAGTTAGAGGTTTATCCATTGTTATTCTGTAGAATATATTTTAATCTGATTCAAAAAGGAAATTCTTACTTCAGTTTTCGTTATGTAAAAATACACTTTGACCGTAGTCCATGCGACACTAAAATCAGTGGCAATATTTGAGCAGTTGAGATTAAATTCATCAGCACTATGAAAAATCGCCTAATATACTACACACGAGGCGATCTAGGAAACGATCCAAGGCGCTACCTACTAGTCCTCTGATATTGTTCTTGATTTTTATTTAGTTTCATTCTATACTAGAGATATAATATTGCATATAGTAATATTTTTCAGATACATAGATAAATCATTTATTTGTGCCTTCACCTTTTCTTTTGTATGTATGCACACAACAAAATAATAATACAATTAAAGGTGAATATAAAATATATGTGTAAATCCGGTAACAATATTGAGAAACAAAAAACCAGTGTACGCCGCAGTGTAATGGTACTGATTCTGGTTTTATATGCTGCAGCAATTCAAATAGGACATGATTTTATATGCTCAATGCAGTTTTTTACTCAAGGAAACTTTAAGTAAACTGCAAGTATTTTTTTTAAAGGTAGAATTCTAAAGTTGTAAGTTATGTTTTGTTAAGTGTAAGCACAAATTTGTAATATAAATATCGTAGTTACCCATAAATAAGGTTGCGCTTAGTAAAATAAATATATTGTAATGTGTTATACATAATATAATTGTGTTGTTGTAAACCTTGTTGATGACCTAATAAATAAACACTGCGCACCCTTAAAAACACTGTGTACTAGCTATGATAAAAATTTTAAAGTACAATAATTTTGGTGAGAAACAGAGTAATATTGATTATATCTTCAGACAGCGATCAGTTATATTTTTATTATACTCATATGTATAGATAATAGCAAAGTGATCAGTTGCGATACATCTTTGTTGATCGTGTCTATAAATAAAATACGCCTGTTGAATGATCGATGACATGTCGCAGTATTTTTAATATTCCATCAAAAATTCACAACACTAAGTAGATCATGCATTAGCTTCATCTATCACAAACTAATTATGACGTCAATTTACTATAAACATAAGTTAATCCATACTTTCATTCTATTATTTATAAATGCGAAACTGTACGAGTGTTTGTTATCCTTTCAATCGTTTAATAAAAATATGTTTTTGAAAGAAGCTAATAATTATAATAAAAGAAAATGTTTTTCTAATAATGCATCAAGATGGGGATGAGAGAAGTGAAAGTGCCGATAAGCCCCAGTTAACAACTAATGCGATATCATATTTACAATTTGTCAATTGTGTGTTTTTATATTATTTTGGTTAATAATTGTATTTTGTTTACCTGTTCTTCTGTGTTATTTACGTAGAAGTAAATTTGTATGAACTATTGTCAAGTAACTTCTTTTAACAGAACGTACCGAAGTTCCTCTTTTAAAGATTTTTCAACATTAATTCACTGAGCAAATAACAACTACGTTTTACAGTAAATTCTAAAATCATTTATATTAATTGCCTGTTTTGCCAAACATTTAATACGTTACTATGACATTCGAAGCCGTTCCCATAGTAACTGACACATCTTTTCTCGCTTGTTCAATATTAACCTGCAAAGGATTACTAGATACTTGACTCCATATTATGTTTCTGGCCACATAGAAAAGTCACTGTTCTACTATAAAAATATAACTAAATTAACTTAAAACCTAAACTTAATTGGTACTCTAAGAAACATATAAAATATCATACACTTTCTTTCATTGTATTGATTCATTATTACCATTATTCAAGTAGACGCTAGTAATTCTTTCTCCCTCGACCCTGCACTAATAGGTTGTGTTAAGGATATTTACAAAGATAGTATTAAAATAATAGTAAAAATGTATATGTGATATGGAGCTTTATAGACTGACAGAAGACTATTTTTAGCTGAAATATGGAATGTAAGAAGTGTCTTGATGAAATAAAGTCCCGGATTTGATTCCTCTCACTTTGCTCTCTCATTTATATTCATAAGTGTGATTGTATAAAACTGTTATTTACATAATAAATAACAGTTTTATATTTTTGTTGTATAACATCTTTCTTCTACTTTTCCTATAATCTGTGGCAGTGATTCGACAAGAAAGACTGAAGTGTGCAACAATAAGCCAGGGAAGAGCCCGCTATTTGATTTGATTAATAAGTGCTCGAGGTTGAAAACTCTATCATACTTACATATCTCTGTTCTGTATTTATTCGACTAAAAAACCATGTTTAGGTACATCTAATCAGTGTACTGATATACTAGACTACTTACCTATAAATTTCTCAATATCTATACATTGGAGGACAAATTGGAGTGTCTGTTTGTAATATTGAAATAACCGTTTTTTACTACATGCATATGAATATAAATACGTAACATACACCAAAAAACCACTTTTTATAATTTTTGTCTGTCTGTCTGTCGGTCTGTTTGTTCCGGCTAATCTCTGGAATAGCTGCACCGATTTTATCGGGAGGCAGGTAGCTGATGTCATAGGGAGTAATTTAGGCTTAACTTTTATTTTAGAAAAAAAGAGTTTAATTCCACGCGGACTATATCGCGGGTGCAGCTAGTAGATCATAAACATAAATCTACATATAGTCCAAAAGAAGCTGTAAATGGAACATTACAGTATATGATGTAGTACTAATGCAATGCTTATCACGTTTTCAGGACGATGTTGAACAAACACGGTGCCACGCGTTACGGAAATAGTTTGTACTCTCGTATAACAAGACTTCATTATGAGCAGTGCTGTCGCGTGGAGGGTGCAGAGGGGGCGAGGGGGTCTATAGCTCTACGGCATACCAAAACTTCATTTTTATGTATAAAATAAAACTGCATGGCAATAGATAATAATAATAATAATAATACCCCTGGACAATTCACACAACGTCACTTATTTACGAGTACATGGTAAGCAGAGCTTGTGTTATGGGTACTAGACAAGTCATATAAATACTTAGATATTTCTATTTAAATACATAATATATATATAATACACCAAGGTCGATACAAACAATCATAATCATGAACACAAATATTTGCACCGTGCGAGGAAGCGATCCCGTGACCGTCGGAAGTAAAGCGGTGTGCTAAACCGCTAGACCACCAAGATCGTCTTTATTAATGTAACAAAATTAATAGTTATTCAATTATTTGCATTGATAAACTACCCGATTCGTTTAAAATTAATATACGAATAAATTATATTTCAAATTATACTCTTAGAGACATATCCAACTTAAAATTCATAGCGCTGACAATGTTATCTGATTGAACAGAGATTAAGTGCGTTTCTATGTTGATTGTCGCATTCCTAATCCTTGTTAATGTAAATCCAATTAAAACAATATTTATTTAAAAGAGCAACACACAAGTTTCTTGCTCATTCCTCTTGTAATGAGTCTTTCAAAAGTGCTTATATTAAGTTTATTTGAATAAAGATTATATATATATTATATAGATTATACTATTTCTATTTCTACATATATCGAGCAAAATTAAATGAACTAAATTATATATCTTATAGTCATATTTCGAGTTGTATACTTATACACGCGTGATTGTAAAAGCGCCTAACGGATTTCTTAGCTAACATAAGAACAACGCTTTAGCAACAACAATATTGCAGTACCATTACTATGTATTCACATAAGTGCCTACACTGTATCAAATATGGACTGAAGGTGAAGTTTTGTGTGCTTCGTCTGAGTAAGTACTATTAATTTCCTCTGTGAAACTACACTATATTTCTTGTCATATTTTAAAGATACGGAACCATGTCATTGTGATTTACTACTCTTACTTAGTCCAAAACCGCGGGTTCGATTCCTCGCACGGTACAAAAATTGATCTTCATGAGTATGATTGTTTGTATTGGTCTAGGTGTTTTCTATGTATATCATTGTATATATTACAAAAATTTAGGTATCTAAATATTTATATCACTTGTCTAGTATCCAGAACATAAGTTATGCTTAATAAGTTGAATTATAATTAATTGGGTGTTTCACCTGCATGAAATTTATAGCCTATGTGTTATTCTGATTTATAACCTATATTACTGTTAAATTATAGATACAACATATTCTATCATCATTTCGTCCTAATTCCTCTAGCTATATTGACATTTAATCAAACACACAGACAAATAGACTAACACAAGAATAGAATTTTGGCCTCGTCTCTATTTTCCGATTTTAAATATAGAAGAAGAGAAAGATTAGAGTCAAAACAAAAATCCGCGACTAGTATTTACATTTAAATATATTTAATGACTTAAATGCTTTCTATGTACATGTATAGGTAAGTAGTAATTGTTTCATAAGTTACCTGACATATTGGTAGTGAGCTAACTTTTGTTATTATATTTCAGTTCTAATCATTATTGCTTATAATATAGTTTATATTCATTGTGTGGCTGAGTACGAAATGTTTCCCGGTTTCGATACTTCAAATCGTAATACAACTGAGATGGAATTGGATCTCAACAGCAAATCTGTGAAAATAAACACCACAAATAATCAGGTAAGAGTCGGTAAAAGATCACAAATATGTATTTGCTTCATGTAAATTGTCTGTTACGTACATGATAGAATAGTATAGTATTGTTTTATCAATATCTAGCTACTCGCTCCTTCGTACGTCTGTACATGTATTATATATAAAAACCTTCCTCTTAAATCACTCTATCTATTAAAAAAACTGCTTCAAAATCCATTTAGTTAAAGATTTAAGCATACATAGAGACAGACAGCGACAGCGACTTTATTTTATACTATGTAATGATAAATAAAAACAAAGCTCAAATATTTACAAAGGACATTTATAGAGACGTCACTAATACACACTTATAGATTCATTAGAGACCTGTATGGGTTTTTTTTTTTTGTGGATGATAATGGAATGGTGCACCCTCCTGCGCTAACGGTTTACGCTGGCGGGGCACCAGTGGAGGATGATAAGATGAGCATGAGGTCAGGTCAGTTAGCCCATCGTGACAAATTCACCAGGAATTTAACACGATGGTTTCCAGGGGGAACCGCGTGGAGGTCGAGCTGACAAAGTACATTGTTAGCAATGGGGTTGTCAATCCACATTACTAACAATCCCCTTCCCCCCACCTGTATGGGGTATCGCAGGCGTCACACGAAGACGAAAAGTTTGTGGTGCTGTTTATGTATATAAGCGACAGTTTCCACTTACCATTGGGTGGGCTTGTTCGTCGTTCTAATTATAATACATACAATAAAACTGACCGATCACTGCTGCACACTTATAAAAGAGCATGATGCCATATTTTGACTAGGTGGGCCGAATATGCATGTTCCCATTTACATAAAAATAATAAGTAAATGAAGATTTTCCTAGGTTTTCATTTCATTATTTCATTTACTTATTATGTTTCATGGTCACTGTAATGGAGAAACATTATTGAAGTACCAACTTTAAATTGACTTATATTTTAGATTATACTCGCAATCACTACAGCAGGAGAGAACGTATCCTTATCGTCCACAGTAACTTCACCCTGTGTTGAAAAAGAGAAACCGTCTAATATCGGTCCGTATGAAGTACCAACTCAGCAGGATTTAATTCTACTCATTCGTAAGACTCTGTCTGACATGTTCAAGAGCTACAACGAGAAAGCTTTTTATTTACTAAAGGATATCAAAGAGGTAACTAAATTTTATCCGAGAGTTCTATTTTTAAGTCGCGTAAAAATCTGCAAAAGATTTCTACCCACCAAAAGACGATGGTGTGTGGGTTTTAATCACTAAAAATTACTGGGTATGGATTAAATTGTTAAATATTTCTTTGTAATTAATTTCCAACAAATCTTACCTAGTTATAAAATAGAAAATATAAAAAAAAAACTTGTTTGAGTACTCTTTTACTTATGTATGTAACAGAGAGATTAATATTATTTAAAAAAGAGAGCGTTTTTTTACTCATCTCACAGAACGCTCAAACAAGTTGTTTAGTCGTAAATGGTTAACAACTGGTGCTCTGTCGCTAATATAATAACGCTCATCATATCATCCTCCATTGTTGCTCCGCCAGCGTATACCGTTAGTGAACCATTTCCTGTTTTCAACGAAAAATCTTCAGCTTCCTAGAATCATAGTCCTTCCATAGGTTTGAAATGCCTTTGGCCATCGCTCCATTTTTTGTTTGGTAAAGCAGTACTGAAGCAGACCTCAAGCAATTTTATAATTTATCTGTGACAGGCAACTAAAGCAACATCGGACATTGAGAAAAAATGCCGAGGAAATAAATATGAATACAGAAAGTGTGTGAAGAAAGTGAGCAGTCAGTGCGAATTTATGACTAAGAATCTTGTTAGTTCATTAGAAAGGCAGAGGCATGATGTGAGCGAATTTACTAAGGTAAGTAAAAAAATAGTAAAATATTTCAGATGGATATGATAACAGGGTTACTGAGCTCTCTAAATTATGCTAGAATGCAATGATTACTCTCTGGCATTTTACTTGCGAATATATATATATATATTCTCTGATCAGTATGACTGATTTAATTGGTTACTCAATACAAATTATGTATTATTTTGACTGTTATTATTTTGTTGCTGCTTGTTTTATATTCACATAAGATTTTATGAGCTGCATAGCGTTTGTTTATGCGAAGGTCACGGTAAACTGATAAATCATTATATACACTCACTTTATTAAAAAATCTTTTCTATTCTTAAGCTTACCTAGTTTATTACCAAAGCCTAAATGTATTATACAATCATAGAAGTACCTAAGTATTATGATAACAATGAACGTTGTAAGCATTGCGAAACAGATTGTTTAAAATCCAGTCAAACTGGTTTTGAGATCAAAACAATGATTCAATAAATAGGTAACAAGCCTACGTGATGTGTCATGAATTTAAATCTCTATATGTAATATTATCAAGCTGAAGAGTCTATTTGTTTGGTTGTTCAAATATTATTTTTAGTATTCAATAGCCTATTTATGGAAGAGGGCTTTATACTATATGACATCAACCTATGACCAATAGCAGCATCTTCGCAATAATTTGTCACTTCTAGTACCTAATAGGAGATTGGTACCTAATTCCGTAAAAAAGAACGGCCCCTCCCTTCTTTTCTACGGAATTAGGTACCTAGTGTTAATATTGGAGAATAGAATTGAATAGAATAGAAAATCATTTATTCAAATAAACTTAATTTAAACACTTTTGAATAGTCATAACAATTTGTTTTTTATCTACCACTCGTTCGGAAAGCTGTCTTATCACAAGAAGAACGAACAAAAAACTTGCGTGTTGCTTTTAAATAATCCTTGTAAGTTTACATTTACTAGTCGAAACGTGTGAATACAAACTACCAACCAGCACTAATTTTTTGGGTCAAATATAAATATACAATAAGTAGTAGTAGTAGTAGTAGTAGTAGTAGTAGTAGTGATAAGAGCAGACCAGTCCCTACAAGCAGCACTCGTTCACGAGTATGACGGATGAGCCAGCCATCACAGCGCTCGACCATATTTTAGGGAGCCCAATGACCCGGCCCACCACGCCGCCACGAGCATGACTACTCATTCCACTCGACCACGTCACAGCTACAAAAATTACTATATGGTAGTTACAGTATTCGCATTTTACATGAGGATGCATGCGGCCATCAATACAAAAGCCGCTACGCTATCATATATCAAGAAAGCAGTATGAAAAATAAATTATAACGTTGTCCGCAAATAAACTTATTGCTATCTATTAGCAATGTGCGCTTTAGACCGGCATCCACACTATGCTCCCTGAAAGTTATAAAGCCGGCCATCCATATCCCATCAAATGGTATATGCAGACAGCGCAATAATGGTGTACCTAATGTCACCGTTTACCATAACCGCAAGCGGAAGCACCATTCCATTACCATCCATTAAAAAAGTCAGTGGCATTGTCTATTTTTCAGGGTAACATTTGTAATATGTCATCCATGAAAGCAGACCCCCTGCAACTGGTGAAAACATTAGCAATGGAAGAAGCAAGCTTGGAATTTTCGCTCCCTGGATTTTTAAGATTACTCAACTCATGTTCATTTCATTGTAGGTACGTAAGTACTTTTGATTTTTTATTTCACACAAGTTTGCTCCAGTAAATCGTATGTTTTTCAGGTAACTTGTATATTTATAAAATAATATTTTTTTTAGTGTTTCCAACAACGAAATAGGAAAAACGCCATCTCGACACATGTCTGACCAAGAGTTGGTAATTAAACACTTTCTGACTAAAAAGAACTACATTCAACTTCTAAAACCTTAATAGCCGTTGAAATTAGCAACGAATGATGTATCAAAACGTATTATTTTATATGGCCACACCGACAATCGATCGAGCTTTCACGAGTTTCACATACCAATGGATAGATGGAGTGACTATCAATGAACTTTTGACGTGAACTTGATTGCAACTTGAATAACTTAACCAAAATATCTAAGCTTTTTATGTGATGCGAATAGTGATAACCGTGTGAGTTGATATAAAACTGTAATCAAATTAAAATACAATACGTGAGAAATGTTTATATTATTTTAGAACCCAAATTCAGTGACATTTTGGATGCTATTACTAAACTAAGCAGAAATTCTTCGAGTTTGGGTAAGTTATAGTATTAATTGAGTAAATAAATATAATTTTATTTAAAAATAATAATAAAGTCTACCTGATTATGACCATTAAGAATACTACATATAAGTATCGGGGATAGAGAAGTAGGTAACTAGAATAGTGAAGTAGGTAACTTTCATTAGTACATCATATGAACTTAATAACAAATATAATAACTATGTTTAGGTTTAACGTACTTACCAATTATAGTGTAAAAACATTAATATCTATATTTTTAAAGTAGTGATTGTTATATGTATATGAGAAGTAAAATAAAAATATTAAATGTTACAATAGCTCTGGTTTAAAATATGTACAGTTTTTTATATTAATACTTAAGAAAGTAAGCACTTATTTAAATTATCCATAATCATGTATATACTAAATTATTCCACTTTGATTTTATTATTATGATGGTATAATAATATTATTTAAACCTACATATGGATACAAACAAATAAAAATATCTTTTATCTGTTTGTAATTTCAAATTAACAACTTTCCACTAAATGCATATGAAAATATATATGGTACTTTATATTTTATCTTTGTCTGTCTGTTTGTTCTTGCTAATCTCTTACAGATGGACTGTTTTTGACAAGACTTCCAATCTCAGATACCTAATGTTATAAGGAGTAACTTAGGCCTACTTTAATTTTATAAATTTTATTTAATTTAATAAAATTACATTCAATACTGATGAAGTTGCAGGTAATAGTTATAATATATACATGGCTTACATTTTAAATTTCTATTTGTATCACATGGAATCTGATTGTGAAACAATGACCACTCAATTTATATCAATCATTTCCCTTTTATATATTCATGGTTCAACATAAGTTTTATTTAATATATTTTAAAACCCTTATTAATTGATAACCCCTAGTTTTGTAGTAGAGTGCAAGGCAAGTACTTAGTAATATGTATATTTCTATCGAAAATTATACTACTTGCAGTTTCTACATCATACTAGTCTTTTATTGAATACTGACAATTATTGCAAGATTTAAAAAAAAAATTAAAATTATATTAAACTAACTTTTTACTTCATATAGTTTTTCATATAGACAGATTTTTTTTTGTCAAAACTATATCTTCCCATTCATATGGTTAATACTGTATTAAACATACATGCATATTAAACATACATATGCATGTGTTAAGTACGAAAATAAAATAATTTATCAATATTAAATGTAAATACAAAACAGTGGAGTAACTTTTTGTAGGTATATTCTGGTGCAAGTTGTATAGTGTGAACTATTTCCTGCAATATACAGTAACTATATCCTTTATTAACAATTAAGTATTTTGTATATAACATTTTTTAACAATACTAATAATAATATAGATACTACACCATCATGTTACATCCCATGTGTTGCAATATGTAATTTCACCTCCATACCTCTTTCCTGAAAGTCTACTAAATAAGCTCCTTGAAGACAGATAAATAGTTTATATTTCATGTTACAAACGATATATAGGTAGGTTTAATTGTTATATTTTAAAAGGTAAATAAATCTTAGAAATTTATTTACTTAGAAATTTTTATTTTTAATTTACTTAGAAATTTATTACTAAATTATTTTAAAGATCACATAGTATAAGATCGCAATATAAAATACATAGTTTAATGCAATGAACACATTGTCTGTACATGCTCTCAACATAGTTTTTTAACCAATTTCTGATACATGATATATATATATTCATAACATTAATTCCAGATTGATTTGGCAGGCAAATGTTATTTATCAATACTTCGATTTATAAATATAATTAGTAATTATCTGACAAAAATAATAGTAATATACATATATAGTATATCATGAATTTCATTCTATATTATTTCACAAGAATTGTTGTAGAACATGTATACCTATTATAATATTTATTATTAACAATTAATACAATACAATGTTATATCCTAAAACGATTAAACTAATGTTATTTTTCACGCCTCTTATGTTTGTCATGTTTGTCATGATTATCATTGTATTTCTTGGACTTTTTAGATTTCTTTGTTTTATGTTTCTTTTTCTTTTTGTCACATTCTGAGTCACTGCTGTCTGATGTTGATGATGATGATGATGATGATGAACTCGAAGTACTGCTTGAACTGGAGGATCTATAAGAAAAAACCTTTTAATTGATGCTCAAACCCATTGTTGTGACTCAATATTAAATATTATAAATTACATATTTAGAAATAACTATTATTCCCTAACTTCACTACATATCTGACCTTTTTGTTTTCGTAAATACATACATATTATATATAGAAAACACCCAGACCAAAACAAACAATCATACACATTTATACAAATATTTGCACCATGCGAGGAATCGAACCTGCCACCATCGGAAATAAGGCAATATGCTAAACCACTAGACCATCAAAGTCGTCCATCTTTTAAGTAACTACTTCAACTTCCAAAGCGAGCTCTATAAAACATCCCTTGGTGAGAGTACAAGGTTAAATGTTTATCCTCAATATTAAATACTTACGTAGATCTTTTCCTCTTTTTAAGTTTCTTCTTCTCCTTGGCCTTCTTCAACTTCTCTTGTAATTTCTGCCGTAACTCTGCTTCCCGTAAACTCTGCAGGGGTGTTGCGTACTCCTGCTCGCTATCACTACTTGTGCTGCTCACATCTAGCACAATCTCTTTGTTTGGGTCCACCTGTTAACATGATTTTATCATTAACCAATAACCAACAGAAGTTAGATTTACATCCAATACAATTATATATATTTAATTCTATATTTTACAGTCACACTTTACAATATTGTCTGTATTAGTACCTCTGTTTCACCTATTTTAGCCATATAATGACTTGATGTCTAGTTTCGTTCATGTATATAGGTAACTAGCTATTCCTGCAGTTTCATGCATGTAAAATTTAGAGCCTGTGTATTATTCTGATGTATTACACCCAACTTACATATCTCTTTAAATTATAGGCTATGTGTTACTCTGATGAGATGATGAATGAAACTTTACAATAATACAAAGTTTCATTAAAATCCATTCAGGAGTTTTTGGGCAAAAGAGTATCAAACATCCATCTCATCCATCCATCCACACTCACAAACTTCAACATTTATAATATTAGTAAGATGGTTGTCAATTAGCATTAGTTGGGCTTGCTTACTTTTCCAATTAAAACAAACATAAAGCCGCGAATTACTACTACTTGTAGACAAGTCTATCAATTTAAATAGATATATAAAATTATTATGAAATACACCAAAAGATTCATATATAGAAGAATAGATATTTTGAAGCATAATTAAAAACATATTAAATTTTTCACTATTTTAATATATGTTGAGAATGGATGCATTTTTGTTATTCTTTCATACAAAAACTATTGGGTACATAGGAATGACATTTGGTATACTTGATAATATTCTAAATTAAAACAAGATTAAAGAAAATGTTACTCGAATACACACGGTACAAAGCCGCTGTATTCTGCTATTAGATAATAAAAAGGTAACTTACTTTAATAAAGTTTCTACATTGGAATGTTAAGTGGCCAGCATAACCACACTTTTTACAAGCTGCTCTCGAAGATTCCTTGCCAAACTTGTTGACTAAATCTAAATTAGACATATTTATACAAAACGTATATGTACTTAACTAAATAATATAAATAATATTTTATAAACCAAGCAAAGGTAACAAAATTCACTACTAAAACTGATTGTTTGTCATCAAATTTCGATGAACACAAAAATTCAGTGTTGCCAAGAGCATATATGTCAAAAATTACTATTTTAGAGATTTACAATTTTTTTCTATAACAGAGTCATTATTGGTGTTTGTGACAAGGAAAACTAACGAATGACCATCAATTAAAAAAGAGGACTGTTTTGCCAAGTAACATACATTTTACGATTAAATAATACTAAATTCTGAAATTTGTTTTCATAATATTTACGATTTCAATTTTATTTATTCTGAAACTAACATTTATGACAAATTGAAATTCAGTAATTCAATTTTAATATTATCAAAAACTAAACAAATACTAATATAATTATATATTACGTGATATGGTGAAAAGTTACAATTTTGTAGTAAATCATCGTATTGGGCAACACTGCTACACTGGCGTTTCGTTACTGCATGTTAGGAGACATTCTACTTTCACCAACGAAACGCCGGTTATGCAGTGTTGCCAAATAGGAAAATTTTACAGCTTTGAGAAGTATGAATGAACTACGCAAACTGTTAAAACTTGATACATTACTACACACGTATGCTACTTATTATGGATTTTTTAAAAGACTTCCTTTACAAAATCTAACAAACTCAATCCGCCTCTACATAAGTATATAAAGCTAATATGTACAATAATATTATACGTGCGAAAATAACTCTGTCTGTTTGTAGAGCGCTTTCACGCTAAAAGTACTGAACAGAAAAATAAAATTTGGTATACAGATAGTCTAAGGACGAATATAACTACTTTTAAATTTAGGATACTTTTTAATGCTAAAAAATGGATGTAAGGGAAGATGAAAGGTCATATGAAAGTATCGGCATTTTGAAAGCTAGAAGCTTGGATCTTATTTTTTTTACTGTTAATTAAATATAACATTTAAAGTTTGTAAAAATTTTGCCCTTAAGGGGATAATATAAAATATGGTATGAAAGTTCATCCTTTTTGAAGCTAGAACTTTTTTCTTTGGCTTTTTGGGTTAGATTATTACATATTTTCTATATTTAGTGAAAGTGCACAGCTAGTAAACTATATATGTACAATCAGATAGGATGTACACGCGGATTTTACGAAGTTATAAAGTTGACCTTTGTCTATGGTTATCGAGGGTAGGTCCGAAACATACCACTATGAAAATTCAAAGCTTACTTTAGAATTGTATTATATTTGTTTAACAGCTAATAATGTGTAAACGGAAGACCTTCAAGACAATTAGTCAAAGGAAATGATGAGAAATGGCGGAGTTTCTGCCCCTGTGCGACGTGTTGTTCAACGTGATCTCATTGGCGGGCTACTTCTGTGACGTGGTTTTCGACGTCGTTATGGGCTACGCGTTGCTCGAGCGAGGGTACAAGGGCAGCTTCGCTGCGGCTATATCCATTGTCGTAACGTCGCTGCTAATTTCTCAGGTTTGTCTGAAACATTTTTACTTAAAGTGTTTTGTTTGACTTAAAGTGTGACCGACGACTTATTTTGATCCAATATAATAATACCCATATTTTGTCCTAACCAGGTGTTGTCTCTCCGTTGGTACTTGCATGTAAGGTGGGCCAACGAGGATCGGAAAGGCCGGCCGCCGTGGCTCCCCATTGTGCTGCACTGTCTACAACTGGGGGTACTGTGGCGGTACGCTCGTCTCCTAGTACCCGTTGAGTTACGGCGCGTCAAACATCAAGTTAGAGATTTGTGTAAGTGATCATGTATATGCTTTATATAACGATAAATTCGTAGTTTTAAATACTTACCAACTATAATTTATTTATAACTAAGTGAGCTTAACAGTCTCCCAATATGCCCACTTAGGAAGATAATATACAAATACATACAATTATAAACAGTAATTACACAAGAAAAACAAAAGAGAAAAAAAAAACAATAATAATAATAATACCTAATCTCCATTTAACATACTACCTAAATAATCCACTGCCATCCTAATATATAATAGTAATAATACCTCTGTACAATTCACACAATGTCATCTAGTCCCAAGGTAAGCAAAGCCTGTCTAATGGGTACCAGACAACAGATATAAATACTTAGAGCCGAGACTACCAGAGTAGCAAAAACACCTCGCAGAAGCGCAAAAGAAGACGTAGGAGGGTCTTCACAAATATATCACTGTTCACCAAGAATTTGTTTGTTGTGCAGCCACAACCTAACTGTAAATATTACTGTAAAATTTCATCAAAATAACATATTTTAGTAGTAGTTTTTACGAGAAAGAGTACCTAACAAACATCCACATCAAAATATCTTTATTCATATAGTTTTATTACAGACTCTTATGATATGTCAAATCTACGGTCAGATAGGAATGCTTTTGAGATGAGAAGAACTGACAAGAAACACGGCTCGTATTCTTTTCAAAAATGTGTCTTACATGTTCAATAATAGATTCATTTTTAATTCAAGTTTGGGACAATAGTTTGACCACCAACATATCCTATAGCAATTTTGTCAAAAGCAAATAGTATATCAAAAGCAATAATCTGTGTTCGTAACCCGAATCGACCATTCTCTACAAGCAGCACTCGTTCACGAGTATGACGGATTCGTCCATCTATACTCACAAGCTTTTGCGTTTATGATGTTAGTAAGATTTTGATATTCACAGGTATGCTGCGTTTGGTGCACGCGTTCTGCGAGGCGGCACCGATGTTGCTATTACAGCTGCACATATTCTTCAAAGAGACACTGGAACCCACCAATGAGCTGGGGGTGAGCTCTGAACCTAGCATCGACGAGTCAACTGGTAACATAGCTTCTTTTCGCGTTATACTACTTGCTCTGAGGTTCAATAGTCTTCTTAATCCAATATTGAAATAATGCAATTTCTCTTGATGAAATATGTCAATTTTTTTTACTTATTTCAGGATACTAATGACCCATATTATAAATTAGCTTTGCCCGCGATTTATTCGCATAAAATTTTGCCTGTGTTATTCTGATGGATAAGCTATATCACTGTAAAATTTCATCAACATCCATTCAGTAGTTTTTGCGTGACAGAGTAACAAACATTCAACCATCCATCTATATTCACAAACATTCGCGTTTGTAATATTAGTAAGATGTAATACATAGGAATGGTCCTAATTATCTAATTATATTTGTTATATACTAATGTGGATGGTTATAAAGGCAGAGGAATGCAGAAAAAAGAATCGATGCACTATGTGAAAGATGATATGGCAAGAAAGGAAGTGAATAACGAGTGACTGGCAACAGTGATGAATTGATGAGAAAAACCTATCATCTAAATGAATGCAATTAATATAAGCACTTTTGAATAGTCAAGTTTTTTTATTCTACCGCTTATTCGGAATGCAGATTCATCGCAAGAAGAATAAGCAAGAAACTTGTGTGTTGCTCTTTTAAATAAAAGGAATAAGCAAATGATGATTAAAGTATTAATTCTAGTATTCATTTTAGTATAGGTTTTGAATATATAATACAAAAAGAACTATTAAATAACTAAAAAACATTACAGCTAACAAGGCGTTTGCGGAGTTGAACGTGATATCGGCGTCTCTCTCACTCTTCTCCGTGTGTTGGGCGCTGGCCAGCTTCAGCAAGAATGTGCGTCTCCAAAACGTGCACAGACTCGTGTTGACATGGCTCGGAGTGATATTCCAGGTACGTAATGTTTTAATAATAATAATAGCTATCATCTTCTATTGGAAATTGTCGTTATCGAGTGATATGATATATATATATCAATAATAAGATAAAGAGCAACACACAAGTTTCTTGCTCGTTCTTCTTGTGATGAGACAGCTTTCCGAACGAGTGGTAGATAAAAAACAAATTGTTATGACTATTCAAAAGTGCTTAAATTAAGTTTATTTGAATAAATGATTTTCTATTCTATTCTATTCTAATAAAGAAATCGATAAATTATATTCTTCCAGTTCCTTTGGCGTTTGGGCACTATTTCGGCACGGATGTGCGCGCTCACCGTCTACGCTCTAGTCTATGAATACTGGGTCTTCTTAGTCATAGGTAAGAATTGTAGCAACTAACATTGTTTTATGTACATAAATTATTACTAATATGATATTAGCAACGATGACGAACAAGTGAGACAGCTCGAAAGATCTACAAAAAAATTACATGCACGACTACTACAAACATTCTAGCGTCCTTCGAGCTGGATTTCAATAGGCGATGTTTATAAAATTAAAATCGCTGAAGTAGACTTAGGGATAAATATGCCAATAATGATGTTCGCGTGAGTTCTATTTTTTCTTTTATTGTAACTGAATGATCGAGTGAACTATTGGACCACCTGATGTTAAGTGGCAACCATCCCATCTATATATATATATTATATATTTTATTTTAATTAATTTTAATATTTATTTTTGTTATTATTTTTTGTATGTGTAATTTGTGTCTGTACATACTAACATTAATATGTAATACTAACAAAATGGGTAAACATATTATTATAATATTGAACAGCACTACGAAATTTTCGTCATCCTGTGAAGCTAGGTATAACCCATGTACGTTCCAGAACATGCTTCGATATTTTATTTGTTATTAACAAGTGAGCCTAAGTTAACATTTTTTATTTCAGGTCTCCACTGGGTGTCAATGTTTCTCTGGTTGATATCGCCTAAGAACGTGTTCCACGGAGAACGCATCAGTCGGCCGCGGAAAGCATATCTCTCCGCGCTTATTGCCTTCGTATACGTATTCGCGTATATCAATCTACAGGAACTCAATCATAGACAAAAAATGGTAAGAAATATACCGTGACCATTTAAATTAGATAATATGGCTCCTGTTTTAAGAATTATAAAATCTGAAGGGAACTTAGTAAATCGCTATAAATCTATTCTAATATTGTAAGATTCAGAAGTTTGTTTATTCGTTTATTTGGTTGGACGCACTAATTTCAAAAAATACTTTAAAAAATCTGTTACTGTTAGATTGTCCATATATCAAGGAATATAGGTTATTTGACACCTCTCTATGACCAATAGGAACGAAGCATCAATCATCATCAAGAAAAGAGAGGTAGTCTTTTATGATGCATACAAAGTTCCAGGGGTCACTTATTAGAAGTAATCAAAATTTATCATGTACACTTTACTCAGGTGACGTTCTACTGCGTGATGTGCGTGGAGAACTGGGTGCTGGTGGGCGCGTGGTGGTGGTCGGGCCGGGCCCGGTCGTCCGCCGCCGCGCCCGCTCCGCTCGCTGCGGCTCATGCACTCGCCTTCCTGCTCGGGCTGGCCTTCATGCTGCTCTACTACAGGTTCTATGCTTGTCTCACTTACAATTTTGTTATTCCGACTGCTCCAATGCTGTTGGCCGCAGCTGACCTATACGGCTTCACCAAACGGTAGTGAGCGAGTGCAGAGGGCACTCCAAACCCACGGAAGGACTTATGGAGCGGCTGAAGGCCAACTCCCGCCTGACGGATATGACTAGTCTGAGAGCACCGCTGTGGATTCGATCCTCGGCTCAGGCCGTCGTAATTTTAATTCCTCTTCGAATTGAACGGGAGATCGATCGGAGAGGACTTACAACTATGCCATCTGAAGGGAAGGCGATTGTTAATAATAAAATAAAAAAAAAAATTCATGTAGGACATTTTGAAAGATCAAATTAAATATCTTAAAATCTGATCATAGCCATAAGGCTGATGGCAGATAAAAAGAGAAAAAAGAAAAAATGTAAGTCATTTTAGCCGCTTGAACGACACGTTTTTTGTATTAATATTTTTGTCCTACTGTCCAGTTCAGTATACAGATGTAAATTAAGAAAAACTGAGTTTTTTTTTATTTACCAAAATATACTGTCAAATTGTTCTCTCAGTAATTTTACCAAGAAAATATTTCATTTTCAATGGAAAATAACTAGAAAAAATACATATTCCACTATGGTTCACTAGAACAATTGCAATGAACTACTTTATCATCAAATGATGATGATGTACTGTAAGTTACCGTTACCGGAATGTAAGTATCGGAACTCTGTAATAACGCAATGTAATATCATCGTGTTTTAACAACATTGGTATGGTTTTGTAGGCTAAATCATTAGTAATAACTACAGTATATACATGTATATATTACAGGTACTTCCACGTGCGAAGATTAGGCTACATGCTCGGCGAGCACCAACAAGGCACTAATAGCACAAGCGCATCGTCGCAGAATAAAAACGGTATGCCAAATACAGCACTTAGTTGTTTTTTGTTTGTATTTCAGTCGGTGCCAACACCGACCTTCCATAAAATCTTTGCACCACCGATTGTTGACTATGCACCAAGTTTTAAGTTCGTTTTTTATTGGTGGTTTTATCTACTGTGCTCGCCCTTTTTCAAAGTTCGCTACCTAGTGAGGGATAATAATTGAAGGATATTCTTAGGAACGATGGTTTTTATCTCCTCATGATAGCGTGTATACCTACTTTACAAAGTAGATATTTTGTTTATTCATGAGTAGGCTACAACCACATAGGATGTGTAGTGGCGATTCCTCTTCTTCTCTGGCAAAATCTGCAGATTTTGCCAAACAAAGGTCTAATTTCGCCATGTGTTTTTCAATTTGCAGTGACCATTGACTGTCCTAGTCCACCTTATGTACCTTTGTATAATCTAAATAACCGTCAATAAACACCAAATTTAGAAAATAAAGAAAATTATTTATACGATTAAAAATATAAGCATAATATAAAGCAGCTTGCTGTGTGACAGTGATATGAAAGATTACGGATTTAGTCATTCAAAGTTGCAATACATGAGGGGTATATGGGTGCCACGTGATAACCTGAAATCTTTAGCGCTGTTCATGTATTTAGGCGATGGTTTCTATCTACTTATTGAATGTTATTTGAATGGCAAACAAGCGGACGGCCCATCTGATGTTTGTAACCGTCGTCTCCACACATGAACTCCCTACGATATCACGTTATCACATGACCCCGGGTGATCATGCATTGCAATTCCAGTGATCTAAGATGTTATGCATATTAGTGTAATGTGAGTTCAGTCAGGGCAGATACACTGCCTAATCGAGCCGTGGAGTTTTGTATGCATCACAAAAGATTGCCTCTCTCGTAAGTGAAACTCTGATCAACTACTTTTTAGCTTCAACAATAAATAAAATTGTTCTGGAGTTTCGATAACTTTTTTTTATTCAGCTGTAATATTATTACTTTTTTTTGCTGTTTACACAATATCTAATATTTCTTGGCCGTCTACTTGCTTCCAAGCAAAGGCTTCCTCTAATCTTTTCTATTCTGTTCCGTCTTCAGTGATTCGGGTCCATAGTTTTCCTACGGTTTTAACTGTTTCATCTTCCCATCTTCTATTTGGTCGTCTGTTTTCTTTTGTCATTGTTTTAGGTACCATTAAAAAACACATATATCTTTCCGTTTCTTTTCTATAACTTGATGTGTGTTAATATATTTCTCAATATATTATCTTCAGGGAAACCTGGACAAACGGATAACACAACGATACCAGGCGTGTTTAACTGTCGGTTCACGAATCCAGTCAATAATAGCACAGCCAACGGACGCAAGAAGAAGAAACCCACTTCGTTCGTGCCGCCGCCCGCAGCGCCAGCTGCTGCTTTCTGGAGAAGACCTCTGCCGGCCGCTCATAATCACCATGTAAGATACGAATGTGGAAAATAATCTATTATGGAAAGAAATCGATTAATCAACAATCGACTTTTTTTATTAAATTTTTCATCCAATGTACCTACATAAACTCCCATAGGCCTAAATATTAGGGTTATAGAAAAATAATCATTATGGGAATATCGATTGACATTCATTAATACAACTATTTAATTAATAATCGATTTGTGGGTTTTATTTACGGGGATATTATAAACACTTGCACTCGGGTGTACTTATACTTCTGTTTCATGGCTCATTAGTATATACAAAACTCTAATTTATGTTACTTGTTACTTCTAGGGCAATAACTCTCTATCACACTAGAGGTATAATTAATTTTGAATATATAAATAAATAACTTACAGGGAGGTTCCTCTGAAAACGAAGGTTCAAGTGTCGGCTCACGCGTTAATATCCAGCAGAAACTACAAGAGAAGAAACAAAAGCAACTCGCTGAACTGAGAGTTATAGAAGAAGAGATCAAACAGGGGAAGCTGGCTAAGACCACGCCCGTTGCAGCCGAGGAAATATACAGCAGTCTCCAAAGACAGCCTATACCCAGGGCCAAAACACATGCGGAGCCACCGGCCTGGCCTAGTATAGAAATGACGCATTCCTATCAAAATTATCCCGTGGTACCCCACACTTGCAACATGTTATACCCAACGTACACAGAAATTAAACCAGAGTATGGAGTCGATAGTTTTCAAGCCACAGAAAACAACGCTTCAGACCTCAACGATTTAAAAATCCGAAGACTTCCGAACAGGTACGAAAATCCTCGAACCTTTTACGAAAACCCAGCAAATATGCGGAGTGACGTCACAAGGACGCCTCTCCGTTCGCCGAATTACTTGGCAATGGACGAGACGAGGAACTACGAGGCAAACGGTTGTAGTAGTCCTCGGAACGTAATGAATAGTAGCCCAAGAAACTATAATGCTGATGTCTCCAATAACAACTATGATTCTACAGCGTTGGACAAACCAAGGCTAACGCAAAACATTAATATTTATTCAGAAGAAAATAGACCTATGAGTGAATACACGAGTTTCTGCGAGAACGCCCAAGCTTATACCAAATATGAAGGAAAGGATGATTATACCTCCGCGTTACATAGTGCTTTAGCAAACGTTCAAAGTATAGACAATATACGAAATACATACAACGAGGCGGGTTGTACTCAGTACAATCAGAATTGCGAAAGAATGTTCCCTTACCCTGGCCTGGCAGGGAAGAAAATGGAACAAATAAGGAAAATGCAGAGGTGCCGAACTCCTGAGATTCTGCTGGCGCCGCTCTATTTGGAAGGATGCAATAGGCAGGTGTGCTGTCATTGGGGAGCACCATATACGTGAGTATCATACTAATTATATTTGACGGCCTCGGTAATCTAGGGGTATAATATAATTGTTAAGTATTTCTATCAATTGTCTAGTACCTACAACACAAGCTCTACTCAGCTTGGACTAAATAGCGCTGTGTGAATTGTCAAACAAAAATTACACTTATCGTGATATGCTGATACTAGCGATAATTGACATTTTGGAAAGTACTACATTAGAAAGTAGAATCAATGGATTTACTCTTTCACAAATTTATGTCGGACATCTCAAGATAACAGAAAATTGTATTAATAAAAGTATTGCAGAAAATGCGTTATATCATGATCTTTTTAAATTGTGGTAGAAACAGAAAGAAAGAGGAGAGTGGAGAGGAATCAGGTCCTGATGCGCCAGCTCGAGACACTCCGCGGCCGCCTTCAGACATCGACAGCCAGGTGCCAAATCAATTTAATCTCAAGTCCAATTTAAAGTTGCATACTTCTTAAAGAGCGTTCAATAGTGTGTTATTGTATTTTACTATTTTTTGTGACCACTCTTTAGCGCGTGATAGCGATGTTAATTAAAGTCATTTCACCTTTTAAAATTTTATTCCACTGATTTTATTTTCACATGTTTAAAATTTATAATTTAACAATAACTCTATTATTGTCTTTGCTCCGTTTTTGCAATGGAGGTCATCTAACTATAGATTAATTATTGCTATCTGGAGATACAAAAATCAAATCAAATTAATCGAGACTGATAGGGTCTTACATCTGCCCAGAATTAACAATAATAGTTTCTAGGACCAGTCATGTTACATTGGTAGCAATGAGGTCACTACTCCCAATTACTATCTCCTTCCCTATTAATAAGCTATAAAGAAATTCTGCATAAACTTACATTATTCTGCTTATGAATAACAAGACATTATGTTGGTTTATTCAGATCTCCCTGCCTCGTTCGTACACGTTACCTCGGGAGTTCCGGTACTGGCGGCGGAGGCCGAGACTGCGGGATGCACATGTGCCGAGCAACAATAGTAGTGATGGTATGTCCCTTTTCTATATACACTTTTAACATAAACAATATATGTATCTCATATACTCTCAATACATGTATCATGTGTATATAAAATGTTTGTGCCACAATATTATTTACCATGTACTCCAAAAAGGCTGGACCAATTTATAAAAAATTTATATTCATTAGATCTGAACATCAGCTACTATTTTTCATAATCCTAAATAGTGATAAAAGTTTTTAAGTCATTTCAATTTATATGGCAAAATATTGCGGGATCAGCTAGTATACATATTTAAATACAATTTTTTCAGGTGACGTAGACAGCGCTGATAACGACAGCGACCACCGATCAAACTGCTCCGCAGCCTCGCAGCTCCAAAGCCCGACCTATGCCGACAGTTATCAGTACAGGGAAGGACTACGACCAGAGGAACCTCGCTACAGCGAGTTGTACGCCGTGTGCCCAGTCGACCGACGGCCTAGGAGAGGCTTTAGGAAACAAGGACCCAAACCTGAGACCAAACTTTGACTATCACTGGACAATGCGGTGTTATATCTTAGTACATGTCTAAAGATTAGGGATGTGACATTATGTATAAAGAAATCGATTTTTATTATACTAATCGATTTGTCTAAAGTAATCTGTTCATGGGGCACTTGACCCGTGTGTTCACAGGCTCGCTCGGCCAGTCTTCTTTTTGAAAAAAACACCCATGTGAAAATTCAATATTTTTGAATAATGAAATCAATAGATAAAATTATTTTTTAATGATTATTATTAATCTGATTTTTATGCATAATCCATATTATTTTTTCACATCCAGAATGAATATCTTTAGTAATGGAGCCGGTGGCAAAATAAATAATTCCCTAAGGCAAACCAGGCAAGTGCCTAGAAGCGCGAGGTTAAAAGGCGCTCACACCGAACTTTTAAACAAGTTGAAGTAGAGAAACGCCAACTCCATGTATGTAGTAACCTCTATCAGACATGCAGTAACGCGAACTACATCAATGTTTTACTACTATTAGAACTAGTTAAAATTTATAATCTAGGGCGCTCTTTCCTGATCTTTCTATCTTTATTGATCCCGCCTAAGTTTGAACTAGACAACATACTTGTCTGTTGATATATGCAGCCTCTAGAATGAATCAATAATATAATCAGTTGACGCTGTTTTATTATAGGTAAAGGCTTCACAATATCTTCTAGTCTTCTCTAAAAGATGAATTCAATTTTTCAAGTGATCTTCCAAAATATTCAATACTTTAATAAATTGAATATGCGATATGTATAATGTAATAATCTCAATGAAAATATTTGGAAGTAAATAAAAAAGCGATGTAAGTACATACAATATTATATTATATATGCATATTACAACATCTAAGTCGATTGTTATAGTTATAGATGTAGAACGATTAACTATTAACTAAATATGAATATTATATATGAATTTATGCTATAAATCTCTCAATATTTGGACGCTGTTAAAAACGTCCTGGTCACGGGTCCAAGAGTTTATATAATATTTTATATACAATTGTAAACAACCGTGCAAAGCTCCAATAATCTAAATAATAATAAAATATTTAGATTATTGGAGTTTTAACTTAAGCGCAGAAAGATAAATTTCTAAGCTAACATCGTAAATAAGAATACCAATATCTTGTATAATTTAGGAATAAGTATAGGTACATTAATATTCAGATCTTGTTTATTTTTGGATTGTAATATATTTGTGATCCTATATATTTGACAATGTAATTATTCTCAATTATTATTAATGTACATTATAGTTTACCATAATAATATGAATAAATTATTGATAACTCATTTATTTGTCCACCAGTATTTCTTAGCTAAAAATGCTAAGCTTATATTTCATAGACTATTTGAAAACTAACTGAAATTACTATTCCGTCCAATAAACTTTTGAATCTCATTCATAATGTACAATATATTTAATATAACCGTTTAAGTATAATATATAATAGGATGTATAAATTAATTTGTATCATTGTATAATACTGTAATTATACATACAACTATTAAGAGGAGGTATGGAAATAAAAGAGACATGTCAAACTTTTATTTACTTTATTATCTATATTCCAATTGTAAAAGAGGGTACCAGTCACTCTATCACTCCGTGTCACTACGCCACTACTGATCTCAACCATTTACACATTTATAAAGAAACATCAACCGAAATAAGGTTAAAAATTCACAAATACACATTTAATGTTGATTATATCTAGCTTATAATAAAAGGATTGCGCGCACCGAGAGATTGTATTAGGACATTAACGTAAATAAAAAAACGTTATAAATAGACAGCCCTATATATTAAATAGGGGTGCCTCTAATGCGTTGCATAATAGTGAAATATCGAATATAGACAAAATAACGTCAGTATTAAACAACGCATTGTTCATGTCTCGGCTCGCTCAATCCGACTATCCTAGTGTAGCTCCACCTCGGACTTAGCGACTATTTCGGCCACAAATTACAAATTGAAATGCTGTAAAAGCACCTAACGTAAATGAAACGGCTCAATGCTGATCCAGACTATAAGTATATTGTAAGAAACAGAATAGAAACGACCACAAAAATATTGATATGGTTATTCAATATTATTTCATTACAAGTAAATTCCCAAGTGTTTTAAACAAATCTTATTACACTATATTATAAATACGTTGTCAATCAGTTTTATGAAATGAAAATAATCTGATGCCAGTCATAACAACTAGTACTTTATTTAAAGTTGGACTTTAGCGAAAAACAGACGGCAAGTTTTCAAATATTAAAACGCTTACATATATTATACTGCAATTCTAGATCTGTATAAATTGCCTCTCAATGAAAAATAACAATTACAAACCTAACATTACAATATCGTTGAAGACAAACACAATAAAACTAATACGATAATTATTTAATTAAATTAAAAATCATTTCTATGAGAAACGACAAAAGTATAGAAATTAAAATATATTTCGAAATTATTACATGTCACATTACATGACAAGTCCTAAACTTATATGTGGAACATCGAAAACTTGACCGTTGTCTTGTCCGCGATAATTTCACGCCAAAATATAAAAATATATGGAAGATACTGGCACGTAATCTCCCGTATTTACTAAAACACGTCTCGCGCAACCAATACGAACATAGCCCCAAACATTGTAAGTCCTGTGTATTTATTTACACCTCTTAAGATACACTTACACGATCTTAATATGAATAGCTTAATTTTGCGATAGTGCCAGGCGTTAAAAGAACACTTTTACAACCTAGGTTCATATTAAAAATAAACTTACATTCCGAATTTTTAAAACAATCTCCGTCAATCTACGACAAACGCCGACCGCGACCGACGGATGCATCCGAACTTTGTACAATGGAAATTTACATAAAAAATAACGTGTACTTTAGTTTGAGCCGTCGAAGTGAGCCGTGCTCTGAATGCTAAGTCAACAAAATGTGGTCCCGACACTGTCTGTCTGTCTAGAAATGAAAATAAAAGTTTAAAAAATATATAACAATTCATAGTTTTGGTAGAAAGGCACTCAGCGCACGGGTTACATTTCAAACTCAACAAAATATAAAGAAACGTGATAGCATATCACTTTATAGTCCCCGATACAGGCACAATGAACATAAAACTCCTTACAAGCTCTAGAGTTATTTAACTCGGATTATACTTACACTAGAGGGAATTATTCCTACAACATAAAATTACATAGTCCAAACCGCGCCGTGGCCGACTACGTACAAAATTGTCAAATGTCTCTAACCGAATTAAAATTCAGATCCTTCATTGTGACGTCTGTGATTAATTATAATTGAAAGGGGTGCATTCAAGCATTACATAAGTCGCCGTAATTTTCTTTATCAACTTTAAAATCGAAAGTTATTCTTTTATTAAACTTAGAAAAAAACTATTACACATGTAACAGTATATATGTTTTTTAATTTAAAACCGTTTAACAACATAACAACGTTTAAATTTGATTAAAAACTGCTTACATAATACTTGAACACAATGCTTATTTAATACACTAAATAGGTATTTCAATGTCTGCTTTTTCATCCAGTAGATCAATAGTCTCCGGTAGTAATCTTGAGCACTTGTGCAGAAGCCTTATTTCATACAAAATCTCATCTGTGCTGTTTAGTCAACCAACACTCGTGATTCTTACCGGTAACTATTACTGGCATAACAATTGAAGGTACAGAAATGAGTAGCCACAGACGCGGCGTCGGGTATTAGTCTAAATGTTTAAGTTGCGTATCTTACTTGACTATTTATGTTTTGCGGCCGACTGGTCACTGCTCACGATGATATGAGCTGAAATAAACATTAGCTTATTAGGATAAATTACAATACACTAATGGACGTATTTTGTAAATCAATAGTATATTGCCATATAAGTGCGTTATGACGGTTATAACACACGTGGCAGGATTTCAACCCGAGCCGAAGTTGAAGGCGTAATAGAATCGAGTGTGTTAAATATGTACGTATATCGTACGACGTGTTTCAACACCCTCGATTTTAAATAAACTCAAGCATAAAAGTGTGATACACACGAGCAAGTGTGTTGAGAAAGAAATATTAATAAAAAAAAAGTGATAGAAATATTATTATTATAAAAGTAAATATCTTGTATTTTTCATTCTGGTCATCACCTGCGCTTAATTTGTGTTTTGGGGGCTTAGGAGCCTTTCGGTCTTATTACAAAAAATCTGTTAAAACTCGGACGAAACGTGGTCTAAATGGTCGTGGTTTAAACCATTCCTAATGTTAATACTTGGAATAAATAACATTATTACGAATCCAGATCTATTATTATACAGTTAAATCGTTCATTATGTATTCCATATCAGTCACTCATGTCTGTATACAATTACGTTCCATTTTAACAGAAAACTGAAAAGATCAAAAATAATATTAGTTCAAAGAAAAATGTATAAACTAAAAATATATTTATTTCTATTTATCTAGGTCTTCATTATAACTATTTCATTAATATATAATATTTATTAATGTACTATTAGGCTGAAAATCAGTTTTAAATTACAAGTAGGAGTCCTATACGGAGGAAAGGAACGGCGAGATATTTTTATTGGAGCGTTCGAATGGTGACTATTTCAAAGTCAAATGAGTGAAAAAATAACAAATAACGTCTTTTATATATTTTTATTGTCGTAAAATTTGCTTTAAATATTTTTAGTTAATATATTTTTAATTTAGTTAAACTATTTTTCCAAAAACTACAACTTACAATAGAATTTTTAAAATGGAGTTTGTATTTTTGCATTTAGACCACTGTTAAACTTAGGTCTAACTTTAGACCATAGACCAATCACGATTTAGAGATAAACTTTATTTTGTAATAAGGAATACATTGGTGAATGGTTTATTACTAGTACTAAACCAGGTTTATCTTTTTGTAATAAGGCCGTTTAGGTTCCCGATAGTATAATGCATATTATGTTACAACAAAATTACATACACATATTTTTCCCTCTGTCTTAATATGATCTGGCAGTGCTTTTACCTACCACATACTTAACATCCTTTGAAATACTGTACAAAAACATGCTCTGCTTTATTTCTAAATTATAAAACAAATATAATAAAAAAATATATAAAAAACAAAAATAAAAATCTACCTTAAAATAAAAAGTTGTATTATCCATTCATTGCATTTCAGTTATTTACTTTTTCATAATATATTATTATTGTAATAATATATAACTATGTCCTTATATAAACTATAGGTATACTATGCAGACATCTACACTCCACCCTTAACTCCTAACATCTTAAATACACTGAAACAAAGAAAAACAAAACATAAAAAATAAAAACAAATAAATAAAATGTTATAAAACATAAAACATCATGTCACACTATGAATAAGAGAAAGCAGCACCACTTGAGTATGAAGAAAACATTCTCGTATACTTGATAAGAGAAAGGTTTCTTCAAGGCAGTTTTCAAATTATATTTTGTACAGTGAGGTACTAACCGACTTGACTGTGGCCTTAATGAAGTCCTTTTTGTGTGCGAGATCGAAGTCCGGATAGTGGCTGTACACTTGCTTGCACACCGTCTTCATTGTGATCTGTTCCAGGTTAGCGCCCTCGAGGATTTGCTTCACGTATTTCTTTATTTCATCATCCTAACAACATAAACATTATTTACACATCGCGTAATAAACAATTATGTTTGAATTGATGACTACCATTTTATTAATTGAAAAATAATTTAAGCGACAAACAGGTGTTACCCAATATTTCATCTGCATAAACTTTCGTCCTATTTTTAACGCCTTTTAGTTAATGTTTTGATATAACAAAACTAACTACAATCAATCGATAAAATGTACTAGTATCCCTATGGTTCTACCTGTAGCTAGTAGGGCAGAAGATGTATGAACTAACTACTCAAAAATAGAAATAGAAAAATATTATTCAAATTAATTTAATATAAGCACTTTTGAGTAAGCATTTTGTCAGTCAAAAATACCATGTGTATGTTTGTTTTCAATACTAATGTTGCCAGAGAAAGCACTTACAGTAGGCGGCCGTTTTGCTTTCTTATCAGAAGGTGAATCTGATTCCTCGCCACTCTCCTCCTCGCTTCCATCCTCCTCCTCTTCTTCACTGCCCGATTCCTCTTCTGATGACGCTTTCTTACCCTTTTTGGCTGGTCGACCGGCAGGTTTCGCTGCTGGCTTTTTCTTTGCTGAATATCAAACAAATATAAATAAGAAAATCAAAAGTTTATGTAAAAATCATGGTTTTATAATGAGATGTGGTGAACAAAATAAAGTATAAAAGTATTATATTTATATCAGTCATCTAGTACCCATAACAGAATCTCTACTTACCTTGGGACTAGATGGCGCTGTGTAAATTATGCAGGAATATATATAATATTATTATTATTATATTTTAAGGAAAAATTAAGTGGTTACTAACCAGGCGGCGTAGGTGCTTTCCGCTTGACCGGCGTGGCCTTGGCGTTGGCGCTGGCTTTGGATGCCACTGCACCCTTGCGTCCCTTCGCCGCCACCGGCGGCCGGCCTCGCTTCGACTTCGGCTCCTAAACAAATTTATAATTACTATATTAATACGTGAAGCAAAAATTTTGTACACCTTTTTACGAAAATTGCGCCAATGGATAAGTATGCAATTTCGCTCACTTGAAGTGCAGAATTATAATATATTTTCTAAATTATGCATAAAAATCATTACACACACTATCATGTGTTTGACACACGCACACATATATATACTCATATACACATACTCTTTTGTTTACTGTTAGTCTGTGGTGAATTTGAGATTAATACTGTTCGTCTTTTATATTATTTTTCTATATAGTCTTTGATAATAGCAACTTAATAATAAGAGGCTATACTTAAAAAAATCCATATATTTTACTTTCAAACGAGTTTGTAGAATTAGAAATTTTGTAGAATTACAAAGGCACAAATCCAATTTTAAATTCAATTAGGGAGAATGTGACCACCAGCGTATTATATTGTATTTTATCAAAGGGTTGTAATTTAATCAGTAGCCGTAACCCGAACAAACAGCACCCGATCTCGAGTAATACCTGGTAATATTAATCACATGTAAAAGTAATAGACTTGTTTGAACTTACGTCAGATTCTTCTCCTTCGCTTCCAGATTCCTGTTCGCTCTCACTCTCTGACTTTTCACTTTCTTCATCACTCTCTGATTTGGGTCGTCTTCCGCGGCCTTTAACAGCTGATACCTGTATGTATTAAAATATTTGTTCACATTGTTATTGGTTTACGTATTATATAAGGGAATGTATTCTGAAAATTTGTTTCACATTAGGTCTACAGCTACCTTCTAACATCGCATCGCTTGTCATCGACAGGAAATTCATTCCAAAAACCTTGAAGTCTTAAATATTTACACACTGCGATTTCAGACGATTTCCTCCAGTGCAACATCAGATTGAGGTGTAAACCAAGTTCAAGGATTCCTCGAGAGATCAAGGCATTGAGTGAAAGCAAGAAACTTTAATACATAGGTTTTTTAGGGTCGGCAACCCGCACATGTCACCTCTTGTTTTTTATGCGTCTATTCTCCATGGAAACCATTTACCATAAATATTTATTTATTTATTTATTCTTTATTCTATTCTCCATGGAAGGGTACCATTTACCATATAAATATGATATATCATATACATATATATATTATATAAAATGATTATATACTGAATGGATAAATAATAAATTCTTCACACACAATGGATGTGTTAATTCTTCTGTACAAAGTAATCTGACATCTTAAAAAGTCTACGGAGTAGCTTATTAAAAATATAAAATCTCGATTGTAAATTAATAATACCTTGCCCTTCTTGCCCTTGGGTTTGCGTCCGCGCTTGCCAGGTTTGCCAGAAGACCGGCGGCGTCCGCTACTCTTACGCTTGCGCCCGACTCCACTCGCACTCTCTCCCGCTTCTGGATCGAAATCGGAGTCACCCTCTTCCGAACCGCTGGGGTTGAATGAACCCTAGGCATAGATTATTATTACATTTAATTTGGCTCAGACAATGTAGTTTAATAACATTTTAAAGCACAAATATATCTATATATATTGGAATTTTCTGCCATTTAAACATAGCACTTGCACACAGATAAATTCATGTTTGCAAAATGCATTATATGTACATAACAAAATACTTACAAAAGTCTTGGGTTCAATTCCTCGCATGGTACAAACATTTGTATTCTGTGTATAATATGTGCATATTTTTGCATGAAAGGAAGTATCCAAGTACTGTATCAGTTGTTTAGTATCTATAACACAAGCTTCGCTTGTGAGTAGATAATGCTGTGTGAATTGTTCATTTGAATAATTTGGTACACTTACATCTGAGTCTTCTGATCCATCCTTTAGTGGTTTTGGACCTTTGACTTTTGTTTCTGGATCAGTTTCATACTCCTCATCCGAGTAACCTAAACATTCAATGATCATTTATTACAGGACAATATAGTAACCTAGTTAACTGTGATAAACTCACATAAAACATGTTTTTTTTCAAATATCAATACATTTCATAGATGTACAAAACACTGAGTAAATCTCTATAATATGCAGAAATAAACATCTGTATATAAACTGTATTTAAAGCATCTAAAACAAGGTAATTAATTCACAAGTATGACTTTGCTTCCAAGTACTTAAAATTAAAAATAAAGTGATAAATACGCACCTCTATTGTGCACCTTGACAGCGGCGGATCGTCTCGGGCGACCGCCGGGTGTGGAGGCGGGGGCGGCGGCGGGCGGCGGGCGGGCCACGCCGCGAGCGTGCGGAGAGTTGGCGGCCGGCTGTTGCAGGAATGCTACTATTCGCCCCGCTAACTCGCTGGCCCCACCTGATGCGTGCAACCACAAAAAACAGATCAGTATTTGCCTTTAGTGAGAAATTGTTTTCATATAACATGTATTGTATTTTAAAGGTCTAAAAATAGGGGAAATGGGCTGTTACTAATGTGGACTCATGAACTATTGCCCGTAGAATGTTCGTACCACATCAGGAAAAGACCAATTTAACAATTGAACAGTCCAATTTAATTTAATTGTACAAGGGTTATTAAAAACTACACTGAGATTTTAGAACATTATCAATGAATTATTCAAAATTTACATGCATTAATAAATAAAATAAATGAAAGTATGCTAGGAAATTTAATAACTACCTTTCTTATCAAGGTCGAGCATCTCGCACATGGTGCGCAGTTGCTTCATCTCCATCTTGGTGGTCTCGTCCAGCTTCGCTTTGTACTCCGTCGAGCCGATTGCCCATTCGTAGCCTTTGAATTTCTTGATATTACGTTTCACATTACGATCTAAACATAATTGCTGTAACAAAGCCCACAGTTTAGTATTTAGAATTAGTGGGAGGAGAGGACAGTTAGTAATGGCTCTCATGTACTAAGAGTCGTTTGACTACAGCACAGCAAAATTATCGTAAAGGTCAGGCGACGCTATTCTCGACAATACCATGAGTGAGAAAGATGTAGTCAACGACGACTACGGCTCATGGTTGTCCTATCCTCGCCTTGATACTTATGAAATTTATGTTCAAAATAATTGAAATGGTCAAGCTGATCAGCCACCTCATAAGACGTTTCCATCATCTATAGAGGGTAATAAGACTAATATGGACTAATGAATCCATTGCTAGCAATGTACCATGTCAGATTGAGCTCTAAACTGTTCCCCCTGGTGAATTTGTCACGATGGGCTAAGAAACTATCATGACAAGTTCGCAGGTGAGCATTATCTTCCATAAAAAAAACTGTTCCCCCTAGAAACTATCATGACAAGTTCCTGGTGAATTTGTCACAATGGGCTAACAGACCTGACCTCTAACTCATTTCATTATCCTCCACTGGTGACCAGCAAGAGTAAACCATTTATCTCACACAAGCTATTAGAAAGAAAGTTCCTCGGCAACTGAATTAGATAGATATCCCACATATACAACTTTTAAAAAGTCAATCTAAGTTCATTTCTGTCGTGTAGTCTTAAGGACAGACTATTTTTATGTGCCTGGAATGGCAATAAGCTACTATGACACACCTGGTTCTAAGTGGCGACATTCCTTATATACAATGAACAGTATATGAGAATAGTAGTACTAGTAGAATAGTCAGGTTCAAACGACGCCCTCATCATCGTTTTAAGGTTTCAGTAGCCATGTTCCAATTATTTTTATGGTAACTCTTAATTGCAAATTCCTTTTTTAAAAAAGATTTAATATAAAAAATAGCCTATATTGCTCCTCAGAATACAATTCATCTATAAATAAATTTCATTAAGATGCATATGAAATCAGACAGAGTTTTACTATTACAACACAAACAGACACACTTGCTATTATAATATTAGTATGGACATAACGAAACAATTATAGGTAATACTTACGCCATACAAATACTGGTGCAATAATTTCTGATCCTGAGTCTTGAACCGTGACAGTGAGACTTCCACATTGCTAATGTGACCGAGGGGGATGCCCTTGCCGGCTGGGAGGGGGACGGGAGGTTCTTGTGGCTGTGTAGAATATAATATGGTCAATACATTGATAGTAATTCTTTTTTAAATAACTGTAATAACAAATAAAAACTGTCCCACAAAATCTTACTTAAAATTCATAGCGCTGACAATACTATATGATTGCACAAATATTGAGTGTGTAGCGGCTTCTATGTTGATTGTCGCATGCCTAATGCTTGTGAGTGTGTGACTTAGAATAACATTTATTTAAAAGAGCAACACACAAGTTTCTTGCTCGGTCTACTGAGGTCGGTGTAATGAGTCTACATACAACATCCGAAATAAAAAAAATATGACTATTCAAAAGTCCTTATATTAAGTTCAATGATATAGAGATTATATCTATTTCTAATAAGTACCTCTTTTTTGGGTTTTGGTTTGGGCGCCTCCTCCTCCTCCTCTTCCTCCTCTTCTTCTTCGCCCTCCTCGTCTCCTTCTTCGTCGCCTTCCTCGTCCTCATCCTTAGCTTTCTTTGCTGGTTTTTTCACTCTAAACAATAAAAATAAATTTAGTATTACCATTTTTTTAATTAACAGTAGTGATAAAACAATGGATATTTTAATAATACATCATACATATTATGTCAATTCAAGCCTGCACTTATAAAGGTTGGATATTAAAAAGGACAATTGTAAGAACTTAATGTAAGAGAATGCACATATTCATATTGTAAAAATGTATTTGAGTCTCACATTCACACATATAAAATAGTAAACCTAAATTGTTAGAATCGATTATTGATTACGCATATAATCCATTATTTATATAAACAATGTGTTATGTAAATTTTTAAATGTTACAAATTATGTCAATATACTTACTAAAGTATTCCTAACCTTGCTTTAGACACTTTTTAATAGTACTTTCAATTACAAAACTGTAAATTGTTGGACTACTAGACTACTTACTTATCTTTAGGCTTTGATTTCTTGTCATCCTCCGCATCGTCTTCCTCGTCCCCCTCCTCTCCTTCCTCCTCCTCTTCGTCTTCTTCCTCATCCTCTTCTTCCTCCTCCTCAGTATCCTAATTTATCCATTTTCAATAATTTAAATCAGACAAGAACCTTTTGTTTTAAATAATACTATTTTAAAATGTAATTTTTTTTAATACTGCCTATTACCAAGGTAGACTTTATATTAAATCTTCTGGGTGGATACCTGTCTATTTTGTAAGACGCGTTTCGGTTGAAGGGATAGATATGTCAATGAAATTACAGGATTTGGAGGCATGACCTCCATTTTAGTCCTTCAGAACAATAACGGCGTTACATGATAACATGTTCATATGCAAAAATGAGGGTTACCACTCACCACCTTTCGGCCATCAGCTTGTCTGCCATTACATTGAATATCATACTATTACAGAATTTTTTATAATATACAGCAATTTTGTCATTACGTAGTCGAGAAGTAATTTTAGTAAAACATATATTTTTTAATATAAATATGTTAATATAAAAAAAATAAAAGTTTTACCTCTTTCTTAGGCTTCTTCTTTGCGGTCAATTTTTTTGCTCCTTTGTCGTTCTCCTTCACATCATCCTTATCGTCGTCATCGTGTGTTTCACCATTTTCCTCCTAATACATACACACTGTTTAATAGATATACATACATACAAAGTAGAGCTGAGGGAAAGGAAATTGTTGGTTGTAGACTAATATACCATATCAGATTGATCTCCACACAGTTCTCCTGGAAACCACCACGTCAAATTCCTGGTGAATTTGCCAAGATGGAGCAAATGACTTGACCTTATGCTCATCTTAATATCCTCCATTGGTGTCTCGTCAGCATAAACCGTTAGCGTAGACGGGTGAGCCATTCCATTATCACGCATTAAAAAATAACATAGATTGGCACGCCTAAGTCTACACTACACAATAGTTAAGTATCTTATACTAGAGATGCCACGAATATTCATGTTCTATTCGGTATTCAGCCTAATTTACATAAATATTGGATTTTAATATGAAACAAAAACACATAATAAATATTACTTAACTATACTATTAAATATACTATTACTTAAAATTTGTCACCAGTAGTATCATTGAGTTTTTCGTCATAATGTAATTTCGTTAAGTTTTTCGCACAGTAATATTTTATAGATATCAAAAGATGTGATGTCGGTGAAGTACATAATAAAGTAGACCATCAACTGTTTTGGCATTCCACTTTCGATTTATGTAAAATCGAAAAAAGAAAACATTTGTATATCACTAATTGCATATATTTATTTATTCTATGCCAATTATACAATTGTGTCAGAAATTAAGAGAATGATAATTTATTTGTATATAATAGACAAACCTTTTTAGAGTCACCATCTGCTTTTACATCCCGTTTGTCGTCCTTGGATTCGTCGGCCCCTGCGTCGTCCTTACCGTTAGCAGTTGCCGACTTTGAGTCCCCTGGGTATAGAGAAGCGCATTGTTAGATAATATAATAGTACTATTTAATCTGTGAGTAAAATAAAATAATTATAATACCTATCTTTGGTCTTGTAAAAGTAAGTCAGTGCATCGTGCATGCAAACGTGCGGGTGTGAGTTTCGATTTAAATTCGATATAGTAAGGATGTAAAACCGTAGCTACGTGTTTGTGGTGGAAAGGTTATGAAGGGCACCATTGCGATGGATCCGCTACAATAAGTTGTCGTCGATGAACGTCACTTAAAGTATATTCTAACTGTAGTTGAAGTTTCTATATAAAAGCACACACCTAAAAACTTCCTTCTGTTCACACACACATACACACATTATCTTTTTTTATTATTCTTGTAAATTACTTTCCGATGTCATATTGGTTAATTATATACCTAGTTGATGTGGAGCCTGTTTGAAGTCTCTTACATAAAAATTTCTGAGTCCTGCGACACAAGCCTTGAGCTTAGTGCAGGGATTGCTGTTAAAATATTTTGTCTATAATCATTGACGTAAAGTACAAATAAATAAATACATATTCTTTTACAAAATTATGATTCAGCCAAAGAGAGGTATAATACGATTGTCATTTCTGTTTATCTTTATCTTCTCTGTATCTTTATGGATAATAAAATCGTGACGAGGCGAAAACTGTCTGTTAGTGTTAAGATTTCACGTAAAAACTGCTAGAGGAAATAGGATGAAAATTTCGTATAATATATTGTTAAATATGAACCAACATATAGACAAAAAATGTTAAGACAGGTACTTAAGTGAGAACAGGGAGGAACAATGATCAATTTTGTGAAAATTTTCAATACGTCCAACAGAGTCAAGTTCACGTAAAAGAGAGCATAACGGTTGGAGCCTCGAAGCGAGCCCTTTTGGCTCGGCATCAACTCCGGAGGTAACAATCCTCGGGAGATTTAAGTTCTATGAAATTTAATTTTCACTACGCCACAATCAATATTTTTAATCTATACAAATAAATAAAATTGGAGTGTCTGTTTGTAATATTGAAATAACTGTATTTTACTACATGCATATGAATATAAATACAATACATACACCGAAACAACATTTTTTACAATTTTTATCTGTCTGTTTGTTCCGGCTAATCTCTAAAATGGTTGGACGGATTTTGACGAGACTTTTATTGGCAGGTAGCTGATGAAATTGAAATGAAATGAAATGAAATTTATTTATTTGCGTATTATACAGTTAGATATTATAATATGTCCAGGTAATAATATTATTGGCAAGTGTTAATTGCCCCAATTTACGGGCATGCAAATTTTGTATATTAAAATGGAATAATTTATAATATTATAATTTAAAATTAATGTCTTATGTACCATTCTAATTATATAGTAATAAAAAAAAAGTCAACAATCATCAGATAAATATTCTTTGATGTCATTTGTCCAGCAACCAGTAATATAATCGATTTTTAATTTATTTAGGGGCATTTTTCTCAGTCCGCGGACTTTTATTTTAGAAAAATAAAGGTAAATTCCACGCGGACGAAGTCGCGGGCACAGCTAGTTACTCATATAATAGAGAGCATTGTATAGATGCTTTTCATGTGGTTGTCATCGTCAATAGATGGCGATCTATAAATTACAGGTATTCCAAGTCAGGGGCAAGTGATATAATACATGAAGATAAGAGTTGGGTACTGTTACCAAGATACTGTTATAATAAGTTTAAAGAAAACTTTCGAGTAGTGTTCATATAAACATTTAAAAATAATTACGCGAGTTGTAATAAATGGGAATTGCTATATCGACAAAGGCGCAGCTCTTTGTTTAGAAATAAATGATTTTATGAATGAATAATATCATTAGTAGTGGGGGTAGGGTATTGTTAGTAATGTGGATTATTAACCTCAATGCTATCAATGTACCATTGTCAGGGTGACCTTCTGTCAGGGGCTCCCCTGGAAACCATCATGTTAAATACCACGATAGGCTAACTGAGCCGACCTCATACTCATCTTATCATGCTCCACTGGTGCCAGCGCATAGCGTTAACGCTGGCGGGTACATCATTCCATTATAGAGTAACTGACTTTGAGGGAGACGCAACTAGAGTCGAGTCACAACGCGAGTTTCAATACGTTTGTGGTCCGTGTCCTAACCAACATGTTACCCACCAACATCAAGAAGGACTACTGGTCGAAGAGGGTGGTGTATCGGCGCTGCCGTGGCAGATTGCCATCGTCAGTGCCGTAACCATAGAATCAATTTCAATATATTAAGTTTATAATAGTAAGTATATAAGTAGTCTGAAATATATTCTAAAAAAATATCATTAGTAATAACTAAAGTTCCATAATAAATAGGAATATAATATATTAATGTTGATAGTTGCATAATACTATTATGACACAATTTTGATAATTTAATTAATGTTTTATCACCACGTTGGCTTTAAGATTTTTGATAAACTTGACTTGATAAACCGTGACTGATTAAATTACTAGTTTGATATGTGTTAGTGTGCCTACGACGATGTCCGTTGATGTAAATATATCAATTATATAACACAATCACACAAGCATTGACTATCCATACAAACAGGCCTAGACGGCTGGATTTGAACATTTTTTTTATAACTTTTTAGTAAATTCTATTATTTTATAAATGATAGATGATCTTTGAAAAGTATAGAAAAATAAGTAACGTTTGTCATGGATTACGTTCCTTTCAACCGTAAGCGTATATAGAACTTTCGTATAGGTACTTTTGCGTATTAGTAGATACCTACAAGTACTTTTAAGGTGCGATTTTTACATTCCGCCCGTATACGTGTTATCGATTTAAAGTTTACAATAGTTTTAGACATTTGAAGCAACCCCAATGTAAAATGAAAAAAATTGAAGTACATAGTCAAAGTGACTGACGTTGCCAGGTGTTTTGAAATCAAGTCCAGAAATTTTAAAGCTTAAAAATTTAATAAGGTTTGTAACTTTCTTCTTCTTAAAAGTTGATACAAGATTATCAATGCCATAGGTCACATCAAGATAGAAATAAAAAGTTCTAATCACTTTTTTCATTAGCAGATGTTTTTAAGTCAAAACTCGTAAGTCCAATTGGGATGACATAGAAAGACGGTTCATTCTTTTATTTTTTTATACGGCGAAGTCGGAACCCTGACTTTAACGATTCATTTATTGACCCTCCTTTCTGTGTAGTTACCGCTGAATTATTTTTATTATACTTGCATACATATTTAGATAGATATATTAAGATACAAATTGCAGAATCATTCTTAATAATAATGTTTATTTTATCTATTCTTTACAATCTATTAATACATATATGTACATACATTTAGCTATACGAACAATATAAATGCGAAAATGTATCTGTCTGTTTGTTTGTTATTTTCACAACTAAACGGCTGACCTTAATGTTTTTTTTAATAGCTGATAATGTAATGGTGCAGCAGGCGGGAGCCTGCTCTCATGGTTTATGTTTGCGGGGCTTCAGTGGAGAATGATAAGATAAGCGTGAGGTCAGATCAGTTAGCTCATCGTGGCAAATGCACTAGGAATTTATCATGATGGTTTCAAGGGGGAACTGAGTTGACATCAACCTGACATTGCATACAATCCTCTTCCTTGAATTTTAATGTTTGACGAGTAGCGTGTCCACGTCACGATTTTGGCGGGAAGCTGTATATTTTTAAATTACAATTAAACGTCCGTCCTGCTTTTCAAGCGGTTGTGACCCTTATACCATTGTTCTGCACGATATATTTTTTTATTTCAATAGCGCGACCATTTCAACCTTTTTTTAACCAACTTAAAAAATGGAGGAGGTTCTTAATTCAAGTGTATTTTTTTTATGCAAAAATAAGCAGATAATTTCTCGGGAAACAGCTCTTAATAAGAGCTGTTTCCAACCCAATTAAAATAAATTCTAAAATCACTTACCTTAATTAATCAGACAGTAATATAGTGGAACAATAATCATGATGATGGATGTTGACAAATACACAAATGACATTTTACACACCTCAATACTAAATTGTTGCTGACGACATAAACATTTTAATGAGTTTAAAATCTTAATGAAAACACAAAACGTCTAAAAATGTCATTTAGTTTTTATTTCTTTATCATCAACAACAAGTATTGAAATGTGCAAATATTGTTACAAATATAGCCCCACAAGGTTAGTAGCGATGTAGATGAACACTGGAGTGACCACATGGTGAGTATGTTTACTCCCTGACCTTCTGCATCTGGTTGGGTGTCTTCATCTTTTGTATTTGGTTGATCTACATCGGTGTTACCTTGGGCCTCTGGCTGTTGCAGAGACTCACCCTTTGAGTCTTGTGAGGACTCGTCTTCTGTTGTTTGACCGTCACCAGTTGCAGACTTCTTGTCTTCATCCTAATTAAAAAATCACTATATTAATATATGAAGCAAAAACTTTGTACCCCTTTTTATGTAAATTGTGCAGTAAGAGTATGAAATTTTATACACTTATAGTTCATATAGAGAAAGAGCACATAATGTTAATATATTTTTATAAAAATACATTAAGATAGGAAAAAATTTTAACACTAACTATTGTTGCTGGGTCAAAGATATTATTGTATTTATAATAGGGTTGAATTTCAACTAAGGTAAGAGGTATGACCAAGCAATAATTATAAAGAGTGTTATACTGAGACATAAACCTGTTGTATTAATTAAAATGAAGATTTTCCAAAGTAGCAAATAATAAAATTGGAAATAAATTTAGAATTATTTTTCATAACAAACTTTACATTTATGGGATCAATTTAGTATTCAAAGTTTATATTTATATTTAGATTTCAGTTTTAATTTTGGGAAAGTGAAACTAAACCAATATCAACAGTGGTAACTATTCTGACTTTTAGTTTCTATAATACTGATTAGAGGTATACCTTACTATAGGTAAAAACTAACTACAAGTAATTATTTATTTATTAAGATATATCACAACAGGTAAAAATATATTGTATTGCCTATATAGTAATAATCTTAATTCAAATAAACTAAATACAAGCACTTTTGAGTAATTATATTACTTTATTCTACCTCTCATTTGGAACACACTCATCACAAGGAGTGAGAAACTTGTATGTTGTTCTTTTGAATAAATTTTATATTAAATTACACAAAAACAAGAGCCATGTGACAATGAACATAAAAACTGCTATGCACTAATTCCTAGTGCAATCATATAATATTCAGATGTGAATCTAAGTTTTTTTCTTAAAACATTGTTAATTTTTACAAACTCTTCAATTTTATAGTAAGCACTTTTACAGAGAAAGTGTTAGAAAATGTAATATTTAATCAATACTCCTTATTAAGTGTACTGCCTAAGTGTGTAATTATTTAAGGTTCATAGACAACAACACTTATTGTGATTAGATTTGTTTCTCAAATTATTTGCAAGTATAGCATATTCTTGGAAAACAATTAATATTAATTGAAATACCAATAAGAGAACATTCATAACTGATAATATTCCAATACTTTTATATTATATTATGTCCATTGACAATTATAATAAGGTACATAATGCAAAACCAGTAGTAAGACTAGAATTGTCAAACTTCATTGCTGATCATTGCTCTATGCTTTTAGCGTCAATGTTCGGTTTCGTACTTCCGCCATACGATAGTTAACCTTGGAACGATATACATAAGAGCTGTAATTCCTTGTCTTTACTCTATATCGTCATATTGTATACACCTGAATACATAGCAACTACATACCTATATAGTGAAGACTCAGCTCAGACTTGACTATATACCTACATATAACACATTATGCTTACCTATAGCAAAATCATTGTAATAAGTATATATATAAACTTGAATTCTCTTTTTAATTTATTATTCTTATTCAATCAAAATATTATGAATATATAAACAATTATAAAGCAAAAAATCATTAGCGAAAAAACAAACATAGTAGGTAATGAAGGCCCCCAAAGGATATGTTTTATTTACATCGCCGGCCGCGTTTCGAGAGCGAGTAATGAGATGCGACGCGGCGGCAATGGAATAAACATCATATCACGCTGATTCTAAAATTGAATAATCGCAAGAAACCAAATATCAAGGTCATGCGGATTTCCTATCAATGTCATATATATATCGTGCACATTAACAAAGGCCCTGCATCTAAATGCAAAGGGGCGGGGGTGGTAAAATATGCGAATTCGAGAAATATATGTGGTTAGAATCAGTTTCGATAACTGATCATAATGGCATTCACAGTTTTTATTGCAAAATATTGACTTATAAAACATCCCTCGGTGGCGTAGTTCCCGCGTTTAGCGGGAAGCAAACGTTCTGTCAGCCATGTTGCGACGCAGGCAAACATTAGTGATATAACCACGGAATTAATACCACTTCACCACTATAAATGTTCCTATTAGACACACACCACTATAAGGAAAATTAAAACAAATACATATTTCACAACTATACCTGATTGTCACTGATTTTCGCTTTATCGGTATCACCCGACATTTTTCCTACAAAGAAATTGAAAGCGAATTCCAAAGCGTCTTCAAACACCGGACAACACAAATGCACGCACCCATAACATAAGTAAAAAAAAAAAACTGCGTTTCGTTTCTCTAAACATTGTAGGTAAGAAAAGACGAGTAATAGTATTCATGTTAGGAAAGAAGCAATTTTTTACTTATTGTAAATAATTCTTATAGTATTTTTATCATCCTACATCGATTTCAAAGACATTGGGTTTTTATTTATATTAAAAGGGATATACATAAGGTCAAATAGAGGGCTTAAAAATACATAGAAGAATTGAAATATGTTTTATCAAATATTTTTAACTATTGAATTCAAATATAATCGCTTTTACTAACAATTCACGATTATAGAAATCAATAATTCTCAATATCAATGTATAAAATTGTAATTATGTATGAACCATTTCATTTTTGGAATTGTAAACTTAGTTTGCAAACGGTAAACAATTTTCGGTTAAAATACCCATGGAAAAATATCTTGGTTTTGGTAAACTTCATAGAATTTTGTACAAAGCTTAGAGCGATTTATTTTTATTTCAGCTTCAATTGAGTATGCAACTCAAATGTAGTAATAGTTTATATTAAATTGATTGAACATTATTTCATATTTGAGCGTAAAATATATACATAAATCTATAACATGAAAATTGCAGTTGCAAATGTTCCAGGGCTAAATTTGTCATTCATAGTCTCCAATCTGTCAATTTCAATCAAGTATAAAAACTAAAGAAAAATAAATACTTTTCTATAGATCTATATATTTTATAGTCACTAGGGAACATAATATATTGAAGCTATTTTAAAAGAATGATTTGAATCAACAAAACGCAATTCTGAGCATAGACAACATTTAATTTTTTTTTTGTAATCGATTCCTATTGATTTGCCGTGAGAATATTTTTATTTAATAAATAAGTCGATATACAATTTGCTTGATTAAATATTTCCATTTTTAACTTTCTTCCCACATACTCTACCTCTTATGATACGTAGGTGAGGTACAATATAAAAAAAAGCAATCTACATATTTTCGAAAAAACACTCTATTGATTTCTATGTTTATCGATGGTCCGCGTCTTTCTCTCGCGAGTTTGCGAGACAAACCAATCGTGTAATTTTTGGATCTTTTGATCCGTTTTCATGGCTGGCATATTATACGATTGAATGTGTTTATTAATCAAACATGAGTGATTATCCTTCTATGGCTACGCTTCAAAATAATAGCCAGACGGCAGGATATGCGAATGCTCTACAACGTGCGAGATTGGTGAGTGTTGCATTATTACAATCATATCGCCTACTCAGCGTTATAGCTTATTAATGAAGTTAACCAAAAATATGTTTTTACGAATTTCACAACGTTTTTACACAGTACCATCATCTTTTGATATATATAACTTTGTTCATCTACCTTCAATTTTGTCCTTTTACCTAACCTACATAATTTTATTCTTTAGCTTTCATTCCTTAATGTACATATTGCACAGTTGATTTTTGCCGATTAACTGTTTATTTAGTGTCAAACTATTTTGTAGGTTGCTGCAAAACTTGTAGGTGGTAGTAAGAGACCTTTGGAAGAGGGATCAGAACCGAGTCCGAAGAAATCGGCGTCAGTGGAAAGTAGTTATCAACAACAAACAATGAGGTGAGTATTTAGCTGTTATCTTGTTTTACACATCGCACATCCACTGTATTTCCCGCGTTTTTATTGCATTTTTTTAGTCTTTCATTTCAATGAAGTGAAAACCAAAAGTAAAAGTGACTGTTCAGTAAATGAATTTATAGGTATTATAACCATATTTCTAGTATAATAAAAAATGACGTAGAAATGGAACAAAAAGTGATTATAAGATCAAAAACCTAAAAATTTATGGTTTGTTATCTGTTATGTATGGTAGTAATGTTATTTATTGATATTTATAGTACAAGTTGTTTGTTACTGAAATGCTTTCTGGAACCTATATGGAAACTGCGGTTACAGAGGTGTTTACTCCATAGCATCCTCACATTGTGAGAATACCTTGTGTTTTCTAGAGATTATAGTATGCATCAAAAAGGTCCAGTGGTTAGGATTATAAAAAATCATATATTTTTTACAATACTTCGGTGGCAAATAAGCATACTGATGGTAAATGGTTGCCATGCCTAAATAGTCTAGCATAAATTTAAAACCCTGGAAATAAAGTGAAAATTAAAAAACCTTAACTTTATTTAGGATGTTTGAGTTGTTGTATTTATATATTTCCCTACCATCCAGTCTAGTTAATTCTATACATTCAATTGAGAAGAAACAGTGAGAAATTTCACTAAATTGGTTTTTTTTTACACTATCAGTGCAACAGCAGCGGCGACAGCGGCGGCGGCGGCGGCTGCGGCGCGGATTTCTGCGTCTTGTGCCCCCGGTGGGCCCCCAGCGGCTCCGCCCAGTGCCCCTCCTAGCTTCTTACCGGAACAGACTATTGATGAACGTATTAGAGTGCCTGACAAAATGGTTGGACTTAGTAAGTAAATCATTTACAATTTTTATTTCAAGAATGCCAATATTGAATCTGAGATCAGTCATATATATATTTTTTATTTAAAAAAAAATTAAATGCACAATGTGACAACTTTTTTATCTCATTTTTTTTAATGAATACTAGCATATTGATGCTTAAGTTTTTGAAGATAATAATTATAGTCTAAATTCTCAAAGAAAACAAAATTAAAGTTTTTTTTTCAGAAAAAGTAATGAATAAATTACTATTATTAGAAAATATTACACCGCCTCTATACATATATATATATATATATATAATATCTATGTTTTTATATAAAAATATATATATTTATTTAACACACAATTATAAATTTAGGCCACTGGTATGTGACATCCTTAATGAGTTTAACATGGTATTGTCAATTTTTGTCTAGTTATTGGCCGCGGCGGCGAACAGATTACACGGCTGCAGGCAGAGTCTGGATGCAAGATCCAAATGGCTCCTGATTCAGGTGGCCAGCCTGATCGCATCTGCACATTAACTGGTTCAAGGGAGGCCATAATGAGAGCCAAGTAAGTTATTTATAACACCAAGGGCGGATCGTAAATTTGTGGGGCCCTGGGCTAAAACAACTTAGGGGCCTACCTAATTATATTACTCAACTAAAAAAAATACATGGACCAAAAATAAGCGGCCAGGAATTTCACTTTCCGTTCGATAAATGCACACTTTGATGGATTAATTGGTCTCAGGGTTGTCAACATTATGATAGGTTTTTTTAATGGTTTAGTTTTTTTTTTAATCTAAATATCGCCTATTTTTTTAGTGACGGCTGGGGCCCCTTTGTATCCATGGGGCTCTGGGCTGCAGTTCAAAAACCCCGTGGGTAGATTCGGCCCTGTATATCACATGTACTCATATATTTGTTTTAGTTTGCTTGCAATTCGTTTGTAAGCTGTGTGTCTGAGCATGAATGGGATAAGACAGTGGTATTAATAATTATTATAATAGGAACCTTGGACCATTCACAAAGTGAATTGCGATCTAATCTCAAGCTAATCAGAGCTCATGGTACTACAGAACTGATATAAATATTTTGTTCATGAATACATATAAGTATAATGTATTTATTAACAAAAAAATATTTAGGAAATGCCCAGACCAATACAATCAATCATACAAATGTTGAGATCTAGGATTTGAGCTTGCAACCATTGGAAGTAAGATGGTGTGCTAAACGCTAGCCCACTGAGGTCATCAAATTACAGGATATACATTTTAGTCCTATGCAATAGTAATACGTGCGTCAATAATCGTGATATCTATGTTGCTGTTCATGTATATAGACAATTAGAATTTACCATTAGCTGGACTGTAGGCTCACTTACCATTCAAATTACATAAAAAATATTGACATTGTAATTAGATTCTCTAACAGTATCTATTATTTTTTTGGAAGTTTGTAAGAAACAAATACACCTAGGAATTGTTTATTATTGTTACACCTCGAACAGACTCCGCTCCTTTCCATCCTAAGGTTCCCTGGAAGAAATCGCTTTTCAAGGATAAGGCTGCCCATTATTACCCCTTTCTTATATGTTCATCTATACTTCTATGCTAATATTATAAAGCTGAAAAGTTTGATTGTTTGAACGCGCTAATCTCAGGAACTACTGGTTCGAATTGAAAAACTATTTTTGTGTTGGATTGTCCATTTGTCGAGGAAGGCTTTAAGCAATTTAACATTACGCTACGACCAGTAGAAATGAAGCATCAGTGAAAAATGTTGCAAAAAGGGGGAAAATTATTCATACTTGAGGGCTTCCGTTGCGTACGCTGTGTACGCTGTGTAAACGGTTCAAGTTACCCAAAAAATATGTATAAAGTGTTTTGATAACCACGCGAATGAAGTCGCAGGCACAGCTAGTACATATTTATATATTTGTACATAGTATGTAAATGTTTTTTTTATTCTTTGACGAGAATAATAAAGAATTTTCATTTCGTTTAATTTCAAATGTAACTGTGATTTTTATTCCATTAGGGAACTAGTGAATCAGATAGTCAACCATCGGGGGCGGGAAAACGCGCCACAACACCCGGATAACCCGATGGGTAACATGGGCGGCGCCGGCGGCGGCGGCGGCGTTGGCGGTGTCGGAGGAGGCATGCCGCCCATGCCCAGGGGTGGCGGCGGACTTGCCACCACGGTAAATAGCAACTGCTGTTGTTTCATTCAAAGATAGTAATAGAGCAAGAGCCCACGACTGCCAGACATACGTCATTTTAATAAACGTGAAAGTTCTTGTATGTGTGTCCCCAACACAGGTAAGAACGATCCCCAAATATGAAACCTGGATCGTGGTTCCTTTGGCAGGTACCAGGTAACAAAGGTGTAAAAAAAATCATACCAAATTCGTTATTTTAAGAAACTCCATATTTTCATATATTGTTCGTAGGACTATTATAACTTGCGCTGCTCATTGCCAGACACGTAGTGTGGTTCCAACCCCCCGCCGGACCCCCCTAAACTATACTATTTTAGAAATAAACTTACGTCATTTTAATAAAGCTGAAATTTATATATATTATTGTGAGTTCTCTCAAACTGAGTTTCCTAAATTGCCAGACAGTTTTCTTGGTTCCTTATCATACCAGACTCATTGAAACCGTATATTGGGTAACAACGGTGTATACAATTTCATATCAAATTCGTTATTTTAAGATTCTCCATTTTTTCACATATTGCTCGTAACAGTATTATAACTTGCTCTGCTCATTGCCAGACCCTTAGTGTGGTTCCAACGCCCCGCCGGACCCCCCTAAACTATACTATTTTGTAAATAAACTTACGTCATTTTAATAAAGCTGAAATTTATATATATTATTGAGAGTTCTCTCAAACTGAGTTTCCTAAATTGCCAGACAGTTTTCTTGGTTCCTTATCATACCAGACTCATTGAAACCGTATATTGGGTAACAACGGTGTATACAATTTCATATCAAATTCGTTATTTTAAGATGCTCCATTTTTTCACATATTGCTCGTAACAGTATTATATCTTGCTCTGCTCATTGCCAGACCCTTAGTGTGGTTCCAACCCCCCGCCGGACCCCCCTAAACTATACTATTTTGTAAATAAACTTACGTCATTTTAATAAAGCTGAAATTTATATATATTATTGAGAGTTCTCTCAAACTGAGTTTCCTAAATTGCCAGACAGTTTTCTTGGTTCCTTATTCCACCAGAATCATTGAAACCGTACATATATTGGATAACAACGGTGTATACAATTTCATGTCAAATTCATTATTTTAAGATGCTCCATTTTTTCACATATTGTTCGTAGCATTATTATAACTTGCGCTGCTCATTGCCAGACACGTAGTGTGGTTCCAACCCCCGCCGGACCCCCCTAAACTATACTATTTTAGAAATAAACTTACGTCATTTTAATAAAGCTGAAATTTATATATATTATTGAGAGTTCTCTCAAACTGAGTTTCCTAAATTGCCAGACAGTTTTCTTGGTTCCTTATCATACCAGACTCATTGAAACCGTATATTGGGTAACAACGGTGTATACAATTTCATATCAAATTCGTTATTTTAAGATGCTCCATTTTTACACATATTGCTCGTAACAGTATTATAACTTGCTCTGCTCATTGCCAGACCCTTAGTGTGGTTCCAACCCCCCGCCGGACAACCCTAAACTATACTATTTTATAAATAAACTTACGTCATTTTAATAAAGCTGAACTTTATATATATTATTGAGAGAACTATTAAACTGAGTTTCCTAAATTGCCAGACAGTTTTCTTGATTCCTTATCCTACCAAACTCATTGAAACCGTATATTGGGTAACAACGGTGTATACAATTTCATATCAAATTCGTTATTGTAAGATGCTCCATTTTTTCACATATTGCTCGTAACAGTATTATAACTTGCTCTGCTCATTGCCAGACCCTTAGTGTGGTTCCAACCCCCCGCCGGACCCCCCTAAACTATACTATTTTATAAATAAACTTACGTCATTTTAATAAAGCTGAAATTTATATATATTATTGAGAGTTCTCTCAAACTGAGTTTCCTAAATTGCCAGAGAGTTTTCTTGGTTCTTTATTCCACCAGAATCATTGAAACCGTATATTGGATAACAACGGTGTATACAATTTCATGTCAAATTCATTATTTTAAGATGCTCCATTTTTTCACATATTGTTCGTAGCATTATTATAACTTGCGCTGCTCATTGCCAGACACGTAGTGTGGTTCCAACCCCCGCCGGACCCCCTAAACTATACTATTTTAGAAATAAACTTACGTCATTTTAATAAAGCTGAAATTTATATATATTATTGAGAGTTCTCTCAAACTGAGTTTCCTAAATTGCCAGACAGTTTTCTTAGTTCCTTATCCTACCAGACTCATTGAAACCGTATATTGGGTAACAACGGTGTATACAATTTCATATCAAATTCGTTATTTTAAGATGCTCCATTTTTACACATATTGCTCGTAACAGTATTATAACTTGCTCTGCTCATTGCCAGACCCTTAGTGTGGTTCCAACCCCCCGCCGGACAACCCTAAACTATACTATTTTATAAATAAACTTACGTCATTTTAATAAAGCTGAACTTTATATATATTATTGAGAGATCTATTAAACTGAGTTTCCTAAATTGCCAGACAGTTTTCTTGATTCCTTATCCTACCAAACTCATTGAAACCGTATATTGGGTAACAACGGTGTATACAATTTCATATCAAATTCGTTATTGTAAGATGCTCCATTTTTTCACATATTGCTCGTAACAGTATTATAACTTGCTCTGCTCATTGCCAGACCCTTAGTGTGGTTCCAACCCCCCGCCGGACCCCCTAAACTATACTATTTTAGAAATAAACTTACGTCATTTTAATAAAGCTGAAATTTATATATATTATTGAGAGTTCTCTCAAACTGAGTTTCCTAAATTGCCAGACAGTTTTCTTGGTTCCTTATCATACCAGACTCATTGAAACCGTATATTGGGTAACAACGGTGTATACAATTTCATATCAAATTCGTTATTTTAAGATGCTCCATTTTTACACATATTGCTCGTAACAGTATTATAACTTGCTCTGCTCATTGCCAGACCCTTAGTGTGGTTCCAACCCCCCGCCGGACAACCCTAAACTATACTATTTTATAAATAAACTTACGTCATTTTAATAAAGCTGAAATTTATATATATTATTGAGAGTTCTCTCAAACTGAGTTTCCTAAATTGCCAGACAGTTTTCTTGGTTTTTTATCCTACCAGACTCATTGAAACCGTATATTGGGTAACAACGGTGTATACAATTTCATATCAAATTCGTTATTTTAAGATGCTCCATTTTTTCACATATTGCTCGTAACAGTATTATAACTTGCTCTGCTCGTTGCCAGACCCTTAGTGTGGTTCCATCCCCCCGCCGAACCCCCCTAAACTATACTATTTTATAAATAAACTTACGTCATTTTAATAAAGCTGAACCTTATATATATTATTGAGAGAACTATTAAACTGAGTTTCCTAAATTGCCAGACAGTTTTCTTGGTTCCTTATCCTACCAGACTCATTGAAACCGTATATTGGGTAACAACGGTGTATACAATTTCATACCGAATTCGTTATTTTAAGATGCTCCATTTTTTCACATATTGCTCGTAACAGTATTATAACTTGCTCTGATCGTTGTCGAACCAAGAAAACTGTCTGGCAATTTAGGAAACTCAGTTTAATAGTTCTCTCAATAACATATATAAAGTTCAGCTTTATTAAAATAACGTAAATTTATTTATAAAATAGTATAGTTTGGGGGGGTCCGGCGGGGGGTTGGAACCACACTAAGGGTCTGGCAATGAGCAGAGCAAGTTATAATACTGTTACGAGCAATATTTGAAAAAATGAAGCATCTTAAAATAACGAATTTGATATGAAATTGTATACACCGTTGTTACCCAATATACGGTTTCAATGAGTTTGGTAGGATAAGGAACCAAGAAAACTGTCTGGCAATTTAGGAAACTTAGTTTGAGAGAACTCTCAATAATATATATAAATTACAGCTTTATTAAAACAACGTAAATTTATTTATAAAATAGTATAGTTTGGGGGGGTCCGGCGGGGAGTTGGAACCACACTAAGGGTCTGGCAACGAGCAGAGCAAGTTATAATACTGTTACGAGCAATATGTGAAAAAATGGAGCATCTTAAAATAACGAATTTGATATGAAATTGTATACACCGTTGTTACCCAATATACGGTTTCAATGAGTTTGGTAGGATAAGGAACCAAGAAAACTGTCTGGCAATTTAGGAAACTCAGTTTAATAGTTCTCTCAATAATATATATAAGGTTCAGCTTTATTAAAATGACGTAAGTTTATTTATAAAATAGTATAGTTTAGGGGGTCCGGCGGGGGGTTGGAACCACACTACGTGTCTGGCAATGAGCAGCGCAAGTTATAATAATGCTACGAACAATATGTGAAAAAATGGAGCATCTTAAAATAATGAATTTGACATGAAATTGTATACACCGTTGTTATCCAATATATGTACGGTTTCAATGATTCTGGTGGAATAAGGAACCAAGAAAACTGTCTGGCAATTTAGGAAACTCAGTTTGAGAGAACTCTCAATAATATATATAAATTTCAGCTTTATTAAAATGACGTAAGTTTATTTACAAAATAGTATAGTTTAGGGGGGTCCGGCGGGGGGTTGGAACCACACTAAGGGTCTGGCAATGAGCAGAGCAAGTTATAATACTGTTACGAGCAATATGTGAAAAAATGGAGCATCTTAAAATAACGAATTTGATATGAAATTGTATACACCGTTGTTACCCAATATACGGTTTCAATGAGTCTGGTATGATAAGGAACCAAGAAAACTGTCTGGCAATTTAGGAAACTCAGTTTAATAGTTCTCTCAATAATATATATAAGGTTCAGCTTTATTAAAATGACGTAAGTTTATTTATAAAATAGTATAGTTTAGGGGGGTCCGGCGGGGGGTTGGAACCACACTACGTGTCTGGCAATGAGCAGCGCAAGTTATAATAATGCTACGAACAATATGTGAAAAAATGGAGCATCTTAAAATAATGAATTTGACATGAAATTGTATACACCGTTGTTATCCAATATATGTACGGTTTCAATGATTCTGGTGGAATAAGGAACCAAGAAAACTGTCTGGCAATTTAGGAAACTCAGTTTGAGAGAACTCTCAATAATATATATAAATTTCAGCTTTATTAAAATGACGTAAGTTTATTTACAAAATAGTATAGTTTAGGGGGTCCGGCGGGGGGTTGGAACCACACTAAGGGTCTGGCAATGAGCAGAGCAAGTTATAATACTGTTACGAGCAATATGTGAAAAAATGGAGCATCTTAAAATAACGAATTTGATATGAAATTGTATACACCGTTGTTACCCAATATACGGTTTCAATGAGTCTGGTATGATAAGGAACCAAGAAAACTGTCTGGCAATTTAGGAAACTCAGTTTGAGAGAACTCTCAATAATATATATAAATTTCAGCTTTATTAAAATGACGTAAGTTTATTTACAAAATAGTATAGTTTAGGGGGGTCCGGCGGGGGGTTGGAACCACACTAAGGGTCTGGCAATGAGCAGAGCAAGTTATAATACTGTTACGAGCAATATGTGAAAAAATGGAGAATCTTAAAATAACGAATTTGATATGAAATTGTATACACCGTTGTTACCCAATATACGGTTTCAATGAGTCTGGTATGATAAGGAACCAAGAAAACTGTCTGGCAATTTAGGAAACTCAGTTTGAGAGAACTCTCAATAATATATATAAATTTCAGCTTTATTAAAATGACGTAAGTTTATTTCTAAAATAGTATAGTTTAGGGGGGCCCGGCGGGGGGTTGGAACCACACTACGTGTCTGGCAATGAGCAGCGCAAGTTATAATAGTGCTACGAACAATATATGAAAATATGGAGTTTCTTAAAATAACGAATTTGGTATGATTTTTTTTACACCTTTGTTACCTGGTACCTGCCAAAGGAACCACGATCCAGGTTTCATATTTGGGGATCGTTCTTACCTGTGTTGGGGACACACATACAAGAACTTTCACGTTTATTAAAATGACGTATGTCTGGCAGTCGTGGGCTCTTGGGCTATAATGAAAGCACTAGTTTACGTGATTTATAATCACGAGAATTTGTAAACTCTACCCCAATAATTCTTCGTGCTATAGTCTGTTTTTTTAATTTCGGAGACTAAATTGACAGGTGTAAATGTCAAATTTTCAAATAATGTTACCTCCTATAGCGGGAAGTGGCGATACAGATTTGTTTAATCGGAAACTTTTATTTTAACATATTGCTTTAAAGATTTATGCATATATCCTTTCCACAACAGAATTTTTATTTACTTAGAAATTTATGTACATATACTAGTGTTTCCATTACTGTTGTTGTATTATATAGCATAAAAATACATTTTTGTCGTTTACATACAAATAGTATATTTTATAGTATTAAGCTATAAACCAACATTTTTATTCTATCTTTCTAACATTATTTCTAACACTATTCTATATTTCTAACAGCTACGACAACCATATATTTATTATTACTTATACTTTATTAATTTTGTGTTAATGTGTTTTAAGTAAACACACAACTCACACATTATTTCTGGATAACCTATAAAAATGGGTAATTAATATTAATTTCTGATAGTGACAAAACACTATTTAAAAAATAAAAAACTTGGCAACATCGGAAATATCAAATTTGTCTCTGGGATTAACAAACAGGCTATACATACAGCTAACATCACAGTTGCCTAGTAATAATAATAATAATAATCTCAGGACAATTCACACAGCGCCATCTAGACCGAAGTTAATTAGCTAATGTAAATTGAGCTCTATATTTTAACATAATGATAAACACCAAGTAAGTGTGATGCAGGCGAAATTGCTCGGGTTAACCAGGATGTAATATAAATTTAGAATCTATGATGGAGCTAACAGTCTCACTACTGTGATCCTAAGCTCCTAAATGAATAAAGATAATAAAACGAACCTTTTGTTTATATTTTGCCATGTTTTTTATGTGTACAGTAAACAAAGTAATTCATAGTTACGACATAACCAGTTTCATTGTTCTCATCCAACATATGGTAAGTTAACAATGAGGTGGCATAAGTCTATCTTACAAAAACAGCCCTTTTGTATTCAGTACGCACATTGACTGGGTCATTCATTATATTGCTTATTTAAATTATTTTTAATATTCCCAACCAAATGGGTACAATGGTATTCTCAGAATATGATATTGTTCATTTGTTGTAACAGCTTTATTCAAGTTTGTTTAATTTATTCTCATACACACATCATCTAGGATATGGTCTTCCAGGTTTCTTGTCTTCTTCCATGTTATTGTGCATGTTTTATTTTACATATTACATCTGTAATCCTATCTTTTCAAGTTTATAATCAATAAAAATTCTTATTTTAATAGTTTCTTTCTCCATTTTGGTGGTTTAATAATTAAACAATTTTGTTAACAGGAGGAAATAATGTTACCAGGGCCCAAAGTGGGTTTGATTATAGGCAAGAATGGCAAGACGATCAAACAGTTGCAAGAGCAATCGGGCGCCAAAATGGTTGTCATACAGGATGGACCCAACACAGAATATGTAAGTAGAATATAAACTGCCCCCCTCTGATCGATCCCCCCGTTCAAACGGGGATCGAAATTACGACGGCCTGAGCCGAGGTTCAAATCCCTAGCTGTGCTCTCAGACTAAACTAAAACTGTAAAGGCCAGCTGTGGCCAACAGCATTAGAGTAGTCCGGAAAAACAAAAAATAAATAAATACAAAACTTTAAATTAATCACTGTTACAATCATCATTATTATATAGTATAAAATAAAATCGCTGTTGCTGTCTGTCCCTGTCCATGTATGCATAAAATTTTAAAACTACGCAACTGATTTTGATGCGGTCTTTTTAATAGATAGAGTGAATCTAGAGGAAGGTTTACATATATAATACATGTAGACCCGCGCTAAGCCGGGGCGAGTAGCTAGTTTGTAATAAATTACCATCGTGTAAGGCGCAAGCTCGTTGCTCTCCTATGCCATAAACAAAAATATTATTCTGTCTTATATCACTTATTAACTCCAATCTATTGCTGAAAACTGCTTTAAAATGATATAAAAGATACATGCGACCAGACCACTACGGCGACTTTGTTTTACACTATAAAAATTATCTTTTCAATTCAACAGGAGAAGCCTCTGCGTATATCAGGCGATCCGTCTAAAGTAGAGCACGCCAAGCAGTTAGTATATGAATTGCTGGCCGAGAAGGACTTGCAGGGTGGCGGTGGTGGCGGCGCTGGAGGACAACGGCCGCAGTACGACGACGTCTACTCACCACAGGAACAAGGCAACGGACTGGCCACTAATTCTACTGAGGTGATTGTATTATACATACTGTAAGACGCATCTGTATGATAAGTAATATAATCAGTGCCGTCTTAAGCATATTCGGCGCCGTGTTGCAGGTGGACAGTCCGCGTCCCTATTGTTGTAAAAAGAAACTCAATATACTTTAATTTTTCATTTCTTAAAATATGATAACTTATATTTACAATAAAGATACATGCGTAAATCTGAATTTTAATATACTAAATTAAATATTGTTTTTTTTTATATTCATATTTAATAGGTCAACTGGTGCAGATATTGAAATTGATTGAGTTTAGAGATTAATAAAACGATATAGGCAGCGACCCCACAAGGTTTAAAAAAAACTTCTAACACAACATAGTTTAGGAAATAAGTTTTACAGAATGATGACGGTAACAAATTGCAATAGCACTGCAATTAATTTCAGTATTAACAAGGATTAACTTAACTGTTCAAAGAGTTTTTATATAATGAAGGTAAATCATGAAAGTGTATACCCTAAGCATTTTGGGCTCTGGCATATTGTAGATCTTCTGACTGACGAGAGAGAGAGACTGAGAGTCAAATATGACAGCACAAATACACTTGAAATATAACATGGTTTTTTATTCATCAGGTCTTAGTACCCAAAATCGCGGTAGGCGTAGTAATAGGCCGCGGTGGTGACATGATCAAAAAGATCCAGGCAGAGACTGGCTGCAGGGTGCAGTTTCATCAGGAGAGGGACGACGGTCCTGGAGATAAAAGGTATTTCTTTAATTTATTTGTTCATAGTAATGCAATACACAGTACATTTCAAAATTGAAGAATAATCGGGAGAATAGGTTCATCATGATGAATTTTTCTTGTATACCATACCTTATGCTTTGGACCACCATACTTTGGACATGATCAGACATAATATCATTAGTCATTCTACATACTCGTTTCTCCGGTTAATATATACTATTCTAGAAAGCAGAATATTTTCAGTCATCTAGAAAGTGTCTCCAAATTAGTAGGATTCATATAGCAACCTATATGTTAATCATCATCTCAGCCCGGAAGACGTTCATTGCTGAACAAAGGCTATGTGACTACAAGCCATTAATTAAAGTTGTATTTCTAGGTGTTACCTGCAAGGCAAACCGCACCAAGTGGAGCAGGCCAGACAAATGATTGACGACCTGATTTCAAGTGTCAATGTAGGTGTAAGTTAATATCAGAAAATTAATATATTAAAAAGTTTATTTGTATGTATATAATATGTATGTATGTTGGATGATACTCTCTAAATGGAATGTCATATTCATCAGGTTGTGGACAGAAACTTGTTAAAAACAGAAATACAGTGATACCTCATTGAGACTAAAATGAGAAATGTTACCGAACAAATTAAACTCATGAGTTTACTTTTAATATAATAATATAATTTTATTTAAATAACAATATTGGCCCATCTTTATATATAAAACTTACGTGTCACATTGTTTATCCTCGATAGATTCCTAAACTACTGAACCGATTGCAAATTTGATTTGCACATTTTGTGTGATTTGATCCAACTTGCAAGATAGGAGGATAACTTACATCTTAATTTATAGCCTCAATATTATTTAACCTTAGCCACAGCAACGCGTGACCGGATCTGCTAGTATTATATATACCTTAAGGACTAACATATAAAATAATAATATTGGTTTCTTGGTCACCACTCTCTTCTGTCAGTAGTCTTTCTTCGTTAATTTGGATAACACACCCGGGCCAATTTATATATGTTCTATTCACTAACCTAAACTAACAGTCCCAAATCCATGTGAATATAATAACGGAATAAAACTTCCGGATGTGATGTAGAGACGAGATCAGGAAGTGAGATCGAGCGGACGCGGCCGCGGAGGCTCGGGTCAAAGGAATGGTGACCGCGGGGACTTCCAGCAGTGGCAGGAGAACCCGGAGATACGAGTCACCTTCACCGTCTCCAACGTCAAGTGCGGCCTGATCATCGGCAGGGGTAAGGTCTTATGGACGATAATGGAATGGTGCACCTGCATTCGCTAATGGTTTACGCTGGCGGGGCACCAGTGGAGAATAAGATGGGCATACGGTCAGGTCAGTTAGCTTAGTGGTAAATTTATCACAATGTCTTTCAGGGGGAAATGTATGTCAATCTGACATTCTGACATGGTATATTGTTAGCAATGGAGTTAGTAGTCCACATTATTAACAATCCCTTTTCCCTCCTCATCGGCAAGGATTAGTGATTTAACAGCCATTTACGATAGGCTGTACCTATTGAACCGATGTTTGTAGAGCTCTAATAAGGGATGATCAATGTGAGATAATTATTATTACTAGTGGTCGCCCAATAGTAAGAATTTGTCGAATCGAATAATTAGTTCGAGCATAATTAATTTAAATTATGGTTATTTTTCCCAGTAAGACTATAGAGTATATTTTCTTGAATTAGGTGTTATTTTGCAGAAGTCAATTTCAGTACTACACAAATATTCAGTGCGGAAACTTAACTACCGTTATGAACTTTTCTAATAATTATCAAATTCCGACCTTTATTGAGTCTATACCCACATTGTAATATGAGTGTAGACTCAATACTATAACTCAAAACAAAATAAAAATATAAATCTATTTAGCACTATACACAAATATACCACAGATACTGGCAACTCCAATGTTCATTCAATTTCAAGTAATTACATTATTTTTCCTTCTTCTGATGATAACACTGTACCCGCCAGGTGGTGAAGTGATAAAGCAGATGAACGCCCAAACTGGTGCACACTGCGAGGTGGACCGGCGAGCCACCAGCGCCGATCGTAACACGCGCACGTTCTACATCCGCGGACATCCGGACGCGGTCGACGCCTGCAAGCGGCTCATCATGGAGAAAGTCGGCATGGTACGTACACACTTTTATAAATACATCATATATATCGCTATTAAAATATATAGGTTGATGATAGAAGGGTGAAAATTTGGGGTTGTATGTAATTTTTAATTATATTATAAAAAAGTAAAAAATAGTGGAAAAAATAATGTTGGCGTTGGGCAAATCTTATCATTTAGGGGTATCAAAAATAGATAGTAGCCGATTCACATTTAGCACAGAAAAAACACGAATCTAATATTGAATTACATTAGAGTACAAAGCGTGAACAGGTACGAAACGATGCACTATAATGTTGCGTTCATTAGAACTAAAAAAGTTTCAAAGTAAAAAGTGTTTAAAATTTTAATTTTGAATTTTACTCAAAATACTGAATTAAAAAACAATCTACAACTGTGGCCAGTACTAAAACATTGTCTGTTTAAAATATTAAATTTTGAATGTTACTCAAAAAATCTACGATAGTGGCCAGTATTAAAACATTAACAATGAGTATTTATGTGCAGCCGGTGAACTTCATACAAGATGGCGGCAACAATGGCGGCGGTGGTAACGGCAACGGTGGCGGTCCCGGCGGGGAGTTCTACGGGGGCGGTGGCGGCGGTGGTGGCGGCGGCCCACCCGCCTGGAGCTACAACCCCCACTGGCACCAACCCAACCCCGCGCAGCAGCCACAGGTAAACAATCACAGATTATCACTTTTTATTTATTATAAGTAAGGCGATTAGTTACATTATTATTATAAAACTTGTACGAAACACCATTACACATCCTATGTGTTTGTAGCCCATTCATGCATAAATGAAATATTACCTTTAGAAAGTATACACTATCCTGAGGAGATGAAAACTATCGACCTCTCCTCATTGTTAAGCATAAAGCACCTGGCAAAAGCCCTAACCCCACAATAAAAGTAGGTGAGATGTGGCCAGTTAGCGGCCAGTTAGTGAATGTATCGAGCTGCATTTATCTGTCACGCAGCAACAAATGCAGATAAACCCGGCGACTGGGCAGGCGGACTACTCGCAGCAGTGGATCGACTACTACCGCTCGCTGGGGCTCCTCAAGGAGGCGGAGGCCATCGAGCAGCAGGCCAAGCAGCAGCAAGGTAAATGAATGAAACTCTTTATTGTTCTTCTCAAAAATACAGTTACATACACAATTATATATAAAATGATAATAAATAAGACAAAGAGGTAACAACGGACGGTGGCTTGATGGGATACTTAGGATGATCGCGGGTTCGATTCCTTGCAACATGAAGATATATAAATAAGAATCATCTTTATTCAATTAAACTTACTATAAGCACTCTTGAATAGTTATTTTTTATTCTACCACTCATTCGGAACGCAGACTCATCTTAAAATGAACGAGCAAGAGAGTCGTATGTTGCTCTTTTAAATAAATGTCGTTCTAAGTAAACACATTAACGAGAATAAATTTAATTCGTATACATGAGTATGATATCGGCAGCTCCCGTAATTTTCCTAATCGCACGTATAGAGTTTGAAGTTATCCGCGAGGCGTCAATTTGCGACGTAGTTAATAAGAGAGCGGTGTCAGGTGGCGGCGGCGGAGGCGGCGGGCCGGCGAGCGCGGCCCCGGGCGCGGGCGCGGGGCCGGGCCCGGGCGCGGGCGGGCCGGGCGGGCCGGGCGCGGCGGGCGCGGCGGGCGCGGCGGGCGGCGCGGGCCCGGCCGGGGGCTCGCCCGCCGGCGCCGACTACAGCGCGCAGTGGGCCGAGTACTACCGCAACATCGGCAAGGTCAAGGAGGCGGAGGCCATCGAGGCGCAGATCAAGCTCAAGGTATGAATCTGTTGTTTTATATTTTTAAATTTAGAACAGTGCCCTTCTGTTTTTAAATGTCGTCCATATGTCGGATACGACGTGCGTCATACGTCTATGGATGGGGTTTTTTTTAAGGTTAATGGAATGGCGCTAACTAGAAACTATTACTAGAAATATTTGATTGCTTTTTTGAGTATTTATTGCTCCACGTGTCTGTAAGGACAGTATGTTTTTATTATGTCCTTGATAATTAATTAAAATTATAATTTTGAAATTTATTTATACAGAATGGTGGCTGTAGTCATTTTAATGGGTTAAATACTAAAACAACAGTGAAGTTTTAGTACTTAAATCGCCCGAATCGTTGGATTTCACAATGAAGTTTGTCTTCATCAGCAACAAGCGCAAGGGTCCGGTGGTATGCAGCAGCCGCCACAGCCGCCGCAGCAGGCCACGCCCAGCCCGGCCGCCCCCGGAGGCAGCTCGCCCATGGTGGGCGGCCAGTACCCGCAGTACCCCGTGTACCCGGGCGGAGTGTACCCCGGGTACGCGCCCTACCCAGGGTACGCGCCTTCCGGACCGGACCACCAGCAGTGAACGTCAGTATACACATCTCCCTTTAATTTAAATCACATGCTAACATAGTAATCGTTTAAGAGTGCGTTTCACGAAATATATCCTTGACAATGTATGATGTAATTATTTTAGTTCACAATAAATATGAATCGGCGCCCTCGGACCCCGAACCACCAGTAACGGAGAACTTCAATACACCCATGTCTCTTTAATTCAATCTACACGCTAACATAGTAAACGTACGGTATAAACATTTTTGTTCAGAATAAATTATGACTGAAAAAAACATAATGTATAACACCAGAGTACTCTGACATCAAAGTACCAACCTTTCGGAAAATGGATTTATAACATCCGCAAGCCAACTCTACAACTACACACTTTCCCAGCTTTCGATTACATACTTCCGTTTCCCTTTTTACAAAAATACTCTCACAGGTTGCACCTAGGCTAAAGACGGAAATAAAAATATAACTTTTGAAATAAATGTTTTATTCATTATTTATTTCTACTAGCTGTACCCGCGACTTCGTTCGCGTGGAATTTAACTTAAGGGGGTCTTCCTATGTGACGGCCTGTTTTTTAGGGATATTTTAGGATTTTTTTTCTACGACCAGTAAATATTTAGAGCTTCAAGTTTTTTTATCATTTATTAACACATATTTGGACAGTATAAATATAAAATTTCAGCTAAAAATATTCAGTCAAACTAGAGTTACAGCGCTCTGAACACCCCCGCCTCGAAAAAAAGAGCTCCCACTTCCTCCACGATTCCGGCTGATCGGCTTATCTGAAAAAAAAAAAAAACGGCGTTTTAATTTGTAGGCTTAAAAGCACGGAATGACCTATAATCAAATGAATATAAAAAAAATTGGATTTTTGATAGACATTTGAAATAAAAGTTGCAAATTAGGCGTTTTTTTTTTGTTTTTTGCTATAAAAAAATCGAAGTTTTGAAAATTTTCGATTGATAATAGTTCATTCCATGCGTTTACATATAGTGAGTGTGCCCTGTAAATTTCAAGTAATTCGGTCCAGCCGTTTCTGAGATACAATGGAGGAAAGTTTGAAAAACACAGTTTTGAGAAAAACGCGTTTAAAGTTTCAAGTCCGTTAAAAACTATTAAAATATCAACTTACTCTCAATCGGCGATGCCTGGTCCATAGAGTATTCCTTCCTCTTCCTCGTGAAACTCTTTTAAAGCAGATTGTTCAGCTCTTGAGTCAATCCTGGCTTGTTTAACGACATCACTTACGCGCCGCTCAGAGCGTAAGATTCGCTTTTCATCCCGTTTCTCAACATACGCTTGGGCTTCACGACCAACAGGGCATCCCATAATCGACATAACTTTTAAAATACCTTGAAAACCTTCATTAAAGATAATAACTGCTAAGTAGCTAGCAATTTCAACAACTTTGGGACCAGAATGAAGATGTTTAGGAGCGAAAGTCCAAATCAAAGAATTCAAAGATTCGTTATTGTTTTGTGTCTCTGCTCCTAAACAACGAATTAATATAACGTCTTTCGATAAATCTTCGAAAACCGGTTTGATAACTCCAAAATGGACTTGCGGAATTAGAGGTGGTTTATCGTGATGAAATTGGTCCAGTTCATTATTAGCTTTAGCCTTACGCCATTTACACCAACTGTCTTCGCCTTCTGGACAAAATTGATGCTGAGGGTTTTCATCAGAAGAACATTTGTGATAGTACGTTGCCCAAACTTCCGTTCTCATATCTTCAAGCGAATCTGGATGGCGTCGAATTGCTAATCCGTAGACTTTTGTAATTTCTTGGATAACTTTAAAATTTATGCTCCTTTTCTGTTTAAGTCTGTAGAAACGTGTCTAAACTTGTATAAACAAATATATTAATAAAAGGGAGGCCAGGTATAAAGCCGACGGTACACAATAGGCCCGGTCTCTAACTGCCAACTCACCGCTCCGAACCGCTCTTTCTTTTACCTGCTGTATCTTTAAAACGACTTCGAATTTTCTAAAATCGCTTTACTACCGTATTCTAGACATGTTAAGGGAGCAATTTATGAAAAAAAAAATCGATTTTTTCAACCCATCACATAGGAAGACCCCCTTAAATCTACACGCTAACATAGTAAACGTATATTTTTTATTCACAAAAAATTATAACACAGTACTTCCTAAAATAAAAGTAGATTTATAACGTGAGATTACATACTTTACTAGGCTAAAGACGGAAATAAAAATATAACTTTTGAAAAAAAATTTAATTCATTATTGTTTTCTACTAGCTGTACCCGCGACTTCGCGTGGAATTTAACTTTATTTTTCTAAAATAAAAGTAAAGTTACTCCTTATTACATCTCGTCAAAATCGGTGCAGCCATTTCAGAAATTAGCCGGAACAAACGGACAGAGGAACAAAAATTGTAAAAAATGTTATTTTGGTGTATGTACCGTATTTTATATGCATGTAGTAGAAAACGGTTATTTCAATATTACAGACTCTCAAATTTTATTTATATGTATAGATAATATTTCATTTTAAACGTTAATCGTTCATTTTAAAGTTTCTTTGGACATAGGAATTATTACGTGAAACTCAATCTAATATACACTTCTTATAATAGGTATTACTTTATATTGATTTATTTTAATATTGTATTATAATGTGCTTACTAGATACTGTTATAAATATCAATGCTATTAATTTGTGTAATATATATGTACTAGCTTATGCCTATCTGCGTTTGACTGTACTTGATTACAATTTATCTCTTACAAGAAGACATTACAGATGTAAAATTATCATATATACATATCTGTAATATTCAGTTCAATCAACTGTTAGCATGAATGATTTTCCTATTTTATTATTCTTGGTGGTGGCTCAAGACAGTTCTTTCTAGAATCTTATTGATTAAACAAATAATCTTGCTGTTGGGAATGAAAATGGAAATTGATAATATATATAAGATAAACTTTCAAAATGTTCTACGGACGTATGTTTTTTTTTTTTTTTTTCAATATTTGATAATGGGACACCTGCCTGCTTTAACGGTATATGGTGGCGGGCCAGTGGAAGATGTACATAAAAGATCAGTTAGCCTATGACGAATTCGATATCCACTTGACTAACATGGTATAGTAAGTAGCAATGGAGCCATTAGTTTCCTAACTTCTCGCGCGTACTTATTGTTTTCTTTTATGGATGATAATGCAATGATGCACCCGTCTGCGCTAACGGTATACGCTGTCAGGACATCAGTGGAGTATGATAAAACGAGCATAAAGTCAAATCAATCCATCTTGGCAAATGCTAATTAACCACGATGGTTTCCAGGGGAAACAACGTGGAGGTTAACCTGACATGGTACACAGCCATATTACTAACAATCCCCTTCTCTGCCGAACGTTAGTAGGGTAGAACAGAATAAAATGGAATGTACGTGTGGAGGTGAAATGGAATTCACCTGGTTATCGAGTATAGGGTCACAGGTACCGAACCTTGACATATCAGTCTTTTGGAATAACAAAGTGTTGTGCCTCGGATAAGAGAGGAACTCGTTAGTATTCCATGGATTCACTTATTTTTCCGGACTAATCTAGTGCTGTTGGCCGCAGCTGGCCTTTACTGCTTCTCCAGACGATAGTCCTGTCGTCCGTTGGAAGGATAGTCCAAGGATTATGGGACCTGCCTGACGGATACTATTTAGTCTGAAGGCACCGTTAGGGCTTCGAACCTCGATTCAGTCAGTCGTAATATCGTTTAAATTGGACGGGGGTCAGTCGAAGGGGAAAAGGTTTCACCGTGCGGTTGTCGCGTCGATAGTATGGAACAGAGAGAAACTCCGAGCAGCTCCCGGGACGTGACCCGTGTGTATGTTAGGGGCCCCTTTGTTTATACGTCAACATTTGCCTTCACCGCTCGTGTTTCTCTTCCTGCCCAAACAAATCACGTACACTGCCTGTAATGCTATTCATGTATATAGACGACGATAATTACCATCAGATGGGTCATCAGCTTGTCCAATCCAGTTACAAAAATAACATAAATATGTTCCTATGTAGCTGTGATGATAAGCAACAGTTATATGGAAGTGGCTGAAATAAAGCCGTAGTTTTGATGAAAATAAAACCAATAAATTATGTCTTTATTTGTATATTTGTACTACAGATAAATATTATGTCTATATTTACTTAAAATTGCTAATTCATAACCTAAGTCCCCTAAAAATTATTTAATGGAACATTTTCTATTTACAAAGTTTAGGTATATTTTTATGAATGTGTGAGGTTAGAAAGTATTATAAAATATTATATGTTGCCTGTAATGGTTACTAAAAGTCTAAAGAAATTATATTTTGACTGAATTTTGTATTATATTAATACGTGAAGCAATACAAAAGAGTGTTATTTCTTATACTTATAGTATATATAGAGAAAGAGGGCAGATTGCCAATGTATTTTATTAAAATTATGCATAATAAATACCAATAAATCTGTTAAAAAATCATTACATACACAACCACGTATTCGATATACACATGTATATATATATATAGTCTTTGACAATAAAACCTTAATAATCTTCAAACATTAAATTTGAATTAATTATGGTCGACTTTCGACCACTGGACCACCACTAGTTTTAATAAGTTTTTGTATTTTTGAATGTTGAATCCGGCAACGATTATACTTTTAAATAACATGATTGTGTTTTAACCAATTTTGGAACCGGGAAAGCGAATATACGTATAAAAAATTATTTTCGACAGATTTTGACTAGCGTTGAACGTAGGTTTTAGATGAAAATGTGTGCACGGTAGTTACGTGGCTCCACTTTTGATTGCATAGTGTTCCAACGGATATTTTTTAGATGATCTGAGTTTATAACTTAAAATTTATAACAAATAAAAAAAACGTTAAAAGTATTCATTTTAAAATCAACTTTCGTACAATGTTTATAGGATTCTTATTACAATATTATTTCTACTGCTTTACCTTTGTGCATGTCATTCATAGTATTATTTTTGGGTCACTGGTACATTAATTCGAGTATAATATTTATTTTACAGGCTTTTAAATTTTTATCGCATGTATTTAATTGTAATCTCTTTCAGTTTGCATGACTGAAATGTAATTACTATACAATAATTATGATTTTATTTTATGCTATAATATATTTGTGAAATGTAGTATGTCTTGCCCTAGTCTTAAATTGTAATGTAACAGCACAGCTCTGCCTACCACGTAAGGATCCTGGCGTAAATATAGATAGATATATAGCACAGGTATTGTTCAGCACAAAAGTGAATCAGGATATTGCTTCATAATGGATAACTAATACATACATATAGTTAACAGCTGTATATTTAGTGTTTTGAATAATCAATTTATTATTCACTATCTCCTACCTATACTACAGGTAGTAGATACTAATTAGTAATAAAGGATATACCAATCCTAAAACCAGGTAGAATATTTTATTAGAAACATCTTTCATTCACTTTTTTCTTTTAATTTCGATTGTTGTTTGGGTATCTCCGTTATTACTAACACTGGGTGTGGGTTGGTTATATCCTTTACAAATAGTTCTACGTTACATTTTTCTTATTCATATAAATGCCATAAAACAACTTATTAACTTATTTTAATTGTGTAAGATTTTACTAAGTAACATAAATAGTATTATAGGTATTTATTTTAGCTTTTATTTTTATGATTAATATATACTTTAAGTGATTTATCAACATAATTATAATTTAAAATAGATTTCTACTATGTCAGTTGACAGCCCTAATAAATATTCTTTTAGTAGAATTTAGTCCTTGAACATTGGCTCTAGTATTACAGAAACATGTTTGTTACATTATGATTTAATTCTATGGTGTATCGACACGGTTATGTTTTGATACAACTGTTTAGTGTATGTAGTGTTGCAGATGTAGGCCTGTGCCGGGGTTGCCTGCTCACGAGAACGCAAAAAATACCAAAATTTATATAAAAACTACCAAAATCTACTGTTTTGCCCTTTTTGCCATGTTCGTTTGTTCTGATTGCAGAGCGCTGACTGCCGAGTATCAAGAAAACAAGAGGATGTAGCCTGTAAATGTTATTTTAAGCAAAATTTTTACTAAAACACACGTCACGATCGCCCTTCGATCACCCACAATAAATAATATACACTACTATTATAAAATAGTCAATCGTTCAAAGATAAAAAAATAAATTAGGTCACTATATTACGCAATCAATTTTGATTATATATTCCAAAGTACAGTCTGTACAATAATGGTTATAGTTATAGCTCCTTGTATTCTTAAAATTGTTATAGAAAAATTGTCAATTCAATAAGCATTGTATGTCAACTTAATATAAGCTTTTATTCCTACATTGACGTTTCTCTATCGCAATATAATACGACATAATGTAAAAGACATTAATTAGATATATCGTAACATAATGTTTTTAATTTTATTCATAAGTTATATAAATACGAATAGGTCTCTCTTCTCTTTGCACTAATTCGTTTTTAGAACGGTTAACTTCATTGTGCGGGCATTACATACGCCGTCGACTTTTATTTTATGCCGCATTATAATTTTGTCAGCATTTAGGTTAACTAGACACGCTGGCAGTCGCTAAAGAAACGCCAATAGCCAATCAAACGATTTCGCGCTCTACTTGCATTGAAATCCGTTACATATCAATTTATTTCTTGTGGGTTACAATGTTTTATTTGTAAATTGTATCAATACATGAGATTATACTAAATTTAACAAATCACGGCTGTGTGGTCAATATATACATATATATAATTTCGACTGTGTAATTACCTATGTTCGTATTTCCATGTACCTATTGAACTGTCGTTAATTATTTTGTGCCAATTGACAATCTGTCCAGGTTTGTAATGTACCACACTGCTTTTAAATAAGAATCGGACGAAGGAGCGTTAGAGCGCCATGGTGCGATCGCATTGAGATACTTCGTCGCCGCGGAGTCGAGGTAACGCACCACTGAGTGACTAGTATATAGAATTGTAATTTTTATTGTGTGTAACATGATAATCTCTTACTTGTCGACCGCTGTTTTGGCTTTACCCCTCCCCGCGAGGTGCGAGGCGTAAAGCTGAAACACTATCATGATATGAAAATATATAGGTGTGTAAGATAGGCATTACTATTAGTACGTTCGGTCTTGCTATTCTTCCAGACCATTAGGTTGTAAACATATATGCTACACGATTTAGAATATGTATTTTTTTTTCTAAGTTATAGCTTCGGTAATTATCCCATAGGGACAGTGTATAGCAGAAGTAAAAAGGTAATGTAATATTATTCTACATTCCCCGACATTGTTCAGTATAATAAAATTATAACGCGATCCATTGGCACACGACGGATGTCCCTCAACTTTTGTATTAATATTTAAGAGATAAAGTGTATGTTATTGACATATTGTGTGTTCATTTTATTTCTAACTATGGTTTCTCTCCACAGAACCTTGAGGTAAGTGACCCTATAAAGATTAATTCACACTGCACCGTAATTACATTGTGGTTTCATGTATATTTATTCTGATTTACCGGTCTCATATCATTGCATATATTATTTGATGATCATGATTATGTGCATTTTTTAAAGTGTTCTCTACGACTATTGTACTTTAATTTATGAATTCCTGGCTGATGTGTGGATATGTTTTAGGTGTTTTCAAAGACCATTCTGTCATTACAACTTAGTATTTAATCATGTTGGTGACTTACAATCGGTACTACTATATAGTTATATGTGGTTTGCATTTTATCTTGACGTACCTTTCACAGCGATGTAGCAAGGCCCCATCTGTGCCCGCCTATCACTATGCCTTGCTATCACATATCTGTATTGTTCAAAACTCACACTTCTGTTGCATTTGATGTTACTTTATTCTATGCCCATTGTACTATTAATACGTAACTGTATTTCTGTGCTGATTTTGATACTGTGTACAATGCCGTGTCATTTCCAATTTGTGACTACACCACTGCCTTCATATTGTCGGTCTGTTAAAGGTGGGAGACCTAACTGCCTACAGTACGTAATTACAATAGAGAAATCATGTAACTGTCCTCGGGACGATGCAATGAGTTATCCAGAACAAAATGCTGGCTAACATGGTGGTTTGCAGTTAAAGATTTGGTAAGTTTTGAGTAAAATATATCTACAATAATGAGATGGTTTTGTTAACTGTAAGTATATGAACGTGGGGGACATTGTTAGGTAAATCTAGACTACCAGAAAATATATATGAAAAGACAACTTTGGTTACTGGCAATAAATGGTTTTATGATAACATATAATATGTATTTAAACCTTTTTAATTTAAAAAAAATCCATTTACAATAATAATATTAAAAATATTAATATGTATGTATGTTGTTGCTATTGAAGTACCAAGTTTTATTGAAATCGTAGAGGTTTATTATAGAGTTTTCTACTAAGTTTGTAATTAGTTGACTGTTTATAAAGATCTACTTGATCTAATCCGATACAATACATACTAAAGTGACAGGTGACAACCTGTCTTCTTTACCGATGAGTTTGTTTGCTGCGAATAATAACTGACAATAAAGACACAGAATAGTAACGTAATTACTGTGGTACTTACAAGAACTACTCTAGATTTTTCTTAATTTAGTCAATTGTAAAAATGGTAATAAAAATCAGAGGAGGAACGATGATAGTTTGTGGTGGATAGATCTCTACACACGTCTATAAAAATGGAACTTTGATTCTAGTATATTTCTATTCTTTACATTATGTCTAATTGATGTACATATATTTCTAACCGTAACCATTACTAAAATGTGTAGGGAATGTGTTGCATATATTTGAGTGAAAAGATTGTTAGGGCGTTATATTAGGAAATATGCTTTCTATATGCTTAGTCGTAAGTATTCAATTGTGATGATGGAATACCATAAAAATAAAACAATGACGGTACCTAGGACAGCGTACATCGATAACACACTAAACGCCAGCAGCAAAATAAATGGATTATAAATCATACTATTGACTAAGGTTTAGAATACTATAGGCATTTTTTTAACAATTTTTAATTCTACTTGTAATCTAATACCCATTGATGATGATATTCTGCTTTTGACGTGACTGAAATTTTATTTTTATTTTTTATGTCTATTTCTGTTATGATTTGTATTTTACGTAGACTATAAATGTTATATATTTCTATACAGTGCCTTTCCATTATAAATGCATATATATTCATCGAGCCAAGTTTATTTTATTCTATTTATGATGATATATTTTAGTTATTATTACATTTGCATTCATATCTAGTTATTTCAGTAAAACACGATACGAAGCTGGCGTTATCCAATAAAAGGCGATATATTATTCTCGAAGTTTTATTTCTAATTTAACTAGCGTTCCTACGATTCTAAACTATATACAAAACGTAACTGTAAACAAAGACGATTCCTGTGTACGAGCCGGCAGAAATAAGTATTTGTTATGGACAGTAAGTATTTCTCTATAATAACAATCGTATCTGGGTTCTTACTCTTTAATATTATGGATATTGCGTAATAGTTGCTTTGATTAATAAACACGTGATAACATGACCCTTGGTTAGTGGGGCTTATCTGCGATGTGGCGTCTTCAGCGAGGTATACTATATTTACAAAGATGTTTGACTTTCCACGATCGAATAATGCTGCAATGATAAGCTACTATAGCATTATTCAAAGGTTTATTGAATAAATATGTAGTTTAATTTGCAATTAGGTATGTTAACATGTTTATGAATCAACCGTATTTAAATTGAAATTTCATTCATTCATTCATTGTATTCAAACTTTTTAAATGACACGTGTCTGTCTCGATGGTAACTTTAAAAAAAATGTCATTTCAATATTACTTTAACGTAAATATCCTTTATACCACTATGGTGGCAAACAAGCACACGGTCCATCTGATGGTAAATGTAATATATTCTTGAAAACATGCTACATAGTCTCGTGAGAAAACCTCTGCATATATCATTCCACGATCTAAGTGTACGCGGGGGGAAAATCCTCTGAAACAGTACTGTCCGAGACCACTTAGGTTCTCTAGAGCTGAGGATAAATTCCTTGGCAATGAAAAAAGGCAACAGTAGGCATCAATTTCAGTATACGCCTATTTAAATTTAATATCTTCTTGGGGAGACTTCGTTCGAGGTCTGTGATGCAAGTGAAGTAGACGAGACGCTACTAGACCGTAAGAGTCGAGATATTCGTGAAAGAGGCGCAGTCGCCCATGGCTCCAATGGTCTGCCTGTTTCTGGCACAGGCGACACCCTGAAAACACATTTCCAGTAAAGTATTTTACAGTAGGGAATACTATTAATGCAACTTTTGTGTTGGTATGACAAAAATTGTCTCCCTGATGGTAATGGCACCCGTCTCCTACATACATACCTAAGAACGTCACATACTTTGTCATACCGGACGACTAAAGCATGCTGTGCTACCCCGGAATTTTACTACTAACATGTCTCTTGAACCAAAATTGTATTCCGACATTTCCGACTTTTCACATAGACTACCTTATGCTTATACTATTCCATCGCTCTTCAACCGAAACAGCTTTCAAAGCAAGCTGCTTGGCTAATATAATGTTGTACAAAGTCTACTTTTGGTCGGAATTTAATTGAGAAAGAGCATAAGACGAAACATGTAGTCTAGAATAACTCGAAATACTCGAATCTTTAATATGAAATATGTATAAGACCCAATTGATTCTAGTATCTTTTAGGTTAGGCGCAATTATATTAAAAATATAAGAAGAAGGAAGTAAGAAATATTTGTTATAATATTAAGTTGCTGTTGAAATTGTATATACCGCGGACCTATATTACATAGGTATCTATTATTTTGCAACTTGGTGTGAAGTTGGAAACTTACCTATTTCTTCTAGGTCTAGCTGTTTTTGGGCGTATTTTCTTTTTCTCGTGTTTAATATTAGTAGATACAGGTGCTGCACTCTCTACCTCAGCCCCACTACCTGCACCTTAACGATTTAAATACATTTACATGAACATCGAACCATGGGTTGAATATAGAGACAATCAATAATATTCCTAAATAAGATAAAGTAATTAATATGCCCAATCATCATAAAATTTAGCATATAGGTAAGTATTATTTGAAACAGGACGTAATATACTTTTATCCAGATCAAGCCAAAATATGTTTATAAGGGACTTATATATAGTTTACTTACCCACTATAAACAATGAATGCTCCACTGGCACCTGCCCAGTGGCATGCTGAATGCAAAGTGGCCGAGCTGCTTTTATTCTGGCTGATTCGTCTCTTCTGTTTCCTAGAGCCCTATGTATAAAATATTGTACTGTAATATGTAGAGCACCTATGAAAAATACATTGAGTATAAATACTTTATTCCGCTCGTGATGCTATTCATGTATTTATTTTCATTTTTGTCATAAAAAACTGGTGGACTAAGCCTAAAGTAGGCCAGACATTGTAATTCCGGGCCAGGCATTACCAATCAACGATTCGGAATAATTTGCATGTTTCAGGAATAATTAAAATAAGGTTTCGGTTTAATATTTTTCTGTTAAATAAAAATTATAACAATTTTGGTGCCCAAAAATTACGGGCTCTAGGCACGTTTTGCTAGGCCTTAGTCAGCCCATGAAAATGTATCATTATCATTGCATTGCCTTGCTTTTATCCCATATGGGGTCTTCGCAGTATGTCCCAGAAAATAGGATTTTCTTTAGTTTATTTAACTAATTCATTGCAGTATATTTGAAAGATGATCAAAAAATTTGAACTTACGAGCTATTTCCTGAACTAGGTGGATCATCCCAAGGTGCGTCGCTTTCTACAGCGCTGCTCTCAGATGCCACCAAGTACATAGATCTGTGTATATCAAATGGTGAGATTAAGAAATGAGAATTGTAGAAAATACACAATACATCTAATACAAGTGTGTTTAGTTTCGACCGATACTCATATTTGTCTTGTACAATTATACAACAGTACCTAATAGACGTCTTGGTCGTACTTGCGATTGTCACAAGGTTGATACCTCGCGCGGTATATACATTTGTATTCATAAGCATGATTGTTTGTATCGGTCTGGGTGTTTTGTATGCATATTATTTATATATCCACAAAAAAATGCTCTGCTTAGCTTTGTATTATATAGCATCGACAAATTTATCTTTACATAGTATGAAACAAAGTTCTCACCGCTGTCTGTACGCTTCGATCTTTTAAATTACGCAATGGTTTTCAATGCAGTTTTCATATATATATATACATGCTGTTTTAAGTTTGACGCGGTCATTATTTATAAGTATAAATAGTAAATCACGGGATCTTATCACGTTTTTTATATTTCTGTATTTCAATTGACTCTAACCATTATCGGGATGTAATCTCGTTCTGATGCCAATACCTCTCTTCAGTTTACCCGTGATCATGGCGATTGAAACACTGCCGAAATATCGGGAACTCAATAAAAATAAAACGTGGTAAGATCCCGTGATTTACTAATTATACTTATGTATATTATACAGAAGAACCGAGAAATTCAAGGATTTGTAATAATGCAATGTGAAGTCGGGGTGAGTACATAATAAAATGTACATTTTATTTTTGGACTTCTCCAATGCTTTTGCCTGCTAGCCTTTACAGTTTCACCGCATGATAAAATGTATGTAGTTATTGAATGGTGGCTTACCTAGCAGGCACGTACAGGTGAGGGGGTGGGGGCGCGGCGCGGCGGGATGCGGAGCGAGCGCGACGTGCCCTCGAAGCTCTCCCCAGCAATACAGATTCTATAACATTGGAAAAAAGAGAGTAGCGTCTTTTTTGTTTACCTATTATTTTTATATGATTAGTCGGAGTGATTTCTCCCCTCTGGGGAAAGAGATTCTTTAGTAAATGGAAATAGTGACGCCTTTGCCTTGATGTACCTTGTCATGTTCATGTTCACCTCCACGCTGTTCTGAAAACCTACATGATAAATCCTGGTGAATTCGTCACGTTCTCCACATCCTCCTCTGGCGCCCCATTAGTCCAGGCCGATGCATCATTCCATTATCATCCATTAAAAAAATCTGTTAGGGAGGAGTTAAATGTACGACTTTAGTTTAGAAATGGAAATTAGAATTGGACGGGGGAATGATCGGAGAGGAAGTCAACGCCCTCTTAGACGCAGTGTTACCTACCTCAGCGTCGCATTAGTAGGTACACCTGCATGTGTTGTCTGTGGGTTGTACATTTAATTGTGCATTAAAGTTTATATAAACAGATAATATTCTTACCGGATATGGGGTCACTGTCGCTGTGTTCCTGCCGTTCGCGACGCCATCCAGAGTCCGCTGCAGGAGCATCTGCAGCCACACCGAACAATCCCGACACTGCTCCAGCTACCATCTTCCTGGCAGACTTCGCTGCCGTCTGCCGAGTTCAATAATCAGATTTATTTTTATGTAATTTAAATGTCAAATAATGATAGCCCACTTGATGAAAGGGGAGTCGTCGCTTACATACATGAATAGTACTAAGACATGCCCTGCCATTCCTGAGGACCAAAGTGTTGTGTTATACTGAAATATAGTTAACAAAGTAAAACAATCTTAAATATATTGTAACAGAACTCAACGTATGTTACAACTGTATAGTAGCAAAAAGGTTTTTTAGTACTGATACGCGTCGTAATTTAAGAGTCGGCTGAACTATTCGCCTTATGAAGGGGCGTTGTAAAAAACAGTTTTTTAGAGGATATGACAGCAGGCAGCTCATTTGATACGTACCTGAGAAACTCACTACATGAAGAATACTCACGGTAACACTGAGGTCTATCTCTGGCACGCCGCTCAGGTCGGCAGCCCGTTCAGCAAGTCTCTTCAGCAAAGTAGCACCTGGTTCGGTTGTTTCTGACATTTTCACAAGATCAAAGAAGTAATCTGGATACACTTCTTCTTCCACTGTAATATACCGAGATTGATTTTGTATGAAGTCGTTTGAGGCACGACTATTTTGGGCGCCAAGAAATATTGCAGATGCATATTAAGATGTATTTTAGTTTAGAAAGTTAGTCATCCTTGTTTTGTGGATATTAGAGTAAAACTAGCTGTCCCGGCAAACGTTATTTGCCATATAAATTAATATAATTAAAAAATAGGAGTTCGTGATAGAAGAATAAAATAAATGTTAGGAGTGCACAATATTACTTAAGGGTATAAAAATAGATAGTAGCCGATTCTCAGACCTACTGAATATGCATATAAAATTTCATAAAAATCGGTCAAACCATTTCGAAGGAATATGGTAACTAACATTGTGACACGAGAATTTTATATATAAGACTAGCTGTCCCGGCAAACGTTGTTTTGCCTTAAAATAAAAATAAAAAATTTAGGGGTGGACTACCCCTAATATTTAGGGGGATGAAAAATAGATGTTGGCCGATTCTCAGACCTATTCAATACGCTCACAAAATTTCATGAGAATCAAGCCGTTTCGGAGGAGTATGGGAACGAAAACTGTGACACGAGAATTTTATATATAAGTTTACACTTACCAGGCTTTGGAATTTCTTTAGGTTTCGGCAACATAGGTGTCACATTTTGTACAATACCAATCGATCCCGTTTGTGTTGCCAACATTGGACTCTTCTGTATACTAGAAACTGATACACTTGTTGGATCCAATACAGGCTTTTGAAAGTTTAGACCTTGTACTTCCAAATTAGCTTTACTTGGAACGGATTTTACAGGAGTCTGTGGGATAGTAGGTGTAGGCACAGATAATTGGTTTGGGGAGGCCAATTGCTGAGTTGGGGTAGGAATAACAGAGGTAGGTAGTTTTGGGGCGGTTTTTCCATTCACTAGAAGATCCGGAGTTGGTTGCTTTTGAACTGTGTCTGGAAGTAATAAAGCGATGAATGAAATAATTTTTATGTTAGTAAGTAGTAGTTTATGTTTAAAATGACTTTTACACTGGAAAATAAAATATTTTTTTAATACAATAATTATAATTATTATAATAAATATATTAATTATTGGAAAAGAGACGAGTAAGTTAGAAACAAATTTAAAACTCGATTTCAGTCGCTTCATCGATTTCTTCCTCCAGCTTGTTTGACAAGACGCATAAGTATGTATCAACATGTAGGTACAATTTAATATTAGGTAGATCATCACATTCTTTGCCACTCAAATTAAACAAAATGGCATACCAGTAGTGGCGAGTTCGAGGTCATGTGTGAAGGCCATAACATTAAGGGCCGACGACAATGCCGGACCCACTCCGTTTCCTACTTCGGCAGCCAGGCCCATGTCTGCGGTCCCCACGCAGTCCGGTGGGGGCGCGGTACCCCGTCTCCTAGTAGATAGTAGACAGGGAAGCCAATTGAAATATTAAACATCAAAAATGATATTATGTATGTAGGTTGCATGAAAGTGTGATGAGTGCAAGTAAAGATTTAAAGATATGCAAGGAAAATAGAATGAATGTTTTTGAGTGAATATATTGATTGAGATGATGAATGAAATGGAGCGGCTGAATTCCAACTGCCGCCTGACGGATATGACTTCAGTCTGAGGGTACCACAGATTCGAACCTCAGCTCAGGCCGTGGTAATATTGATCCCCGTTTGAATTAAATATGAGCCTGAATTTTCAATCTTCAACCAATGATTTTTCTTATTATACAACGTCATATCCATGATGATGTACCACTTAGGGCGTAGGGGCCTTTACCCCAGCGTCAACTTCCGGGTAACAACCCCCGGTGGACTGGATTAACAGACTGACAATCTTAAACCTATTTTTTTGCGCTGCTCATGTAGATAGGTGATGGTTGCCATTTACCACAAGGTCTGCTGGCAATTTTTTGTCATTCCAGTTACATAAAAAAACTTACGGCAATGGCGCCTTCGTTGGTGTAGATATAGAGACACGGCCCCACATCAGTCGGCGTAACTCTTCACCGCTGATACCTCGACGTCTCAGCTCTGATATTGTCACTTTCCCGACGCGCTGTATACCATATTAAAATAACAATAATAACTCTATATTCAATATGACCACTTTCGTGCTCTAGCGGTTTAGCACACCGCTTTACTTCAGATGGTCGCGGTTTCGATTCTTCGTACGGTGAAAACATTTGTATTCATATGTTCGCGCTATGGTTGACTAGGAGAAAATGCCTAGAGGTGTTTAGTCCACCAAATGCACCTTCACTTTCGTTTTTGTACATTAATGTATTTAATAAATAATTAAAAATCCTATTACTCACTAAACGATTACCTAAATGACAAACATGCGTAGCAATAATCGTTCATAAAGGATTTCATTTTGCGTTAGACATAAACATCTATATACACAATATAAACTGGTTATTAAAAAAACAGAAATTCAGTTGCGTTTTTAGCCATTTCTTTTGAATTGAATCTGTAGTTCAAGTAAAAATAAATAACTGGACGGTAAGGGAAAAAAATATTAATATAAAAAACTTGAAATTCATGAGCTGCTAAATGTACATGAATAAATGACTTTTGATTTAATATGAATATAAATAAGATACTACACACCTTCCAATTGGACAGAGCTCCTTTCCGCTGCTTAGCTCTGGTCTTCGCCTTACTCTTGATGACCATAACAGCGCGCTGCTCATACCGTGGGTCGTCTGATGGACCCAAACCTATTGAATACTCCTGAAGGTAGCGATGAGCGTCGTCCTGTGCCACCGATCTCTCCAACGACACTACTATTTTCGCCCACTAAAATATTCAGTCTTCATAAATCCATCAGAATATTTTCTATTTCAATACATAAAGTAAATGTATATATTTATAATAAACTACCTGACCCAACTTCGTCTGCATCATACTTACTTGACATTTATCGTTATATTTCGCCGAATTTACGTAATATCTTTTTAAATTATAGTAGCAAAAAAATTTTTTAAAAAATGTGATTCTGATATATAAGCTATATTATACTGTGAAGTTTCATCAAAATCCGTTCAGTAGGTTTTGCGTGAAAGATTAATAAACATCCATCCATACTCATAAATTGTCGCATTTATAATATTATTATATTAAAATTAAGATAAGTTCTATTGCATCTCTTTACAGATGATTTTTACAATTATTATTATTACATTCCGCTCATACTACTTATAATGTATGTTAGATCTGTGAAAAATACACTAATAAAAACTTACGTAATAAATAATAACAACAAACTGGTTTTACCTAAGTGCCATTTGACGAAAGTTAGAAATTCGTTTTATGGTAATTGCGTAAGGTTTTACAACAAACTGCCAGAGTTTGTCATCACTCTACCATAAAACGATTCAAATGTGTTTAAAACACTTTCTTTGTAAAAAAAAGATTATTACGTGTTATTACAAAGTTAAACGAGCTTGTAAATGATAATAATGTTTTTGTAGTAAACAGTTAAAATTCATAGCGCTGACAATATTATCTATTTACACAAAGATTGAACGGTAGCGGTTTCTATGTTGATTGTCGCTTGCCTAAACCTTGTTAATGTGTATTTAATTAGAACAATGTCTATTCAAAAGATCGACATGTCAAGTTTCTTGTGAAGAGTCTCCGTTCCAAATGAGTGGTAGAATAAAAAAATTACTATTCAAAAGTGATTACATTAAGTTTATTTGAATAAAGAATATTTCTATTTCTACTTCTAAATAATACATTAATAAACACTCGAATACCTGTTTAACCCACTCCTTTTCCGACTGCTCTATAACGTGTGCGTACGTGTTGCCCATCATAGCGATCAGCATGTTCAACAGTAGGATGGGTACAAACACCATGAACACAGCAAACACCGTCTTCGCCAGATTTGGGTACGTGGTCAGACCCAAGTCTGTATACTGTAAGGATTTCATCATCTTTAGAGCTTAATTTTTCAAAATAAAAAAAAAATCAGTGATAATTAAATCACTGATTTTTTTTTAATTTTATGTAATTGGACGACGATATCTAGATTTTGATGACAATGAAAAATTAAGCTCTAAAGATGATGAAATCCTATTTAGATAATAGAATGCAAATTGTTGAAATAAATGGTGTAAGGTCCGGAGGTTCCAGTGTTAAAATGGGTGTTCCTCAGGGATCTATTCTTGGTCCTTTTTTATTTTTAATTTACATTAATGACCTTCCTTACTTGGTAGAAAAAATAGCAGACATAGTTCTGTTTGCCGATGATACTTCATTAATATTTAAAGTCAATCGACAGATTGATGATATGAAAAAAGAAGTGCTCTCTCTTCTGTTTTAAAATGGTTTACTGCTAATAATATGCTATTAAATGGAGATAAAACAAAGTGTATTAAATTTACGCTCCCCAATGTAAGGAAGGTTGATTTAAAAATCGTACTGAACAATAAACTTATTAACTTTGTTGATGGTAGTGTATTTCTTGGTATCACATTAGACTCCAAACTGCAATGGGATGCTCATATTTCTAAATTGGCTAATAGACTTAGTTCTGCCGCTTATGCGATAAGAAGAATTAGACAATTAACAGACATGGCAACGGCTAAACTCGTGTATTTTAGCTATTTTCATAGCATTATGTCATATGGTATTATATTATGGGGCAAAGCAGCTGATATAAATACAGTATTTATTTTGCAAAAGAGGGCCATCCGCTCCATTTACGGTTTGGGTTCCAGGAAGTCTTTGCGTAAATGTTTTAAAGAATCAAATATCCTCACCGTTGCTTCTCAATACATTTACGAAAATATTATGTATGCCAGGAAAAACATTAACAGTTTTAAAAAAGTAGGTGATTACACTAATAAAAGCTTACGTAATGTCAATAAACTAGTTTTACCTAAGTGTTTGACGAAAGTCAGAGTAATTCGTTTTATGGAAATTGCGTAAAGTTTTACAACAAACTCCCAGAGTCTGTAGTCAATTTGCCAGAAAAAAATTCAAATGTGTCATAAAATATTTTCTTTGTAAAAAAGCTTATTATAAAATTGAAGAATTTATAAATGATAATAATTTTTTTGTAGAAAATATCTAACTTAAAATTCATAGCGCTGAATGAAGAATTTTATATATGAGATTTATGTATTTAGACATTTATTACATACATTACAATATAAGTTGACATTCCAAATTCGTAAAAAAATTAAATAAAAATTACTAACGCTGTAGTCACCCAATGTTATTTGAAAGAGTGCCATCCATGTGCTCGGGTAACTAGAGTAGAGTGTTGATTGGACGTTGGGAAACCCTGAAATAATATTTTGTATATATACAACATACGACTATTACCGCAGTTGGGGTAGACACTGTAAATGTACCACGTGCACGTAGCATGCTCATATTTGGCTATTTGAATTCAATGCAGAGGGCGAACCTACCGCCATCTATCAATGTAAGAATTATTTTTTGTCTTGTTATCGGTGTTTCCGTAACCATAGATTGTGTACACACAAAGTTTTATTTCTTATTGGTGTCGACCTGATTCGAACTCACGACCTTTCAGTTTATATAATTTGTTCAATTCAAAAAAAAAATTTATTAATATTATACGAGTTCTTTCACAAAATTAATTATTGCTTACTTTGGTATTTTTCTCCAACTTTCTTTGGCTATTTTCTGTAAAAAATCATAGTACTTCCATATTTTTACGTAAATCATTAAAACAAATAATCAGTGCCCGCCTTGTCACGATTATATTATTCTAAAGATATATGAAACTCAAAGTCATTTTTAATCGGGCAGTAAATATCGATAATTAACTGGCAGAGAAAACTAACTTTAAGGTTATTAAAGTATATTAAGTTTTATAAAATGATTTTTTGGCCAATAAAGTTATTTAAATATAACTTACCTCTGTACAAAAAATAGAAAGATTGCGAAAATCCAAACAGTACTATGCAATATATGATGCCGAAGGTGAACATGTCGCCGGTGATCATGCTGTATATCATTGTCACGAAGGGCCCGGTCAGCTTCACTGCTCTGTTGATATATTGTAAAATTGTAATTGTTACAGTTTGTGTTGTAAATACTATAAATGATGTAGTGGAGTAACTTGAAACAGTCATGCTCGCTATAAAGTTCAAACTTGTGGCCGCGTGGTGGGCCGGGTAAATGTGCTCCCTCTAATGTAGTTGAGTGCAATCGTGGCTGGCTCATCCGTCATACTCGTGAACGGATGCTGCTTGTGGGGAATGGTCTGTTCGAGCTACGAGCACTGATTAGTCTATTTGCTTTTGCAAAGCATATGCTGGTAGCCACTCTGTTCTACCAAATTTAAATTTGAAAATGAATCTGTACGTTGTAAATGTTTATAATACATTTACAACATTTATTTGAAAATAATACGAGCTGAGTTTCTTATCAGTTCTTCTCATCTTAAAATCATTTTGAATTGTCTGTATATTTGACATATAATAGACCTACATGAATAAAGATATTTTGAATTGCTGTTTTAAAATTCTACCTCAACGCTTTATCTACACTGTGATGTTTGTTTTAATGGATGATAATGTAATGGTGCAACCATGCACTAACGGTATACGCTGGCGGGACACTGGTGAAGGATAGAAAGCATTCAAAAGTCGTATAAATCATTTTCTTTGTAAAAAAGCTTATTATAAAATTAAAGAGTATGTAAATAATAATAATGTTTTTGTAGAAAAACTTAAAATTAGTAGTGCTAACAATATTATCTGATTGCTCAAAGAAAGTTTAAAGTATAATATGTTTGACATAACCAAAGTTGCAAACAGATACTTACCCAGCAAAAAACATAAGTAAAAACCAGGAGCCGGGTAACAGAAAAATCAGAATGGCTTCCTCTGTCATCGTCTGACGTGACAATCTAGCTGGTATGCACGCCAACAGTAGCAGATTCGACGCTAGGAAGATAAACTTGGCTGGTTCGTGAATCTAAAAAGAAGGAATGTGATATTATTGCACATTAGTTTGTACGTACATACTGTGGCGAATTAATTAGAAGTAATAAGGTTGAAAATGTTGCAATTCAGTAAATATTTTTCAGAAATGAGCTCCAGCAGGTTTGAATAATTATTGAAATTACAATTACAAAAAACATGACATCGTAGTATTCTACAATGGTAACGCATGAGTGACATTACGGGTATCACACGATATCGGATGTCCTTTTTTTTCCTGTTTTGTTGACTACTCAATATCCCTAGGTATTACGCAAATATATAAACACTTCAATTATAAAAACAATAATAAAAGTTATACTCTTCACATAAAACCACATAAGCAGTATACTCAGGATTTTGTCTTATTGTATATAAAAAAAACACTATTAAGGTCCTTATACTTTGACGGCCTCGGTGGTCTAACGGTTTAGCATTTACTTCCGATGATCGGGGGTTTAATTCCCCGCACGCTACAAATATTTATATTCATGAGTATCATTGTTTGTATTGGTCTGGGTGTTTACTATATGTATTATGTGTGTATTTACAAAAAACAAAATTTAGTATCCATAACACAAACTCTGCTTAGCGCTTAAGTTATAAATCAATTAAATTAAGCCTAGCCTAATTAGCCTTGAATTACACAAAAAACAGTATATTTAAATCAAAAGAACTCACCAACTGCTTAAAATACGCTACAAGACCCTGATTCTTGATTTCATCACCTTGTTGCAGTATGATGTAGCACAAAGTGCTGAGAATGGTGCCCAGTTCACTGGCGAGGCGGAGTCCACTGCGAGCATCGCCAACGACCAGACCCCAATCGGGGTGGGCATCCGCTTCAGCACTACTATGCCGGAGGTATACCGACACAGAGAGAAGTAACAGGTGCAGCATCAGGATCATTAGTCGTTTGAGGAACTTTTTCTGAAGTAAAAATTTTATTTATTCGTTTAAAATGAATGAATAAATAAAGAATTTCCATACATTAGTCACTGCTAATCTCAGGCATATATTTTTTCTCATTATATATACATATAATTACGAAATTTCCGCGGACGGAGTAGTATGAAATTTCGCACACTTAGTTTAAAAAGAAAAGGAGTGCAGAATGTTAATATTTCTTGAAACATATACAATATTGTTTTTAAATAAAATTATTAGTCTATAGTCTTTCCAATTACGGTTGAATTTCGACCACTGGTAGCCCTTCGACTGGGCGTCTAGTACATATAGATATGTAGGATTATGTTATCTGTGATATAGGTATACAAACCCTGGCGAATGTTTTCCATTTCTCTTCTAACAGTCTCTGTATTATGCCTCCGTCTAACATATTCAAATGCTCCTGCTTTGTCCCGTTCAAAATGATAAATAGAGCTGAATTCCAATCTAGAAATTTATAATTCTGTATCAAAATCAACACTGTTTGGTGGCTGAAATAGGTGAGGTTCCCACGCAGACAACTTTCTACAAAATCTAACTTACTTTATACAAATATTTGTAATTTATTATGAGTATGATTGTTTGTATTGAACAACATAACTGTATGTATTTTAATTAGTACTTTAGAACTTTAAGTATAAGCTCTGCTTAGTTTAGGTTTATATGGCGGTATGATAATTGTTGTGATTTAAAAATAATTAAAAAACGTATCATTATATTGATGATGGAGTATGAAATTTAGCTTAATAATATTGAAACTTATAATTAAAATTTATTATGGTCGAATTTCGAATATTAGGCGACTGCTAGTATAAAAATTTATACTTACTAGTTCGCCCATCTGGCAACAAAGTATCGAGCGCGTTCAATGGGTACGCAGAGCAAGTAATATTCGAGTATCTCCAGAACTCTTTGGCTGATAGTTCCAGCATCTCCCTGAAAACCGACGCTCGGCCCAACTGGCAGGCCAACGTTAGGGGCGTAAACCCAGCTAAGTTCATCCGACCATTGCTCGCGGGAACCTTAGGATGACGCAGTGCGTATCCGAACATATCCTGAAATATTTCTTGATTTTTATCATTATATTGTATAAAATAAAGTCGCTGTCGCTGCGTGTCCCTATGTATGCTTAAATCTTTAAAACAACCCAATTTTGATTTGGAAGCGTTTTTTTTAATAGATAGAGAGATTCTAGAAGAAGGTTTATATATACAATATATGTACAGCCGTGATCAATAGGGGCGAATAGCTAGTATAACTATATAGGCAAGATTATGGTAAGTGATAACCGTCGTGTGTATTTATGAATGATCTGAGGACATTAGAAGCATGTGGTATGTACCACTCATGCATTGTTTTTTTTCAAAAGACTAAGTTTATCACCCTACGACCTCAAGAAAATTTACAAAACAATCTTATTTGGCCACTGAAATAGGTGAGACAGAAGATTTTATACAAAGATGACATCTGTAAATAGGATGAATATGGAATAAGTTATGAACCAAAAAACTGATGTTTTAGGTTTCTAGAGATTTTCACCGAACGACCAATTAAGAAAATTGCGCAGAGAATTTGAATATATGTATTAGAAAAGTTAATCACTATTTTAACTAATCACATCTGTGAGATCAGACTAGAATGCCAACCCGGCAATGGCTTCTAGATACACCATGGGAAACCACATGGAGAATGAAAAAAAAACCCCATATACCCTTCACCAGCGACGTATTTAGAAGATCATTTCACACGTAAATAAAGTTTGATATATCTTACCAATTTATCACAAACTACAACCATATGCAGTATCATGTTCCCAAACGAGTCCTGAGCGTCAGGCTCGGCCCCGGAGTCCAGTAGTAGGTTGTAGACTGCCTCGTTGGCACAGCATGCCGCCCAGGCCAACGGATATTCACCGAGGTAAGCTAAACCCTCGTAGTTAGTAACACGGGCTGGTGGCACACATTGTTGGTCGCGAGGTAGAAAGAAACTGCCTGTAATAACGGTGAGAACATAACAAAGCTTTGACACAAACCGCGGACACAATAATAATTTATACGTATAATTAGTAAAAATCACGGGATCTTACCACGTTTTATATTTGCTGAGTTGGGAACTCAGCAAATATAAAACGTGGTAAGATCCCGTGATTTTTACTAATTATACGGGGAACTCAGCAAATAAATATAAAACGTGGTAAGATCCCGTGATTTTTACTAATGGGGTTGTTTGATATTTGCTGAGTTGGGAACTCAGCAAATATAAAACGTGGTAAGATCCCGTGATTTTTACTAATTATACGTATAAATTATTATTGTGTCCGCAGTTTGTTTTATATTTGCTGAGTTCCAGGGAACTCAGCAAATATAAAACGTGGTAAGATCCCGTGATTTTTACTAATTATACGTATAAATAATGACCGCGTCAAGTTTAAAACACAATAATAATTGTAGCCGTATAAGTAATCTTTTTATACGTTTATTTACTTATAAACTATAGTCTATCTTTGAAAAAAAGGCACTAAACACAAACCAATTATTTATATAATATTAATTAACATTTGCAAAAAAATATTCTTAGGGATGCCTATATCACAAAATAATCATTACATAGTATAAAACAAAGTCGCTGTAGCTGTCTGTCCGTCCCTGTGTATGCTTAAATCTTTAAATCTAGTGACTCAAGAGGAAGGTTTATATATAAAATACATGCACATCCGTGCGAAGCCGGGGCGAGTAGCTAGTTGTATATAAAATCAAAATTTCAGCTCCTAGTCTAAGCAATTTTAGGCTTACTTTGATTGTCAAACAAGAGAAATCATATGTGTAGGAACATTTATATATATCATTAAGCAAGTATATAAATATTACGTGTACCTATTGCTCTCTGGTTGACGTCGGCGCCAGCTTCTACCAAATCTTGTACTAATTCGTTGTTGCTGTACGCTATCGCCAAATGTAATGAGCTTGCTCCTGTTTTCAAAATGAATAATATATATAATATGTAACTGGAATGAAATATTCACGAGTTCACGAAATGGTAAGTATACATTATTTACGTGATAAACTGTATTATGGGCCACATCATACGTGTCGACCGTAACTCACTTATTTTAAATTTATTTAATACTATCTGAACCCGCGACTTCGTCCGCGTGTTATTTAACTGAATTTTTCTAAAATAAAAGTAGTTTAAGTTACTCCTTATTACATCAGGTACCTGCCAAAAAAGTCCCGTCAAAGTCGGTCCAGCCATTTCAGAGATTAGCCAGAACAAATAGACAAGTAGATAAAAATTGTAAAAAATGTTATTTTGGTGTATGTACTCCAATTTTATTTATATGTATAGAAAACTGTATAGAAAAAAAGAATCCGCTTGCACTTTGTTATCGTTTAGGATTTCTATTCTTTTTGTTTCATCTAAAGTAGCTTATCTGTACCACCTGTACCACCTACCTAATTTTCTCCCAATACATTTTTCTAAAATTGAACAAACATAGTGTTAAAAAAATGTCAAATTCGATAGTTAAAGCCAGTTTTTCGCTCGTTTATTCAAACAGGCAGACACTTTCAGCTTAGTATATAGATTGTTATTCAATCTATATACTAAGCTGAAAGTGTCACATTACACATTTTCACATAATCACATTTCTTTGTCTGAAATAAAACAATAAACTGTTGCAATTGCAGCTTATAATAAAATTAAGACAAAACGGTCTACCGCCCAGAGGGTGCAGTGAGTAAACTCTCTCTTCTATTCTGTTCTTATAGTCTTATAGTCTCTATCGTTAATGGAATGTCTGTTTGTAATATTGAAATAACCGTCTTTTATTACATGCATATGAATATAAATACGGTACATAAACCAAAATAACATTTTTTACTATTTGTGTCTGTCTGTCGGTCTGTCGGTCTGTTTGTTCTGGCTAATCTCTGAAATGGCTGGACCGATTTTGACGGGACCTTTTTAGGTAGGTAGCTAATGTAATAAGGAGTAACTTAGGCTACTTTTATTTAAAAAAAATAAAGTTAAATTCCACGCGGACTAAGCCGCGGGAACAGCTAGTCGTTAAATAAATATTGTGACGTACCCAAGTATTCTTCGCCTTCTACGACGTCCGACGATAATTTAGGAAAACATTTCACCAAAGTTCTTGCCAGTCTAGTGTGGATCTAAAAAAAAAACAATACTACTTTTTTTAATGCACATAGAAGTATAGTATTTTTGCCAACAATAATTTTAGCGCCGTCTAGACACAAGTTAAGCTAGCTAAAGCTTGCGTTATGGGTACCAGATAACTGATACAAATACATAATTTTTTTTTTCGTAAATACATACGTTTTTTTTTTTCGGACTACTCTAATGCTGTTGGCCGTAGCTGGCCTTTACAGCTTCACCGGACGTTAGGGGGCGAGTGCAGATGGCACTCCAAACCCGCGGAAGGACTTATGGAGCGGCTGAAGGCCAACTCCTGCCTTTACGGATACGACTTTAGTCTGAGGGCACCACTAGGGGTTCGAACCTCGGCTCAGGCCGTCGTAATTTCGATCCCCGTTTGAATTGGACGGGAGATCGATCGGAGGGGCTAAATACATACGTACAAATATATATTATATATAGAAAACACTCAGACCGATACAAACAATCATACTCATGAATATAAAATGTTTGTGCCGTACGAGGAATCGATCCCGCGACGAATGAAAGCAAGGTGCTCAACCACTAGACCACCGAGGCCGTCCCAATAGAAACTTAATAATATTCAAATTTATAATTTAATTTATTTAAGGTCAAATTTCCACATTAAACGATTATTAGTTTGTATAAATATAACAATTAAAAAAAATTGATTGTATACATACTTTAGTATCACATATGATTAGAACATGAAGGAGAGACTCGCCGAGTGCTCCCCGGTAACACATCTGCCAGCAGGCCATATGGTCTTCCCACTTCGCGAGTGGGTCGTGGGGCGAAAGCGACGCCTCTATTGGTAGCACCACCTGATTTATTATATTAAAACATAACATAATTAAAATAATATTGAAAAAATGTAAATTTGTATAGCTTAGCTTATTTATTATATATTGTTTTATTATTATTGTTATTACTATCGTAATTGTTACCGGTATAAATCCCCTAGGTTCATTCAACTACCTATAGTCTATTTTTTAATCCTGGAGACTAAATTGACAGGTGTAAATATAAAACTTTGAAATAATGTTACCACTTATAGCGAAGTAGTGGTGTACCTGCGACACCGATTTGTTTAATCGGAAGTTTTATTGTAACATATTCGTTTTAAAGCTTTAAATGACGTTTCCACAACGCAATTTTAAAATTTACGTACATATACTAGTGTTTCCATTACTCTCGTCGTATTATACAGCACAAAAATACATATTCTTTGTCGTTTCCGTACTAGTAGTAATTTTTATAGTAGATTATTTAAAAAATGCAAAAATGTGGCAACATCTGAAACGTCAAATTTGTCTCCGGGATTAAAAAACAGACGGTACTTGTAGATACATAATCGGTATGGATACACTGATTGTTCTTGGAAAGTACGTACCAATACTTTCCAACAGTTGCTGACTCACAAGAACGGCTTCCAATAGGCACGAGAACATAGGTTGGCAGGTGGATGAATACTCTAGATTTAATCGCGAACGCAAATAGGTTAATCTTATTATTTATTAATATTATAAACGCGTAAGCTTCTGCGTATGGATGGTTCTTCTTTACTCTTTCACGTAAAAACTATTGAATGGATTTTGATGAAACTCTACATTAACATAGCTTATACATCCAAATCCTTACTAATATTATAAATGCGAAAGTAACTCTGTCTGTCTGTCTGTCTGTCTGTCTGTCTGTCTCGCTTTCACGCCAAAACTACTGAACTGATTTAAATGAAATTTGGTACCCATATAGTCTAGACGCCGAGGAAGGACATAGGCTACTTTTTAATGTGAAAAAAGGGTTGTAAGGGGTTGAAAATGGTAATGCAAGGTTATCTTTATGCGGCTGAATACACACTTATTATAATAATGGCTTAACTAAAAAATTACATATTTTGGAAAGTCTACTTCATAATTGTGTCATTAAGTCTATTTTCAAAAATTTTTAATTTCTGAATTACACCAGTATTGTACTAGATATGCGACTTATTAACGCTCATATGTCATAAATAAACATATATGTCATTTGTATAAGCAGCGCGCGCAACTGATTATTGTCAATCCGTTGTCTCCTTATGAATTTAAATGAATAAACGTTTGCTCTGCAATTTTATTTTATAAATACATAAATATAATCCTGGTATAGCCTATAACTGATGACCCTGCTCTTGGACAAGAGCGTAAGAATATATTATTAATATTTTTTGAAGAATAAAACAACATATAATATTAAAAATGTTGTCAATACATATGAACAACATTTTCTTGGAAGAAACAACATCTACCGTTCCATCCGAGCTATTCAGGTTCGGAATACGCGTTTCTCCATTCTGGCCAGTAGAGTCAGAGATATGGTTCGCGCAAGTAGAGGGATAGTTTGCAATTTAGAATATCACATCTATTATTTTGATTTAACAAAATTTTAATTTGTTATTGGCCAACTGGACCACCAATTTTCAAAAGAATTTAAAGAAATGTTTAACCTGTTTATTAAATATAAATAAATATGACATTTAAATTTGTAAATATCACATTGTCACCATTCAAGGGGTAAAATAAAATAGCAGATAAAAGTTTTTATGGAAATTCGTCATATTTGAAGCTAGAACGATGAAGCTTTTTTCTTACGCTTTTTTGGGTCAGTTTATTTAATAAATACCTTACTAATATTATGAAAGTGAAAGTGACTCTGTCTGTCTGTCTTAAAAGCCAAAACTTCTGAACTGATTTAAATGAAATTTAAAGTCTAGATCTTGAGATAGGACATAGGTTACTTTTTAATGCTAAAAAGGGTTATAAGAGACTGAAAAAGGAATTTTTTTAAAGTTTAAGCTTCAATCTTATTTTTTTGCGTATTGATTAAATATAATTAACGAAAATGGGTTGTAAGGGTCAAAAGGGGAATTAAAATGTTGTATGGATGTATTGTCATTTTTTAAAGCTAGAAACTTGAAACCCATTTTTTAGGCTGTTGAGAAAATATCAGTACCTATCGCCACAGGACTCAGCCATAAATGGTTACAGTATAGCGACATCTTATCATTGGTACATGATGACACTAATATAAGTAGCATTAAAAAAAACAAGAAAAAGGGTTATAAGGGGTTGAAAGGGGAGATGTAATGTATGTATGGTATGTATGGAAGTATCTTCATTTTAAAGATAGTAGTTTGAAACTTAGTTTTTGGCTGTTGATTGAATTGTATGGAATTATGTATGGAAATTTCATTTTTGAAGCTAGAACGATGAAACTTTTTTATTGGGTTAGATTATTAATACATATTTTTTATTATTTGCTCAAGGTCACTATTTTACGCGGACGAAGTCGCGGGTACAGCTAGTAACATATAGATTAGAAATTTTAGGCCGGTGATAAAACGAGCACAGCTAGTATAGTGATAAGTCGAATCAATGGAAATTCCTAATTGATATTAGAATTAAATAAAAACTTAATTGAACTTTCTTTGTCTTTTAAAAAACTCATCATTGACCATCATATCGTAATTAACTTTTATTCATCGACTATTTATTTAAGCTACGGTAAAAAAACATACGGCACACCTGATGGTAAACGGTTACCGTCTCCTACGAACGCCAGAGAAATCAGGAGTATCGCGTGCTTATAATAAACATCAAACCTGTTCATGATCCCTGAACTTCCATCTGAGGTACTCAGCTCTATTGATGACCCGACCTCTTCCGCCTGCGTACATGTATGCCGAGAACTCCTCGCGTATCAACTTCTCGGCTGCTATCATGCCTCCTTTAGCATAAGTCTCCAGAAGAAGACCACCTTCGGTACAAATACAATAGAAATTTTCGTAGACAAGTACCTTTTCGCGTATTTATAAAACAGGAAGATTATGTTTTTTTACTCATCGATCCTTAGTCATCCATACTAATATTATAACCTAAATGCAAAAGTGTAGGTATCTGTTTGTTTTCGCCTTTTGACAACTAAACATATCTATATATATTCTTTTTTCACATATACTCTCTTTTTCTTAAAACAGGCAGTTTCATCTGCATATTTTAAGAAAACAACCGCGGGAAACAGAATAATAAATTAATTATTTGTATATTTTTTAGATAGCTTTGAGGTAGAATGTAGAAAAATAATGAGTTATTGAAGGGCTGAGTAACTCCCGAAACTGTTCTAAAATACCAAGTGAACTTATATGTAGTTATTAAATACCTTTTTTATAATCTGCCAGTTTATACAGTACTGTATGCTCTTCTGTGTGAGGCTGTGATATGACACGATCGAGAACCGAACCTGCGGCCTGCACTCCTTCACCCAAGCGCAACTTAGCAACCACACCACCCATGGTACTGTAATATCAATCTTATCTATACATCTATACCTTCATATATATAAAATTGGAGTGTCTGTTTGTAATATTGAAATAAACGTTTTTCAATACGTGCATATGAATATAAATACGATACATACACCAAAATAACATTTTTTGCAATTTTTGTCTGTCTGTCTGTCTGTTTGTTACGGCTAATCTCTGAAATGGCTGAACCGAAATCGGCCAAGCCATTTCAAAGAAGTCCCGTCACGGGACTTCTTTTGGCAGGTAGCTGATGTAATAAGGAGTAACTTAGGCTACTTTAATTTTAGAAAAATAAAGTTAAATTCCACGCGGACGAAGTCGCGGGAACAGCTATTTTAAAAATAAGTTTTTAGTTTAATACAACTAGGTATGTCAGTATAAATTCGACGGCCTCGGTGATTTAATGGTTTACTTCCGATGGTCGCGGGTACGATGTTTCGCACGGTACAAAATTTTGTAGGTATTTATGAGTATGATTAGTATTGCTTAGGATGTTTTCTGTGTATTCATTATATTTAGATATACATATGTATTAATTATCTAATATCCATAACACAAGCTCTGCTAACTTGAGACTATATATCGCTGTGTAAATTATCCAAGCTATTATTATATCATGAGAGACACACGAATGTGGGGCTGCGTCACAAACCTGCATCAACTGGGAGAATAGGATTGTTAGTAATGTGGATTGGGGAACCCATTGCTAGCAATGGGTTCCCCAATCAGTTGACCTCCACGATGTTTCCCTCTGGAAACCATCGTGATAAGTACCTTGTAATGCGTCACGATGGGCAAAACTTATGCTCTCTTATCATCCTCCACTGGTGCCCCGTCAACGTAAACTGTTAACGCAGGAGGAAACATCATTCCATCATCATATATTTAAAAAAAAATTGCACCACCTCTCGTGACCATTTCGTCCATCGTTCTACACGAAGGAAGATATAAACAAGGCGACCGATTGAGCCATAGTAGTCCCTAAGTTCGAGTTATGTTACCGGTACTTACATTAAAACAAAATTTAGGCATGTTAGTCTGTCTGTCTTTTTATTCTTGTTAATCTCTGAAATGGTTGGAACGATTTTTTCAGGACTTTCACTCACAGCTTATGTTATAAGGAATAATTTAGACTACTTTTATTTTATTCTATATAAATAAGAAAAAGTATAATTCACGGGTAACAAGCAGTAAGCCAGGTAAAAATAAAAATAAAGAACCCTACAGTAATTGCAACGGGGCCGGCCCAAGCCTCAAGAGGGTGGCTAGTATGTAATGTGTAAAATTATAAAATATCCAGATATATAATTTGTAAAACTACAACCAAACAAGTTACATCTTAGGTTATTCATTTTCATTATTGCTTCCTACTGATAATGTAACTATTGAAAATCAATATTTTAAGAGGTGCTATAGTAAAACAAGTTATTTAATACAGCTATAAAGTTTGAATGCCAATTATAAATGTGTTATATTCATACTAATATAAATGCGAACTTGTGTTTATTTCGTAGATACATCTCATGTCTAAATTATCGAACGTATTAATATATATTGTATGGTTAGGACGAACATATGCTAACTTTTATCTCACAATTTAATCCGAAAGAGAATGAAATTGGGGATGAAAGTTCCAGAAACACTAAACAGCAGAGGAGCAGGAATATCGCAGATAACAACCAGTAAGTAATAAAATTAATATAAAGCATTTTAAGACGTTATAACTAGGTTACTTACTTCGAATCTTAATAATAAAACACTTCAAACGTTCGTTATGTATTTGCCATTAGGTATGTCTTCTGTACACAAAAAATCACCACGCATTTTGAAAATATAAGTGTGTAATTCATTTTTCCATCTATCCATATCACCAAAGATATTTAGGTCACGAACAGGTCGCTACGTCTTATTTAGGTGCTTGGTCTAGTAAACAAATGTGTGTTGCCATGGAAACAGTTCGTAGAAGTAGATAATTATAAAGGTGCAACCCTCGGAAATGACGGAAAACTGCGAAATCATGATCTATTGTAGCATGCTAATTAAACGTTAGTGATTTCAATAATTTGTAGTCTTATAAGTAACATTGTCACATATGCCCCAGTTCTTATAAATGAAAACACTTTGAAACCTCTTTCATTGTAGTTTTTATTTAGTTATTTATTAGCACATAAAACAGATTACAATCAGTACAAGAATATGATTAGAAGAGTGTAGTTTGGTACAGAACTAGATTGTAATCCTACACTATGTAGGTAATCCCAGGTAAAAGCTAAATTATATAGATGCATGCAATATATACTAGATAAGGCTATATATATCTACCTAATAAAAAGAACATTAAATAGAAAGTAATATAGAACTATGCAATCATCATCATCTCAGCCCGGAAAACGTCCACTGCTGAACAAAGCCTCCCCCAAAGATCCCCACCACGATCGGTCCAGCTCTGCTCGCATCCATATAATAATTTTGTTATTAGAAATTTATTTATAAAAAAATATAGGTAGATAGTAGTAAATATAATTTTTAGTAACTAGTCCGTACTAATATTATAAATGCGAAAGTAACTTTGTCTATCTGTCTGGCGCATTCACTCCAAACTACTAAACCGATTTAAATGAAATTGTGCTTTTTAATATGAAAAAGGATTGTAAGGAGTTGAAAGGGAAGACGAAAGGTTGTATGGGAGTATCGTTGGTGTTTAGGATGTTGATTAAATATAAATAATTATTTTTTTTATTAACTTTGTAACAATTTAACCCTTAAGAGGGTAAAATAAAAATGGGGATGATAGTTTGTATGGAAATTCGTCGTCTATTCAACGTGGACGAAGTCGCGGGAACAGTTAGTGTATTATGTAATTTTTTTTTAATATTCGATTGATCAGATTATTGAGTTATATAGATTATTGACTGTACATAGTGGCATTATTCATTAAATAGAATATATATAATTAGTAGATTTTAATTGAAGTGTCCTGTGTAGGTAAACTTTTATAAAAAAAAATCAAAAACGGTGTTTTGTATTGTTTCAGTTTTATTCAAACAGTAGTGCCACATAGTTCGTCATATAATTGAACAGATTAGTAATAGATCAGCTCAGTTGCATGTGAAAGGAGTCCTCGGATCAAAATAGTTGCCGAATTTTATTCCAAAATCTAAACTTATTATCTGAGCATCAGTTATTAGTTACTAGTGATGCATCTTGTCAATTCTATTACGGAAACGGTTGAAAATTATTACATAATAAAAATGTCTCAAACGCGGTGATTAACATTATACTTGTCGCGAACTGGACCTCTCCCTCTTACGTAAGAAACATAACCTCACTTTACGTCGTAGCTATTGGATTTTGTTTGTAACGCGTCAGTAATCAGTCGCTCGCATTGGAGTGTGCTCGTATTTCTCTCGGTAATATTACAAATACAAAACTGGCGCATAAAATGGCAGAGCAGTTACTTAATTTAAAATTTGTACGAGAAGTTGAGAAACGGCCATGTTTATATAATTATACGATTGGTGAATATTCTCGCAGAGATTTAACAGAAATCGCTTGGGCTGAAGTCGGCAAAGAAGTGAATTTGTCAGGTAAACAGTGTTGCCAGATAACTGTCTTGATTTTTCTCCAAATTTTGCATGAAGTCTCCCCAAAGTACAAGAATTTGAACAAAACTCCCTCACTTCAGAAATATGTTTGTTACCACTGACTCGACTGTCACCAATAAATTAATGTTTGCTTTTGTTTGATAGCTTGTCACTGTCTTGAAATAGAAATAGAAATAATCTTTATTCAAATAAACTCATTACAAGTACTTTTGAATAGTCATATTTTGATTATACCACTCATTCGGATTTAGATTCATCATAAGAAGAATGAGATTTTTTTTTGTGGCTCCTTTTAATAGATGTTTTTTTATATAAGCAATTAGAGTATAACAAGTAAGAGGCATGCGATAATCAACATAGAAATCGCTACACACACACTCATTATTAGTGTAATCAGATAATATTGTCAGTACTATGGATTTTAAGTTTTTCTAGGAAAACATTATTATCGTTAACGAATTCTTCAATTTGATAGTAAGCTTTTTTGCAAAGGAAGTGTTTTATATGACATTTAAATCTTTTTTCTGGCTTGTTGTTTTTATGTCAAAATAACTTCTGTTCGTTCTTTAGCCTTTCTTAAGCAAGAGTAAAATCCTCCTAATTTCAATGTTATTCACACTCCCAATTTCTCACCATAGCCTCTCACTCCTGCTAAATCCGATGAAAACCCACTATCTAGCATCACTGCAAGTAAATAATTTCATATGGAATATTTTAGTATTGTTTACTCTAAACTTTAGATGGCAGCACCATCGCAATCACAAGCAAAGCAGAGTCGCTTTAGTTCGACAGTTCCCTGAACATTTAATGATAACGTGTTAATTTTGATAGATGGCGCTGTTGACTTTTATATATTCTAATTAATTGTAATCATTATTGTCCTAGAGACATTCATTTTTAATTAATTAAGTAATTATTGTCGTAAATTAATAGGTACTTATGAACTACTTAAAAACAATATATGTTCTAAATGTTTAATTAATTCTGTTTCTGATAAACTATTAAATAAGTAATAGTTTGAGCATGTACTTACAAAGCAATCATCAATCAATCAATCATCTATTACATACGAATGCACAATACCTACGAGTATTTCCACAGACAAATTACTAGGTAAATAATAGTTATAATATTTCCTGCACAATATGTAAATAATTTATATGTACTTATTAAAATTGATGTTATAATAACTGTGTATTATCACTTGTAAGTATTACAACTTAACAGATATACTTTTTTTTTCAGGAAGTGAATCCAAAGAAAAATGGAAAAATCTACGTGCTGTATTTGTACGGCACATGAAACCATTTTTAAATGGTACCATAACAAAACCAAAGAAACCCTATTATTTAGCGGAAGCTATGCAGTTCGCTTTGCCGTTTGTGAAAACATTGTACCCAAGGTCTAATGAATGGCCCTCACAAACGCACATAGAAGTGTGTGACGACGGAGTAAGTAACTGGCAACTAGATGAGAATGAGGCGTCCCCAGCACTCACTTCACCACATTCGTTGCCTCCAGTTTCTCCCCAGTCATCCCTCTCACCCATGCCTTTATCCCCACAAATAAATCACCAGTCAAACAGTCATCAGATATGTAAAATTATTAAAAAAGAGGAAATGGAAGAGAATTGCGAGTATTCTTCGTCGTGGCACCAACCTTTTCAAAATAGAAAGACATTAAGACAAGACGATTCACAGTTAGATGACGGAGAATTTTTTCAAGCTAAAAGAAACAGGACTGACTCGTATCGACATGAAGCTAATAAGATGTACTTGTTAAGCTTGTTGCCAGACGTTGATCAAATGACGCCGAATCAGACTAGACATTTCAAGAGAAAAGTAATGGAAATAATAGATAATATTCTACAAGATACATCTTCCTTATAAGATTGAAGATTTTGTTTCGATTGAGACTAGCGTCGTACGTCCGGGATTGCTGGATTTGTCCTAATAAAGTCGTCCGGGAAGAGTTCGGCAGGAGCTACATTTGCAAAACGGTTTTCAAAGTTACGTTAGTTAGTTCTGGTCAGACTGCAAGTGCCGATGATACTGTTAATTGATGAATTGGTTGCTACAACCATCATTCTCTAAAAAGGCGCCAAGCCACCAATCGAAGGTGAGCGAACTCATAGCGACCCGCGTGATAATGTAATAAATAAAACGATTTATGTTAATTTATAATGATTAAAATTTTAAACATGTCCGGTATCAGTTTTTTTATTTTGGCCCCAAATTTTAGAGATGGCAACTTTATTTAAGTATGTAACCTTACATACCCTTACATGCCCCGGATCTTAATTTTTCTCGAGGTGGGGCAAAAATAAAAATTTGCCGTCCCCAGAACGTGGCGCTCGAGGTATGGACCCGTGTTGTAATAAAAACTGGTTTAAATTTTTATTTCTGATTGTGATAGACTTTTTAGGTAATCGATATCGATATCGAGCACCGCCCTATTATTGGGATCTCATTTTTGGAAATTCTCCCAAAATTTGGGGAAATTATTTTGTGGCGATGGGGGAATTCAGGAGACCAAATTTTCGGAGGGAATAAAATTGAGTTGGTAGGTTCTTGACTCACAAGGAACAAAAAGTCTGACAAGTCTACTATAAATAAACATTAAAAAATGTGGCAAAAAAAACAAGTGCAGAATTATTTTATGAAATTATTACGACTAATACTTACTATCGTTATAAGGCGGATCTTTTTAAAACTTGAAAAATACCACCAGACAAATATAATTTATTTATGTACGCACTCATATACGTACCTACATACATGGATGAAATTTAACCTAAAATTAAGCAGATTAGACGTGCATATGGTAAAAAAAATTGTGTATGAATAAATTATTTATTTATTTACTGACATTGAGTTTGAATTCGTTACATAAAAAAACATATTAGGTACCTATAATATATGTATATATATAGCTTCTTTTTTTATAGTAGAAATCATGACAAGCCTCAACTGGCCTGACTCCACTGGTGCCCTTTCAATGTATAGGTACCATTAGCGTAAGCAGGTACACCACTCTATTATATATTTTTTTAAAATATATAGGTACTTATATAAACATAGTCGATACATATCTTTAATATTTTTTATAATTTATTAACAATAAGTATCGTTTCGAATTCAACAATATCTAAATCTAAAATCTAAACAACTTGTTACTTAGGAATAGGATTTCTATAATAAAAAACAAGCAATTTTGTACGTATTTTATCTACCATCAACTATTTTGAATGATAGATGCCTACATGAAATTAGGGAAATATCATACAGCTAAGAGCAACACACAAAATAAAGGACAAACCAGCTGTAAATATAATATGTAATAAAAATACTGTCGCAGTTTTGTTAAATTATATTCTTTATTAATAAAAACGATTCACAAAAACATAACGTACATGAACGAAGACAATTGCCTATTGGCACTATATTTACGGACAATTTACAAAGGCGAAAACGGGTGTGAAGTAGGGATTGGGAGGGGTAACAGGCGGGCGCCATTGAACTTCGTTCCGTGTCTACAATTCTACATACCGGTATCCTTTACAACCAAAGCGTAATAAAAAATAAACTACTGGCATATTTTTCATCACAAACGGCTAATGTTGAGTAAACTTTGCTGTGATTTAAGTGAGACATCTAATATAAAATGGATTATTCAGGTGAATATATCTTTAATATAAAATAATTTAATTTCGATAAATATTTCCTAGTTTTTTTACGGCCATTTTAGTTGTATAGTTTTATTTAATTATGAACCTTAAGGGCACTCCATACAGCTCATTTTTACTGAATCGTTGGAACTGTAGACGATCCATAGTGCAGAGAATTATAGAACGCGCGTCGTTGACGTTACGATAGGGATGTACTAACCGCTCATGGAGATATCGAGTTTTTCGAGACAATTTGATTGTATGTTTAATTTTATTTATTTATTATTATTATAAGGCAGTAGTAGTGCTAGAATACACAGTAATACATAAATAATTTTGACTGGATTTTTATTGGCAGGTAGCTGATGTAACAAGGAGTAACTAAAAATAAAGTTAAATTCCACGCGTACGAAGTCGCGGTTGCAGCTAGTATAGAATATAATCTTACGAATATTGATCAATAAATGTCGTATTTTCTTTTTTTTTATAAATAATTCACCGAATTTAAATTAATTATAATTATAAGTTTATTATAATTATAAATTGCTAGAATTAGGGTTGCCATGTTTTTTGCAGAAAAAGTAGTATTTTAATTTTTATGTACAATATATTTCTTTTGAGACATCCGAGAAAAAATATTTGTTTGTCCATTATGTATTTGACATTACAACAGACATCTATGATATCATGATCGCGAAGCGCATACTTTCCAGCATACGGTGAATAAAAAGAAGCACGAAACTTAATTAGTAAAAATTTTGTATGATATTTTTATATTATATGGTACGGGTGGAAACCCTAGAACGAGAGATATAAGTTTTTTTATTATTTAAACGTTTATCCAGTCAGTAGTGTCGTGCCAGCGTCACCAACACTTATCCTATTATTCCTAAACTGAAACACGATTTACTTTGCAAGCTGCTTGCTAACTGAAATACGTGAGCCTTATTGTATTTCTATATCACGAAATGATATGTTTGTGATATCTTACTTATCCTTTTTTTTCTTTACAGATATTTTACAAGAATTTGAAGAAGAAGAGATCATTTATGAAAAACCAACGAATTTTGCGGAATGTTTCAATTTTCCTATAGTATACACAAAAAGACTAGATGATATGAAAATATTGAGAGACCTAAATCTTGATGCCTTATCAATTAAAGATATAACAACGAGGATAGTTGAAGAAAGTAAACCTACACTTGTACATTTTCCCAAACGACCATCTAGAAAATATAAAAATAAAATTTCGAAATCAGTGAAATGGACGGAATTGGAACCTTACACTCTTTATGAATTGTCGTCAGATGCTGAGGACATACCGTTAGCTGAAATAAGAAATAAAAGCAAGCATTTCCAAAATCAGTGCAAAAAGTTAGAGGTTAATGTTGAAAATAATTTTAATAATGTCCAACTTTCTTCACCTGATGAAGATTCTGTTGATCAATCTCATATACGTACTATTTTCTTAAACGGTAATGATGATACAACTGATTTCATGCTAGATGAGGTTGTTATAGAAGTGCCCCATACACAGACGCCAAAGGCTTTATTTTTTAGTCAAATACAACCAATAAGTCATAGTGCCAATACAAATTCTACTGTATATAAAATATCTAATAGTTATCTCATTCTGACGTATATGTATGCAGATTACAAAGATATCTATTATATAGATGATCATGACGTTATAACAGAACATTACCGGGTAAAGGACACAGTTACAAATGATTATTTTATTGATGCCTCGAAATATACATGTACCATTGAAATTAGTAATTGCTGTTGGTACAAACGCGAGGAAAAGATACGCCAATTGTTTACGATTGCTAAAAATAAATCGATGTCAAAATTCATGAGTGAAAAACATCCTTGTATTCCAAAAGAATGTGTTTGTTGTTGCAAAGTTAAAACGGAGTGTAATAAAAGTCATGTCTTAGAAGCGTCGTCTTTACTAAGAATGCATAATAAAACAGATACGCGCATAGGTAATTTGGCTTCATCTGGTGGATTGGACATAAGGAAATGGTTCTATTTAAAAAATAGTACTAGGAGAAGAAGGTGTATTATAAAAACGGCCATATTATACGAACCTAAATTACCAAAACGATCAATATATATCAAAGTAAAAAAAAACTACCGCCAATTTACCACTATACATACTTTACGGAAATACACCGGTAATGTCGAATACTATTACCTGAATGAAAGTGGAGAGATACAGACATATATATCGGTATGTAATGGCTCAATATCAGACGTATATCTTCCAATAGAATCAAGAATGCTAGAGAAATCTTTATATCGCTGCAAGACAACGGCATGTTGCTGGTATAAATATAAGCAATGTTTATTACAATTAGCTAGTTCTGTCTTACCAAGTGTTATAAATTTCTTAAAGAAGCGGCACTCATGCGATCTCATGTGCACATGTTGTTGCAAATCCATCTTTAATGTTCGTGCTAAAAAAGGTAAATGTGCTCCCACTTTAAATTATTATTTTAATATAAAACACACGAATGGAAATACAGTTAAAATCATACAATCAGTCAAGAGTCAACACAATAACACAATACACCAAGAGGCACAATCTACATTTAAAAAGGCCGAAACAAACTCAAATTATATAGATCTAACTGAACCAAATATAGAAAGATCAAGTAATCAATACACTGATATTTATGAAACATTTAAAAACCTGCAGCTATATGTTCAACAAGGAGATGTGACGGCAATAACAAATACACCACCTGACGAGTTATCAACTAGGAATCTAAAAATTCTCGCAATGATTATTCGTAATGCTCAGAAGCAAGTAAAACAACTCGGATTTACTGGGGGCACAGCAGCAGTAAATAACATATTCCATAAAAATTCTATTACAATTACTCATGATAATAAAATCTTAAATAACAAAATTTCATCAATCGCGAACAATACATATTCAAGAAGCACTACTTTTTTCCATAAAAATAAAGATCGTCTCCCTGTACGCTCTAATTCAATTAAAAATCAATATCGTTATTACACTGCAATAATGGGTCATAAATCTGAACAATACCAGAATTCATTTATGGCTCTTAAAATGAAATGTAATAATTCGTTGCTACAATCAATTTTCCAAAAATTTACGCCTACGGCTAATAACTCGACTCCCTATACCAAAACTGTTGAAGAAGTTGAAACTGACCTTGGTACTAGAGCAACAGGAATAAAACGAAAATCACAGCAAGACATATCGGACAACTAAATACCGACAACAAAGCAGAAAAAAGTGAAGGAAGTTGCATAAAAATTAGGGCATATGGTTACAGCATCGAGTGGTGTTAACGCACAGTAAATATTAAAACTTGTTCAAAGTTGAAGCGTTTTAAATACAATGTATTTACAACCGCCTATTTTACAGAATACAAGCATGGTTACACAGACACCAGCAATAGTTCTGATCAGATAACAAATATACCGCCACTGCAGCCACATTTTATAAACATTTTAGGTACATCTTTAACCATAATGCTACCTGCTTCTAACGATATTAATAATCAATATATTGTTGACCTGGTATGGTGACTGGTGCAAGAAATGATCAGCCCTTTACAGCATCAACAACAGAACAATCTGTACAATTTCTATTTGCTTCTAATGAGCTTCCTATAGATCCATCGAAGCACCAATAGTTGAAAATAAAAGTCACCAAGTCACGGAAAGCCGGTTCTAACGACTAATGCCCTTCAAGGAGTAAGCTCTTCTTTTTGTCTACCCTCATGAAATATAATTCACATGTTGACTGGGAAAGCCTATCATTTAACTGCAACAGTTACCTTTTTTACCACTTTCCTTTTCTATTTTGGTTTAGATTTGATAAGTGATGTTAAATATTCTGTATAATTATTTATTACTTTATTTTTCTAATATAAAAGTAGCCTAAGTTACTCCTTATTACATTAGTTACCTACCAATAAAAGTCTAGTCAAAATCAGTCTAGCCATTTCAGAGGTTAGCCGGCACAAACAGACAGACAAAAATTGTAAAAATTGATATTTTGGTGTATGTACCGTCTTTATATTCATATGCATGTAGTATAAAAACGGTTATTTCAATATTGGAAACAGACACTTCAATTTTATTTATAAGTATAGATGTATAGATAATACAATTTATTACTCTATTTCGAGTTCCCTTGGTGACGGGTTTTTTTTTTACGGTCGCTCACAAAATCGATATATTTATCGATTATTTACTGATGTTGCGATTATAGTCACAATTATCTTAAAATTAATAGTAATTTTGAAAGACTTGCATTATTTCAACTAATAAAAATTTTTTTTTCTTCTTTATGACTTGACACGAATAAAAATAATTTTAATATCATTTAGTACTGTGAGAAAAAAAAGTGTGTGTCGGCTGTATGAATGCAATGCTTTGGCAACTGTCAAACGGACACTGACATGAACTGACATTTGACACTGACAGCTTAGTCCCAACAAATTTGTATTGTTATTACTTTACTTTGATTTTCGGCAACAAAGTAACAACAATACAAATTTGCCGATTTATTACTGATTAATCTATACATATAAATAAAATTGGAGTGTCTGTTTGTAATATTGACATAACCGTTTTCTACTACATGCATAGGAACATACACCAAAATAACATTTTTTATAATTTTTGTCTGTCTATTTGTTTCGTCTAATCTCTGAAATGGCTGCACCGCTTTTGACGGGACTATTTTTGGCAGGTAGCTGATGTAATGAGTTTGGCTACTATTATTTTAGAAAAATAAAGTTAATTTACTCGCGGACAAAGTCGCGAGTACAACTAGTTTATATATATATATGTAATAGCACAGAAATGTGGATTACAGTAATCTTATCTTCATATTTTTTACTGTGGTCATAAAGTTGCATTTATATGGGTACTTTATAATTGGCTTTATAAAATATTAAAATTTTATAAAATGATTATATTGCTTTCAGAATTACCATCATTGTCCGGTAGGCGACCTCAGCTACTCACACAAAGGAATGACTGAAGTTATACCCTCTTTATGCAATAGCTACACAAATGTAAATAAAAAAAGCATAGGTATAGAAGATCTAAAAAGACAGTTGCAGGATTAAATTGAATTGTAAAGAAAATTGTGTGAACTTCAATTACAATCAACAGTTAAAGAAATTTATAAATTAAAAATGAAATGTTAATCAATTAAAAGATATTTTATTAATATTATATCTATATAGATCAACAACAATTATATTATTAGTTATAAAATTTTTTTGGAACCCATAACCCCGCCTTTTTCATTCCCTAGACATTCATATTAAAAAAAAAACAACTAAATGTGTAATTGTAGAGCTCTCTGTACCAGACATACAGATTTATTTTATGTAAGTAATCGTGAATACTTTCTTAATTATGCATTTAGTGAAAAATTGTTAATTTGAAATGAAAAGCAGACCTCAATATTATTTATTTGCATTTATTTTTCAGTTTACTCACCTATCAGCATTAAATTCTAATTTCTTTTATATGGTCGACAATAAAAATAAAATTGTTTATACCTATATCTTAGAGAAATCTAAATTTATAAATACGATTCTGTAACAGCATTTTACATTTTACAAGGAAACCAGACTAACTTATGACTTAAAAATTTCAGTATCGATTAAACTAAATACACACTTTAATATACCCATAATTTTTAGTATAATAAACAATAGAATTTATTTTAAACGTGATAAACAACTTTGCACATAATATCTTTCATTATAAACAAGCTTACAACGAATTTTGTGCGCATTTTACCCCCCGCATTTGGACGTCAGTCTGACACGGACCGTAGTCGCCGTCGGTCTTGTGACGATCAAACATCGCACTTAAGCGCTAGCCGTAATAGTACTTATATAACATAAAAATGGGCAAAACAGCTGTTAGGGTATCTAAAAGGAAAAGGAGAGCCTTTTTGATACAACGTTGTATTGAAATGGTTAGAAAAAGGTAAATATACATTACATATTTTGTCAAGTGTTTTTGTAAATAAACAGTGGTGCCGGCTCATTATCCGTGTACATTTGCAGTCCGCCATCTTAGCAACTATACTGTGATCGACTAGAACTTATGAAAAAGGTAAACTACGTTTGTTACCGGTGTGTTGTTTACACACTTGGTCACGTGTTGAGCGGAGCACGATTATTCTTAAAAACTCGATCTCGGGAGATCGGAATTTTTGAGTGGTAAACGATGGAGGTCCGGATGTCGACCTTCGATGAAATCTTGGTCTCGATCGGTCAAGCCATTTCGGAGAAGTATCGTTATATAGAGTGCAAATATAATTTCTAACAATAAGTTCCATCCACGCTTCGCGCTCCGCTCAATAAGCATTTTAGTAATCAACCCATAGATTTTTAGTGATGACCAAAAGCAATTACGCAAAATATTAAGATAAAAAAATCAATAATTGTAATAAATAGATTTTAATAAATTTTTAAAATCACTAGTATCCTGACGACTTAGGCGTAATGCCGGTTAGTCAGGGAGAGAAACACCTCAATGCCTACAATATTCACAATTATCTATCTCTTATTTGTTGTTATAATCATATCAACACTTTCGCTCCAAAACTCCCGCTGCCTCCGTTCAATCGTCCGTCATCCACTTGTCAATGTCACATAGATTACTTTGGCTCTGGCCTCTGACGTTCCGTTTCAGGTTATATGATTATTGACTTTACCATTTTTAATTAATGGTGCGTCACACGATAGTTAACAGTCGGCCATCCTGCAATAGTGTCTGGCCCAGACACATAGGTAACTGATGAGCGTAGTCATGCTTATCAAAGGATATAGTGTCTACAGGATCATATAACAAATACTTAACTAAATAAACTAAAGATACACATTACTTTCATAACATTGACTATCTTAGTATACTGTCAAAGGTTTACAATCTAAAATCAATACTAACAGAGCTAAGTTTCGGCATGCATTCAGAATGCACAAAATATAACATAACATATATTAATTTACATAATCCAAATCACCCAAAAACATGAACAACCTTTTAGAGTAACAAACAATTATTTGGCGGTGATTGACTTCTATGAGTCAGACTGTAACATATCACCATCACAATGTAAGTTTCCGATCTTATGAACATTGCATTTTTTTTTTTTATACCTCCAAAATAGAACTTGACATTTCTCATCATGAATATTTTAACGGATAAATTTAACATAACATATTACAAAAGGTAAAACTTAATTACCTACATATATAGAGAAAAAAATATAAAGAGAAAGTATTATTCTCGTGACATAAAATTAGAACAAAATCGCTGCCTGCCTTCACCTAACCAATAGAAAATAACAGGTCAATATTATTCAAGTGGTTCTAATACCCTCAATACTACTACTACTATTTTACTTCGACGATACTCTTGATTTACCAGAGAATTATTTTAATATAACATAATTCATTGAATTTCAGTTATGATTTACTTAACAATACCATCAGCTCACTGGTCAAGTAATCTATTGCACCCTTTGAACCCTGTACATTTAGGGAACTATAAATGATTGTAGATACTGATCTCAATTCTCTTTACAACACCAGTTTAACATAAACCAAAACCCACTGTTCCAGATTAATGTGAAATAGAAATAATCTTTATTTAAACAAACTTAACATAAGCACTTTTGAGCAGTCAAGATTTTTGAATCTATCGCTTATTCGGAACGCAGATTTATCACAAGAAGAATAAACAAGAAACCTGTGTGTTGCTCTTTTAAATAAATATTGATTTACTTATATTTAATTAACAACAAGGATTAGGCGTGTGGCAATCAATATAAAAACCGCTACGCACTTAATCTCCGTTCAATCAGACAACATTGACAGCGCTATGAATTTCAAGTTAGATATTTTCTAAAAAAAAACACTGATTTATAAATGATGACATTTATAAATTTTTCAATTTTATAATAAGCTTTTTTTTTTTTTACAAAGAAAATATTTTATGACACATTTGATTTCTTTTTCTGGCAAATTGAGTACAGACTCTGGGAGTTTGTTGTAAAACCTTGCGCAATTTCCATAAAACGAATTACTAACTTTCGTCAAACGAACGTGAGTTTAGTAAGCCTACTATTCACTTTATATTTTATCGATGGTATTCGTAGCCACTTCGGCCATCCAACGTTATCGAAGGGCCTCATTCGATATTATCATAACAGTTAACATCGGGTAATATAATAAAATTAAAATCATATAAAATTTAGTTTGAGATACTTTACATACTTAAAATATGAAAGTTGCCACTGACAACTACACATTACATTTCAACATCATGAATTCAGTCTTTGTTATATTTTTCCGCCTTAAGTTGTATCACTTAATTTTTCACACCAGGTACTAGTCAGCATCTCTGCAAACACGGCTGCCTAGCTAATTAGTGAATTACCTGTTAAAACAAAACATTAAAAAATGCCACCGCTTGCCCACTATGACTACGGTCTCAACAGATCTGGATTTTATTAGACTCAGCCACCGCTTGCCCGCACAAGGAGCTACGGCCTCAAACTGGTCAAATTCTCATTAGACTCAGCCACCGCTTGCCCACACAAGGAGCTACGGCCTCAAACTGGTCAGATTCTCATTAGACTCAGCCACTGCTTGCCGCCACAAGGAACTACGGCCTCCAACTGAAACACATCAAATATTTAACAACTGGTCATTTTCTCAATGAGGCATTCACCGCTTGCGCACGCAAGGAGTTACGGCCTCCAACTAGTCATATTCTTTATGGTACTATGCTATTTTTACTTCAGCCTCAAATGCTCTACATTGCAACTCAACTATGGGTTATATGCACTCCCATCAAAATTTACTATTACTTTTTATTCTATTACATATCTTTAAGAACTGGATTTCCTGGTTCCATTTTACTATTTCTCCAACGCTTTAAAGGACTTTATAACATTTAATCATAAGTTAATTCAATTTAATTATGTACCAAATTCGAATTATATATCTGGTTGATATATATCTAGTATCTACCAATTTCTGAACGAACATGCAATATATTACTACCACATACCCTACTCCTATTATTATCTACCAAATCTTGAGTAGCATCAACAAAAAGCGAGTCGTTCGTTGTACGTCGCATTGAGCACACGCGGATCCCCATTTTCTCCGTGAACTAACGTATACGGAACCATCAGCCGCGATCTCAGCGCAATCATCTCATCAGTATATCATCAAATCTAAATCACCATCATTTACCTTAAAATCCATAAATCGTATTCATAGTCATATGATTATTATATTAATCTCATAATTTCATCAAAGTATTGCAAATCATTTTTCATTGTCATATCAACCGCCCGTTCTATTAGCCATTTTGCTCATAATTCAGCTTGTCATCGATTGTAACTCATCATTGTATCACTAGCATTCCTTAATCTTTCAGATCTATTCGTTCATGTACAACTCTTCACCGCGTATATTTACCGACTATTTTCCATAGAGGTGTATCAAATTTTACCTTGTAATCGTCCTTACTACAATCTTGCAGTGTAACTATCTTGTACACCTCGAGCGCTTTATTCATAATATTTCTAAAGTGTCTGTATACGGTGTCTGGGTTCTATAAATTAGCACCTCTTCTAATTTCCCATTAATTACAACAGACACATAAAATCAATTCTGAAAGGATTAATTTCAATTTAAACTATTTAGTTAGTACAATAGTCAATCCGATTTCTCCAAAGGGCGTTCAGCCACACATACAAGTGCATATAGGTGCTCAGACTAATCTATGGAATCAAATGCCCAGTATTTGATTGCGTTGATCATTACTTATAAAAATGTTAACTTCCGTCGTCGTCAAAGACAACGCTTTAAATTTAATTCAATCTTATTTATCTGATGAATATTAACCAAATATTTGAAAACAACATCACCGTTATTATTATAAACTTCCAATATCTCTACACCTGTAATTTTGTACAATTCAACATTAAAACACCCTCACTTATTTAATACATCCGTTCTCGTATGCTATGCAAGTGACAACATCAATTCTTATATGTTGATGAGTTTACTATTAAAAGCCTTAGTTAACACTTTTATTTTACTTCAACTCAACAGTTATGTCAAAAGTGACAATGGTCTAAATACAACACATCCAATCTCATATTCCAGTCAATTAAGTCAACATGTATACCAACAATTCTTACATGCTCGTTAATTTAGCATTATACGCTTCGATTATACTCTTTTTTTCAACCAATTAAAATCTTAATAGATACAATATCTCAAGATTTAACAAAGGTTAACTAGAAATTAATAAAATTGGCAAAACCATCTACAACAGTAATTTATAACTGTAAACTGTAATCTATTGTTAACAATATTTAACTTTCTTATATCTTAACTTTCATTTATATCCTCTAGTAACTTTTCTTATATATTCCTGGGATTAAATTGACAGATATAGCCTTACTTCCACAACTTATATTGTCTCTCATTTTATTTGCATTGGATATAAAGGTCTCTTAAAACAGTTATAGGTTCAATAGGATCCTTTCAACTTAAATCTAGTATACCCATGTACACTTTTCAAAACTTTAATGCTCATACATTTAACAACAATCAATTGTCCTTTTGTTTTTGTTTTTCTTTTAACTACCTGTGCTTCTTAAATTTGTATTCACTATAATACCATTATAATTAAAGAACAATGGCTCAGCTCGCAAACATTTTCTCAACAAATAATTCTCTATAACATGTAAAACTTACAACTTAGACCATGCAGTATTTATTTTTCATTCTACATATATGCTATTCATAAAGTAGTTTATTATCCATCAGTAAACCATATAAAAATCTCATAAATTACGCCAGTATCCATATTCATAAACCAGCTCGTCCATACTGACTATCCATGTCTCTCTCTATGGAAGTTTGCATCCAGTCTTCTCCTGCTGTATCCTTTTT